TACCATAAAACAACTTAAACTGATGTCGTGACCATGTGAATCCGGTATAACGGGGTCTTTGTTGTGGATGTACATATAATATACACAGTTATAGCTAAGTCTTCGAACTCCTGTGCTTGAATGTAGTTGATTTGATTAATATTTGAACGCTCCGAAGCTAACCTATAGCCAGGAGGTTTTTAACATAAAACTACTTTCATAAGTTTCAAGTAGCCCCAAATATGGTTTAAATGGTAGGAAGATCTGGGTATTCTAGTTCATTCTCAGATTTACATATCACTGCAAAGGCTGTAGAATGTGTTCTCTTTAGTGCCGACTCCAATCGTTGCAGCTCTAGGTTTCAATGTGGTGGCATGTTCTAGCGCTAACCCTTGTAGAGTCATTGAGACATACTCTCATATTTAGATTGCAAAGTTTCAAAATGCTGTTGCAAAATGTTTCTGGGCGTGACAAAACATGCATGTGATTAGTATATTTGATATTTGATATTTATAGTTTTTGAGTATTTTTAGCAAACTCTTTAGAGAAAAAAGATCATATGATGTGCACCCAGTTCTAATTCTTCCGGCAAATTGTCAAATATTTTTTTATCCATTTCGATATAAGTAGCCAGATCTATAAATACGCGAGACATGGGGTTTCCGTTTGTTTCTCTTGAAGCCTAAGAGTTCTTTTTGCGTTTTGAGTCGTCTTCAAGCACCGTTCTGTACCAGGTCAATATATTTTTACTCTCACAGAATCTGTTTGTTTCGAAGGCAGTCAAGCCGGAAATCCGGGAAATCGTTCTGCCTCGTTATTTCGATCGTGTTCAAGTTATTAATAAGCAAGGCTACATGGCTTTTGGTGTGTTATGTATTAAATATACTTTGTATGTTAAGGATGACTCGCTAGGAATAGATTGTTGAAAGTTATTTTTTCCCTAAGAACGTGTGACTGGGCAAAATGTGAAGTTAATATACTCGTCCTGTTTATACACGCTAACCATACGTAACTACTAGAAAATTATTACGTAACTACTTTTTTGCGTTCATTTTCTTATTATACTAGATTATTAAATACTGCAAAGCTTTCGGTCCATTAACCCGGGCCTTTATCAGTGCAATTGATATCATATTAATATAATATTGATATAATAATATTGCACTGATGAGGGTCCGGGTTAACGACCGAAAGCTTTGCAGTATTAAATACTTACGTGGTGCACCTACAAACTAATTTACTTATTAAACTAACAAGAATAAGATCTATAAGATTTCGTAAAATTGTCAGCATGTCCATGAAATATAAGACTATTCTGATAATCAATACAATAACACCGAATCACCGACAGATAAGTCAATAAAGGAATTCGTATCACCAGAGGTGAAAGAATTGACAGGCCTTTTTAGGATTTCGAGTACCTTCCCGCCCTACGAAACAAATGCCTGTCAGAATTTCCGGGGCTCATGAGACAACCTTAAATCGTGCCTATATATGTGTAACACTAGCTGTTATGAATCTTATCTACATTCATATACGCATGTATATATTCTCTCACGCTAAAGTGCAACAATGTTTTGAAACAGCAAATAAATTAACAGTGGCCTTTATGACCTGCAATTTCTATTTTCGAACAGTTCCAAGTTGATCTCACTTGTGAGTGAAAGAAATGAATTCTAATTGATTTTGTTTATGTGCATTAAACATTTACATATTCGCCCTGGTCGACCCTGCTATATAGTTTAAGTCAAGTCATATCGTACTTCTTATTAATAATTGTGAAGTATTATACATCGATCTAATTTTGAAATGGTAGAATCTCAATTTTCTTTGCAATCGACTTTCACAGTCATCATATACAGTTTCTTGTAGAGTCTAGGGGAGAACCTTCCCGCTTAATGTCTTGATCAAATCAATAGAGACGATGCAGGAAGAATTAAGGCACAAAATAGCGGATAATTTTAAGATCTAAGAAGAAAATCATTATCTCGAATCAAGTGTCTGTGAAAGTGGCGAAAAAATCTTTTCAGAACATTTCGTGACTAATATTTCATGCAATTGACTGCATACACCCCTTCGATATAATCACATATGAATATTTTTGGGACACCTTGGATACCATAAGGACACATGTTAATGACGATGATTGTCGTGATAATGAGAATGATGTAGACCTTTGTTAAGACGGACAATACAGGCTGGAATCGAATGTGTTCGATTCGTGCGTCCAGCATTCCCCCATCTTCTGGCACAACTCTGCCCTCATATAGAATAAGATATGTATGCACATGATGTTATGCAAAAGATTGTGTACAATAAATATAGCCTTAATATAGAATTCTTTGTTGTGCGGCTAAATATATCTCGATCGCTCTTGTGACCAGGAAGCCATATAATTGAGTGTTTAATTATCATGTGAATTCAAGCTTTGCAACTTGAAAGAGTTGCAGTTTTAATTTTGATTCTTTCTTGTCAGCAATTTCAAGCTTAGCATTTTTTAACACAATCAAGTTATATACATGCACTTCGTTCGTGGCGAAATCTTTTCGGTTGATCTTAGTGAAGTATAGCATCAAATGTGGTATAACAACTGCCTAAATAGACAAAACACTTCTCGACGTTTCGACCTGAGGGCCTTCGTCAGGAGAGTTAGTACGAAGAGAGAGTTACTGACTCTCCTGACGAAGGCCCTCAGGTCGAAATGTCGAGAAGTGTTTTGTCTATTTAGGCAGTTGTTATACCACATTTGATGCTAAGTTGTTTGAAGACGCTGCCACGCTGCTCCTTGGTTATATTAGTGAAGTATAACATTTCACGTTGGATATATAAATTCATTTTCAAGCGCCTATATGTCATAATTTCTCGAAATATCTTAAAACTATAGTTAGATTATTTTAAGCACTTTTCTCTGAACTTATAATTTCTTCACAATATTTGACTTTCGAATCAGAATGGTCTTCCATGCATGGTTGTGATTGACGTGATCTTTTGAACGTCGATTCCTGTCCTAATCCTGATATTTCTATATGAAAGTCCAAATCGCAAATTGTGAATAATCTCTTTGACTTTATTCTTGCACTGTTTTCAAGAAACTGGAAACGATTTTGAGTTGATATAGGCACTTCAGTACAACGTGTATACTGCATGTGAAATGACTCGATTTCTTGAATTTTAGAATACTCGAGAAACACATAAAATGCATGCGTGCATGCATGTATATTGACACTAACAATTATCATTTCTCGTGAACATTTGCCGAATTCCATCAATAGCCATGATTATTTTGCGTTGGCGTATACAAGTGCAAGAGGTTTATAATTTTTTTCCACCCAAGGGGTATGCCAAGGGCGAATGCAGTTCCACGTTGGCGTAAAACGTGGGCATTTTATAATAACATGTTATTAACTTAATGATAAAATGTAAATTACTGCTGAAGCCAGACAAAAATCTCGCCAGTACAAAGGAGTCGACTTGCAGCACAAGAAGCGGCTTATTTATAAAAAAGTGATAAAAATAACTCTCCCGTGAATCCTATCTTTTTAATTAATGGATATCAGACAATTTGTGTTTTTTTTTTTAAATCTGTGTGGTTAAAAATAGGAACGGGAATTTGTAAAGGAAGTTTTAGAAACAATTTTCATCCGAGTCTACACTAAATTTCATTAATTCAAATGAGCATGCAGGGCCTGCCCAGACAGGGTTTCACAATCCTTTAGATTATTATTCCGTCTGAATGATAACTTTTTTCTTGAAATTTTGTCTCCCGCGAAGGACTTTAATCACAATTTACGATAACGGTTCATGAGTTAATCAATTACTCGGTATATTATGTAAAATCATTTTGCCAAATTTATACAAAACCGAGGAATTGTATTTGACTCTTCTTTAAAAAATAGTTGAAAATGCGCAAATTAAAATACCTAAAAAAAATCGAGCGATTTCAAGAACGTTCAAAGGTCACAACTTTACGTGTTGGTGCATGCACGTGATTTCCTCACGTGATGATGCGAAAAAGGATAAAAGGCCTAATTGCGGCACGTGGTATTCTCTCGACCAATAAAAAACACCAGAGAAGGAGAGGGGACTTTCTATTGATATACAATGATATTCTGTGCTTCGCAAGGCATTACTAGACAAGATCAAGCCTTTTTTCTAAATACTAACCTAGAAGTTTATAGGCATTTGAATACGGACGCGAGCAATTATTTTCGCATTTTGCATTTTTGTTTTATTATTCGAATATTCCTCAAATTCCTAATTCCTATTCGAATATTCTCAATTGAGATGATGTTTTGTGTTCATTGTTGTCGTGTGCTCTATTGTCTATTGTTGCTTGTTTATATTTTAAACACCGAATTCAAAAATAGCAATCCTGCTCCAAGGGGACGTGCGAGTGATATCTCATCGACATCGCGCAACAGGTCTTTGTAGAAAGATACGCGTCAATAAATCATATTTCGGGCCCTTCGTTCCACTTATAACTAGACTCATATAAATCATGCGATGGCAATATACCCCTATTCTTTGAAAAGATTAAACAAGGACCTTGTTAATCCCTGACGTCAGAATTACGTCTGACTTACGTAAATTGTTCACAATGAAATGAAAAACTGCAAATTTAAACAAAGCTCTCTATAGAAATGGCCAACATTCAGAAAGAGCTAGATGCTTAATATAGAGAAAGAGAGAAAGATGCTTAATATTATCTATAAACAACATCATTAATATAACAATAGAGTTGAAATCATAAAAAATTAACAGGCAGCCCCATGAAAAGGGTAGTCTTTTGTAATGAAAATATATAGTCTCACGATAAAAACATTATAACTTAAAACATTATACAGGGTGTATCAAAAAAATTCGAATCGAAATTTTTTATATACACACTGTAGTGCAAGCCTATCGTTCTAGTGCCTTTTACAATTTTTCTTTAGTTTATTGCATTCGGCAAAGAAGATTTGGTCGTGTAAAAATGATATAATTTGCTCCTGTCAATCAACTAATTCTTATTTTCTTTTCAGTTTTTTAGACAGAGTAGAATTAGTACGACAACCGTCATACATGCCTTCAGACCAGGTAAAAAATGTATTCTTGAAAATTATCATCTACTTGTATTTGATCAATCAAGTCGGGACACATTTAGTAGTCATGAGGTTAAACCTTTTCTGATTTTGGTATTTTTTACAGGACCTGCTAAGATGTCGTGTTCTGACGTCTGGTATAGTCGAAACGAAGTTTCAAGTCGATAAAGTTAATTTTCAGTACGTGCTTTTCAATGCTGTTTGTTGCAACATTTTACTTCAGGGACCGGTTGTTCAAAGCTAGTTTAGCGCTAACCCAAGGGATATTATATTCAAGAGTTTTAGTCTATGTGCTTTTGAGCCACTGTTCGTTGTAAAACGTTTAGAAAATTTGACTTCTATTGGTCCTAATTGGGGCCGCGGTTGTTCGAAAGGCGTTAAGTTTAACGGTGGATAAGTTCAAAATGGAAAACAAAACTATATATTTATTGAACAACTGAGCTGAAATATTTCGATGTAAATAGCTTAATTTTCAATGGAAGTACATATTTAATGCGTAAAATGCAGATTTAGTCATTCACAAGATAAGATGTGTGAGAGTAATTTTAAACTTTGGCTTATCCACCGTTCAAGCTAAACGCCTTTCGAACAACCGGCCCCTGAAATAATTTATGAAAAATTGATTATGAACTTTGCAAACAGGAGGTTAAAAAAATAATGTAAAGATTTGCTTAACCCAGGGTTAAGCTAACCGGCTTTTGAACAACCGGCCCCAGTTGATTGCATTGATAAGTCCTCCTGCAAGTTAATTTGCCAGGGCAAAACCTATTTACCTGGCCGATCGCAATAACCTTTAATTTTTCCTAACTAACCTGACAAATTGAAGCAAACCTGTCCCGCATTCACTAGCTCAACATAATTGATTCCCTTGCTTTTGTTTTCCCGCTTAGTATGTTCGATGTAGGAGGACAAAGGGACGAAAGAAGAAAGTGGATTCAATGTTTTAATGGTTGGTATTACCCATATATTTCACAGATAGTAAAATGCTATGTATAGATTCAATAGATTGGATGGAACCAGCCGGCGTACAAACTAACAAATCCATGCTTTTTTCTAAATTTCGATAGATGTCACGGCGATTATTTATGTGGTGGCGTGCAGTAGTTACAATCTCGTATTGAGAGAAGACCCAAGTCAGGTAATATAAATACAGAGATGATTATTAACTGCTGTAATTTGTTAGACACAATACGAAATTGTTAGTTCTAACCTTTTACCAACTATTGCATTAAAGCTCTATAGTCAGTTTCACGGTCAGCAATGCTGTACATGCATTTTTGATCAATTAGATCAATGGCACTTATTTGAAACATATTTCAAGTAACATATTTTAAGTAACAGTAATAATTTTTCATTTGTAGAATCGATTAAGAGAATCATTGGATCTTTTCAAAAGTATTTGGAATAACAGGTATAGTATGCCATTTCTCTCCCCTCTTCCCTAGAACGAGGAGGGATTTTGTTTCATATTTGCTGATTGGTCTAAAACGAAATTCCTCCTGGAAATATCATATTTGTGTCTGTGATCAGCTCTAAAAATGTTTCAAAAGCAATGTCTTTATTTAATCTTGGTTTTATTTATAACCCGTATTAAACCGCTAACGGTCTCCTTTTCCATTTTATTTAGATGGTTAAAAACAATTTCAGTTATCCTATTTTTAAACAAGCAAGATCTGTTACGTGATAAAGTACGGGCAGGCAAATCAAAAATTGAAGATTATTTTCCAGATTTCGCTAGATACAGGACACCACCTGATGGTAAGTCAGTACTGCTTGCTATCATAACCCTAGAGGAAACCTGTAGAATCTCCCTGGGGGAGACATGAAATCTCGTTATGCCCATCGTGTTGCACTTCTTACTAAAAGGCGGAAGCTTCGAATTATTTAGCCTTCCAGTTTACTTATAGTTCAGTGGCTGCACTATAGTTCAGTGGTTGCACCCAGTGTGCTTTCCAATCTGATGTTTTGATTTTCCTTGTTGACAGCAACGTCCGAACCAGATGATGACGAGCAGGTTACAAGAGCGAAATATTTTATCCGAGACGAATTTCTAGTAAGTTCCCATTGTTTACTGAACCGTTTTTGTATGGAAACAACGTTTCCAGTTTGGCAAGTTTGGGAAACATTAGTTAAGAACAATGTTACCTGGTTTTGCCAACTTTAGCGAAAGTTGGCAACATAACAAAGTTTTTGCTTTGCTGTGGAAGAATGTTTCCTGCTGGTTCAGGAAATATGATTTCTGTATTGGCCTTTTCCTAAAAGATATTACCGTAAAAAGGTCTAAGATTAAGATACTTGGAAGTATTTCCTTTTAAAATCAACTTCCAGGGTGAAAAGTTTTTAGTTTTTGTATCCAATCAAAAGCTACATGCGTTTACAACTCTGTTATGAGTCGCATTACGTTTAAATTTTGAAAGAACTTTCGGGAAAATATTTTCGGTGAAGTCGACATTAATTCGCTACTCAGATTTTGAGAGGTAGGTGCCTGCATGCTATTGGACTTAACATATCGGTAATTTTACCAAACCTCAGTTCCTATTATTAAACTTAAATGGGTTTGAAACCTGCAACCGGAAATTTAAAGCCAGCTTTTAATTCTCAGTTCGAAAGCTTATATGCAGCTTTAATATATCCTTTTCGACCAATCAGCGCGCGTATATATACTATAACCGCTTTATTGTAACGACTGTTGCATTGTTCGTTTGTAGCGGATCAGTACGGCAAACGGTGACGGTAAACATTACTGCTATCCTCATTTCACGTGTGCTGTGGATACGGAAAACATCAGAAGAGTATTTAATGACTGCCGTGACATTATACAAAGAATGCATCTCCGTCAATACGAACTACTCTGACTTGAGGTGACCATAGGAGATTTAGTACACAATGGCTTGCAGCTGAACTGCTAAATTTAACTGCTGCAGTCAAAACGTAGACTAAATCTCCGTATATTTGGACCCCGTGTGAATAAGTAAATATAATTATTAGATTTATATAATAACGCTCATCTGCGACCCTTTATTTGCTGACGAGCTCTTCAACGGTTGAAAATTTCCTCGTCGTCATCGTGGTTGATCAGACCGACCCCCGTCCGTTGCATATTGTAATTTGATCGGATCATCAATTTGCGCATGCGCTTTGTACAAAGTCTACTGACCTGTAGTATCGCGGTGACCATTTCGCTCGCCGTGGCGAATTGGTCAGCCGATGTAGTAAGGCCAGTTTTCGGAAGTGCAGGAACCATTCTACAAACACTACCCCAGGAATGAGATACTTCAGCGCCCCCCCCCCCCTTTCCGTAGTAACGTATTAACGGACCAAATAATAATTTGAGTGAGATTGTTTGAGATAACTCCGCATGCATGTGTAAATATTTTCAGTTTGCGAAAGGTTAGAATGGAACATCCTTTTCATTGGATAATTCTAATGCTTCGTTCTTTAGTTCTATTCCTTCGTTAAACGAGACCAATTTATAACACTCAACGTATTAGGTATTTGATATTTCGATAATAACCAATCAGTTCTCTGTGATTGTTCTAGAGATGGTAAATAACCGATGATAATAATTCTCTATTACCCAGGGTTTCTTTCGTTTTCTTTTGTATAAGAATATTTTTTACCCAACCTCGAGTTGCATTTCAATATCAATTTTCGACAATAATTTGAGTGTAGGTTAGCTGGAAAGTTGTCGAAGCAACAATTTTTCTCATATGTACAAATCAAATTATTATTCGTAAAATTTCCGTATTCTTGCATTAAGTTTATCAATATTTTTGCCGCAAAGCTTCAGTCTTCTTTATTCGACCTCTGACTAGGTTAATAAATAAGCTGTGTGTTTCAAGCACTGACCTCTGCCATTGACTGGACGAAATTGCCGCTGGGGATTCGCCCAATTTTAGTAAAAAGATATTTCCAGAAAGCAAAAACGTGAACCTGATGGACATGTGGGTTAATCGATGCAAAAGTTTTGTTACTTTTACGTGTAAATTAATCCAGTCCTTGGGAGGTCAGTGTCTTCCAGTGGAACGTGAACTGTGTTCGGTTCCTGCACTTCCTCAGATCATTGTCATGAAATCAAGGGTTAATCCCACAATTCCAAGATGCTGGTTCATCTCAACGAGAGCTTAGTTGGTGTCCTGGCTCACGCATGTAGAGACTTTAAGCGATGAAACTTTAGTGAGACAAAAATGTCGAGAGCAGTTCGACTACAGAGCGGGAAGGCGTTAATGAATGATGCACTGTTGACCAATTTGTAAATTCCCCTAACTGCTCACCAGATGTAATAGTGTAAGTGTACGATAGTGAAAAGAAATGAGAATACTGTATTTGATCAACGTAGCTCGAATTCGCTTAAGTAGGTAAATTCTAGTAAAATATCAGTAGCAAAACCTGAATGGATTTCTAGTGTGTGTTTTGTTGTCTCTCAGAATTGCAAAATAGGACTTTTTTGCACCTTTTTTTTTTACAAAGCCCTTGGAGTCGACTTGACTAGAGTTCCTAGTATATCCCAAAAGGGCGAATTCTGGAAAGAGTCCTGTGGTCCTATTCGAAACCATTACGTCCTCTTCCGGTTTACCTCGGTGTTTACTACGCACAGAAAAAACGAAATGTTTGAGGTAATGGTTAAATGAAATTCGAAAAGTTGAAGGGACGATTGGTTTTAGCAGGGGCGGCGAACACATTTTATTGGGGGGGGGGCTAAATTTAGAAATGTAAAATTAGGGCTAAGTTTAAAAATGACTAAGTGGAATCACAAACCGCAAACGACATAGTTACATGGCTAAATCCCCCTTAGCCTCCCCCCCCGTTCCGCCTCTGAGTTTTTGTATTGTGCTAATCCTATAAAAGCTGTTTGTGATGTCACTTTAACACCGTAATCGACAAAAATATTGCGAGCATCCATTTAGCGCGTGCCAAAGCAGGGAAATGGAGGACAGTTAGCAAAGTTTTAAAAGTTTTAGCAGATATACCAACTTTCCTATTTCTTTATCCCCATTGTCTAAACGCGATAAATATTTTTAATACTACAGTTAAGGATCCCTTGAAAATGACCGAACTGCTATGAAATGAAAATACTTTGATGAATAAACTGCCAAGTTTTTCATTCAAAGCTTGGGTCACTTATTCTATTTCGCAAAAAACCCTCTCAGCCTCAATGAACCCTTGACTGTCTTGAACAATGTTTTGAAAGCGATCGCTTAACTTTAAGGCGGGAATTATACATGATATGACATCGACCCCTGACGCTAAAATGATGTTATTCATTATACTCATTATCCTGGTTAAATATGGAGGCTTTCTAAGCAACGAAAATGCATTCTCCTAATCATTGTTTTAATAACATCAAATTAGCAGGCCACTTACTGTTTGGAAATGTTCATTAGGTTCTCAGCTTCATCGTTAATTTTGTTTTCACTTGGCGTTTGTGGTTTGACCCCCTGGCCCCAAGAAACTGCGTTCAATATTGGGATAAGTGACATGACACACGACATTAGCTACATGTGTCAATTTCTTGACGATATTATTTCACAAAATGTGGCAATAGCGGTCAATTTTTTACCTTTCGACAAGATTGTAGTCATTATAAATTGCTTTTCATTCAATTGAATTACTTAAAACAATTTATAAACCATCATTTTTTCATTTTTTATGGTACTTTGCCATTTACAATGTTAAAATTAGATTGAAGAGTTCACCGAACATGACTGCGAATTTTGAATTACAAGGCTTGCAAGGTTCTTGCAAATTACAAAGTTCTTGTGCTTAGTTACTCAAAATCCAATGAATTTTTAGTTTAAAGTGCAATATTTCACACATGAAATGCATCCTAAAATGTAACGAAGTTTTTGTGAATATGATGTAAATATTAAGAACTATATATATATATAGTTAGAGTGCTTGGGTTTGATCAGGGGCCGGTTGTATGGTTGTATCAAGCCCGTTTAGCTTAAACGGTGGTTAAGTTCAAAATAAAATTGAAGAAGTATCGTTTTATGAGCAAACTAAAGGATTTTAACCTTAATACAACCTTATTGCTGCTTACAACTACATATTCAGTGCGTAATATTCAAGGTAACTCATTCAAGAGAGTGGTATGTAATTTTGACTTATGCACCGTTAAAGTTAAACGGGCTTGATAAAACCAGCCCCTGAATAACAAACTGGATTAAACTTTTACATAACATATATATTGGGAAAAATGTAATCTCAAATCACTTTTTCCATTCTGCATTGATCGTTTACCCTTATGAACCTTTTTCAAAGGCAGGCAGATCGAACTTCATAGTATAAAGCTTGTGTCCAATAGAGCGGATTGCAAAACTTTTTAAAGAACTTTTTTCGTTTCTTGGTTTTGAATTTGCCAACTAAGTTGGACTATTGGAGAGTCGAATTTTAAAAAAACAACTTTAAAAAAAGTAACTAGAGGATTATTATGTATTGCTCCACGCAGCTATAATTATAAAGTTGCCTTTCAGCATCAATGGCTTGCCAAACGTGTGCGTTTAAAAACATAGTTATTTAGGAAATAATGAGTTAATGCAGTTTGTCAATTATATCTAAATTATTATTTTTGCGTGAATTGTTTTCAAATATGCATCTAGGCCAAATCAACAGCTTGCGACTAAGAAAAACAGATATATCGATAAATTTTCCCGACGATTTGTAACCTCAATCATTTTGGAACTTTATAAATGGAAAAATTCGTACGTAATTTGTGTAGTGTGCTGCATGTATCTCACTGAAGTTTTGAAACACGTGTGTAAGGTGTGTTTGCTTTTTCTAATCTTTGTGCTTTGTGGCAAAGAATAATAATAACATGATATATTGATGAACAATGCCAATGGGAATTTAAGTATTCTGAAGTCTGAATATAATATAGGATTGCGTTATCTGATTGGTCGAGAATTTTACCACAAAGCTTTCATTGGTTGAAACGCTAACAAGCACATTTCCCTACGCTGGCAGGCTTGAGTGAGTAAATTTATAGCGTGAACGACACTTGTCGTTAGACACGCTTCAGTCGTGACAGGTTTTCATCGGCATTGACCGAGCGAGGTTTACAAACGATTTGAAATGGGATTTCAACATTACATCGTCTCCTTCATCATATCTTGTGTATGTTTTGCGAAATGCGCAGAGATAAGTCTGCGAGGCAAGGAGTACATCAAATTCGATCTCCTTGGAACAAACACTAGCATATATGGGACCAGGGATACGCTAAGCTTACGATTTAAGACGTTCGAACCGCACGGCTTGTTATTTTATGCCCACGGAGTTACCGGTTACGTAACATTGGAGTTGTATCATTGCAAACTGAGGTGAGTACGGACTATTTTTCAGTCTATATAATCGATAAAGTTTGTCAGAATGATTCCTGTTAGGGATTTTCGACGCAAATTTGAGCATTGCTTTGCAATATTTACTACATGCAGTATTTTTATCTGTAAAATTTATGAGGTAAATTTAACCGTCAGCCTGGCTGCATTGTATATTATGTAAAGACAAATTGTCCAGCAAATTGCAAATGACCTGTGCGCATGACTTTTCCTGAGCTAACTATATATATGAATCATTTCTAGTAAAGAAGCTCAACCAAATGCTTGCATGCATGCCTCAATTATTTAGGTACAACGACGTTCTTTAGTTATGCCTCACTAAAAGACAACAACAAAACCGAAATAGATCCGCAAGAATTTCCTATTGTACCTGAATATTATGCAAAGTGTCTTTTGAACCTAAAGTTTCGTTAAAAGGTCTTAAAAGTCGTGTGCAAATAGTCTCTTGGCGTTATAATTTGGTAAATTAGCACCCCAGCTGCATTAATTCCTAGAGAAAGCACGCATGCATGTCAGTATTCACAGTACCCACTTCGCTCGCCACAGAGCTGTGTCTGTGAGTCCAAAGTTGCTTTCGGGAATTCATCGGTTTTATAGCATTTATATAAATAATAGGTTAAGGTTTACCGGCACGCCAAAATAAAACAGATCAATTGACACGATGAGATTGAAATTTGCGAACCCTGCGCGTTGTTATTAATTTGTTTTGACTTCGAATTTACCTTCAAAATTTTCGCGATTAAAGGCTAGTTTCCATCCAGAAAAATTCTCCTTTGGATCGGACAGGACAGGAAAGTTTCCTTTGTATAAACGCCGCCTGAGAACTCACCGACAAAGGAAATTTTCCTGTCCGTTCCGATCCAAAGGAGATTTTTCCGGAGTGGAAACTAGCCTTAAGAGGGTTGCTTAGGGGTTAGGGTTATAGTAAATAAGGTATGGCAGGATGGCCTTACGAGTGTATAGTGTCTTCGGCTTGAACCGACTTGGCCTTTACGTCTAGATTAGATTACCTTGTTTTCATGTGTCGATAGTTTTAAACGAATTTGATCTTCAACCCAAAAGCATATATACAAGTGGTGTGCTCATGGCCCTTGTATATGTCATGCGCCTTATACTTGGCAATGTGTTAAATGTGTTAAATGATAAGGATCATATAGATGTTATAGCTGAAGCATAATCCCGACACAAGATATAAGATGTATTACAAACTGCATCTAAGATGAAAAAACAATACTCAATGCTGGAGTTTTGAATGATAATAGACAGGGCGGGAATGTATGTTAATTTTAATATTCGAAAGGAGGGACCTTGTTTTATGGGCTTTGCTGTATATATAAATAACTTTTATGGCGTATTTTTGGCTTGTTAAGGGAGGGGTTATTGTACAGTACGGCCGTTTTCATGAATTTATTGCTATTTTATCGCTTTTAATTGTGCGTGATAAAGACATTTGCTTTTCGCTTGCGATAAAGACGTTTTCATTGTGAAGGCAGGTGGTTTTAGGAAGATCTCTTGTAGATTGCTGGGATAAATATCTTAATTTGACTGAATGTTAATTGGCAACCGTGGTGTGCTGTTCGCGTGCGCGTTGCCTTACTCGGGATTTGGTTTCTTTGTTTTCAAACAAAAATACTGCGAACTTTGCTAAATCTCATTTAATTCATTTGAAATTCAACTCACCGCAAAGAAAATTTAAGAAAAGTATTTTACTTGGTATTAGCCTGTATGAAAAGAGTGAGTCCGTGGCTGTATAATCCGCCATTGGGCAATATTTTAAAACCGTATCATGATAGAAAGAATACAGGCGATATGTTAAGCGTTTGCAAAATAGTTTGAAAATTAAATTTATTTAGACTTTTCTTTCTAAGGATGATAGACGTCTCTTTTGTATGTTCCAGCAATAATCATTAAAACCGCACTTAATTAGGCCCTTTTCCGCGTCGCATTTCGTCTTCATGCAACAATATTTGATCTTCCATTGAAAAGCTTGTTCGTGATGCCAGAGTTGCTAAGCTGCTAACTTTGCTCGATTCTTCACTGACTTATAGCTAAACTCACACTGATAACATTGTTCGGATCTGATGTAGAAAATGGGATTTAAACGCTTGTCGTGCAATGGTTGGGGAAAATGTATTAATAAGTGATGGTCGGAAAGTTGGTACCCCCATGAAACTGTTGCATGAAATTTACCGAACTCTAATCAACTCGCTTTAGGAGTCTCAAACAGAAACGTGAAATGAATGTGGTGCAAACAGCATGGGCTTAATTTCCCCACTTTTAAACAAGAATGTGAATTCGAACTCAACAAAATCTAGGGAAGAAGTTTACTTATGCTCCACTCTTTATTGGTTTTAGTTTTGCCGTTTTCGAGCGAAACGAACTTGCGTAAATTTGCGCAACTAAAGTTACTACCTCTAGTAGTGCATATAGCCCATTGTCAGCTGGCGTTGCAGTAGTGTTAGCGTACCAGAGTTAATTGCGGTTAAAAACGATAAAATATTCAAAAGAAAACAATTAGTGCTTTGTGATGGAAAAGCCTAGAGCTATTCAATTGCACTGCACAGCTCTGCTATCAAAACATGTTCGTTAATCAACTCGTGTGTTTAGCAAGAACTACGGCGCGCCCTGCACTTACCCAGCAAGTTTCTCTAATAAGTGTGTGAATACTGTACCCATGACTGCATTTCAATTTTCGCATCCTATTTACGACATTGCACGTCATCACTAAATTGTCCTGTCAATATGCGCGCGCGCACCCTTCGTGATAAAGACACGGGCGATCTCATCTCCCATAGTTGTGGGATCGAGTTAACCGCTTTCCTGGCACTTTTTCAAAAAGGATAAGACCCTTGCATTTTGCTATAAATCGAGCCACGGATATATTATCATATATATACTAAGGCTGGGTCCCGCATCTGTTATGAATAATTAAAGCCCATAGCGGCCTTGTTGAATGGTCCCACTTAAATCTAATTTGCTGTTGTTGAGATGTCTAAAGAGGCTCTATACGTTTTTAGTTATTTCCGCTGGGAAGGGTAAATATTTCCCATGTAATCACTTATCATCAGTAGCCTCTTTCCTTCTAAATTTGGGGGGTGAGTAACCATTGAACATGGCGGTCATAACCTGTCTTTGTATCTCAATGGTCAAGCCTGTTAATACCGCTTAGACAAAACGCTAAATTGTACGATAAACTGATGTGTAGTCTTTCATCTCCTCTCAGTATAGAGATTATCACATGCATGAATATAAGAAAATTTCCATATTTCGCCATTCCGCAAGGAATTCGGTCATTTCCATTCTTCACAGACGTTCATAATAATTCTGCGAAACTACACATTATGTAAATTTCTTGTCAAATATAAGCAGATATAAAAAAGTTCACCTCTTTAATAATTGAAAGCACTCCAAATCATTAGCAATAATTTAATTAATTTTGCCCAACGAAAGTGGAATCTTGATGACTAAAGGGGCAAAACGGAGATCAAAACAACATTATAGTCGTTTAGTTGTAAATTTCCTTGACCGCCTGGTCATTGTGTGCGGCGACACAAATGGGCAATTATAAAGGTCACCAAGAGTTTATTTTTCCGAGCTCTGCTGGCTTGCAATTCCAGGGGGCAAGGAATCGGTACCAATCTCGTAAACTCTACTTTAAAACGTACACAATTCCGTGGCATGCATGCCGAGAAATTAAATAAAGGGTGCGTATGTTCATTTAAAACAATGTAAGGGCAATATAATTGTTGTTTGTGAAGTTTTTTGCCTATCTGTGAAAGAAATGGAAAATATGAAAACAAATGATTCGTGATTCGTGATTCGTTTTTGAGGGGAAAATGTTTGCTTTCATAGTGCACTTGTAAACATCTTGAAACGGTATATTTCTATATATAAATAGGAATATAATTCCTATTTTCATGATATGTTAAGCAAAATACAAAGGCCAAATTGAGGCTTTTTCCTTTTATTGCTTTTTGCTGATCAGTTTATTGGGCTCAATGGTCGGAAGGCATAGGCAAAAATATGTGGGCGTTGAACGAGAAAGAACAGTCAAGTCCTCAGTTGGGAGATCTTAGAAGTAGTATATCATTGCTTTCTATCGCCATAGGGACTATGAATGTGAATTGAGGTCATACAGGGGAAAACGAGGGCACATTACCCCTTTATTAAAGTACATGCAAGGTTTCAGCCGAGTTTTTCCCATCTTTTTGAAGCGCGAGCGTTTTAGTTACATTTCTATATTTAGATACACAATAAACATGGCGCAAGAGTTCTCAGTCGTATTTGGCGACAAGCTTTGCGACAATGAATGGCATAGCGTCGTCATAACCCGTGACAAGCAGAAGCTCGCCATCCACTTGGACAAAGAACCGCCAAAACTCGTCCAGATCAAGATGCTAAAAAAATTTGACGCCCAGGAGACGCTACGGATCGACATACGAATATATGTCGGTGGAACATGGAAGACAACGAACGAACGGAAAACGAAGATCGTGAAGAATTTCGCTGGATGCATTGGAGATGTCTTGTTCAATTCGTATCACCTAATATCGGAAGCCCAAAAGAAAAGCAAGGGGTATACAGTCGCCGGTACCCTGTCCTATACCTGTCCCGCAAGAGAGTACAAACCAATTCGGTTTATTGACAAGTATTCGTACCTCAAATTTCCCAGTCCGGACCGGAACAAGGTCTCTGTGCAGTTTAAGTTTCGTACGTATGCCAAAAATGGTCTATTGATGTACAGAGATGGCTCGAAGATATCCGTGTACTTGTATCTGGAAGATGGAAAACTAAAGTTCGAATTTTACATCCCGGGAGGAACGAAGGAGCCAGTCATTTTAAACACGGACGAATGGTTGCACGGCATCGATTTTAACGATGGGGAATGGCATTCCGTGGAGTCGTCTTTTGAAGCGACCACGATGCTATTTCATGTGGATAACACAAGTCCTGTCAATGCGGATGCGCATACGAAATTACTCGGCTCCTCAAACGATTGGCATTTTGAAAACGACACCCATGTTGGTGGTGGGACGTATTACAAGCGAATGTACGGCTTTGTCGGTTGCATGAAAGATTTGCGCGTGAACGGTGCAAAAGTTAACTTGGATAAACTGCCAAAGGTAGGTTTTTGCTGTTGTTATTGTGCCCTGATTATTCCACATTTGTGGTGTATCTTCACATGAAACCTGAATTTGTTTCAATGATTATAATTTAATTAGGGAACCACGGCAGTCAATGTCGTGATGGGAAGGTGCGACTTGACGAGTTATTGTCACCCAACTCCTTGTCAGTACAAATCCAAATGCGAGCAACTCTCGGGTAACTTTACCTGTCGTTGTAAGCGATTCTACAGCGGCAGGTATTGTGAAGTCCCGTCATTTCAGACGACTTGTCAGGGATATAAAGACCTCGGGGTGACGGAGGACTCTTACTGTAGGCTGGATTCCGACCAAAAAGGATCGTTAAAAGAATTTCGGGTTTTGTGCAACATGACTAACCCCAAAGAGGCCGTTACCATAGTCAACCATACATCCAGCTCCAGACACGTGAAAATAGCAGAAGAAGCGGAAAGACTTATCTACGCCTCTAAAAGTTGGGCGCATGTGTTAGACTATGGGGTTGATATTAAGAGTCTGATGGCAATGATTGACGAGAGCGATCACTGTCGTCAGTACGTGGAGTTCAACTGCATCAATACAAAGTTTCTGACTCCCCGTGGTAATGACTTGCCCGGTGCATACTGGGTATCAGATGATGGCGTGGAGCGCCACTACTGGGGTGGGGCAGAGCGCGGAGCAAAAACCTGTGCTTGTGGGGCAGTGGACTCGTGCCACGATAGAACGAAGAAGTGTAATTGCGACACAGGAGATGGGGTTTGGAGGCAGGACTCAGGTATGTGTGGAAGCTTGTAGCGAATCAACAGTTCTTGCATACCTTCTTTTACGCATGTGTGATATCCTTGTGACGCATGTGTGATGATGTCTTTGACGCATGTGTGATGATGTCCTTGTGACGCATGTGTGATGATGTCCTTGTGACGCATGTGTGATGATGTCCTTGTGACGCATGTGTGATGATGTCATTGTGACGCATGTGTGATGATGTCCTTGTGACGCATGTGTGATGATGTCATTGTGACGCATGTGTGATGATCTCCTTGTGACGCATTTGTGATGATGTCCTTGTGACGCACGCGTGATTGTTTTTAACTATATTTGTAAGTTCGATATTATTCATTAGACCACAGCGGTATACTGTGTATTACACACAACCAGGACATTCCTGGTAGAATATTACGATAAATAGTGAAGGGTATCCATTATTAACTATAATATATTGCTAAATAACTCCGCGTTCTTTAAATCCTAATTAAAGATTAGAATTAGATTTGGAATTTGGATTAAATCAATCAGAAAATAAAACTAAGACCTAATCCTAACCTAATTTGAAGGATTTAATTCGTGTATTTAGGTTTTCCTTTACATGGGATTAGCGCCGATTTATTTCACAATTCTTACGATATTTCTCTAATAAATCGAAATAAATACATTATATCAAAAATTTTGTCCTATACCTAATTGGTAAAAGGATACTTTGGAATCAAGTTTCTTGTAATCATAGGTTATCTCACCAATAAAGCTCATCTTCCCGTCGTTGGACTATTTTTCCCGTGGTCAGCAGGAAGTTCCAACTTTACCGTTGGACCGCTCGAATGCTTCGGGCGTAAAGTCACCCTGACTCGGGAAACAGAGGAGCAAAACTTCTTCGACGTTGCTTGTCAACCATTGGTCACTCAGCCACCCCCCGTGTTTCCATGGCAGCTGACGACAACGGCGACACCTAAACCGTGGTCTCAGAAAACGACCCAGGTAACGAATGTTTTTGAATAATTTTAAGTAAACGTTTCTTAGTCGATGTGTATATCTAGCTATTTATTAATAATAGTAAAACCACAAAGAGGGAAAGCCCTGTGCGGACAAGCAAATGTTCCATTAAGACGTTTTCTTGTCTAGTTTACTTACTCGTTTGAACTGTAGATAAATTTACGGACAAGTTTATTTTTTGAAAAATTTGTGTGAATGGTCGCGATGATTTCACGTCGGAGTCTCTTTCACACGCAAGGTGTATATTTCTAATCTGGTAAACGCGTTTCCCTTGACAAACCTCAGTGCACATGCACGAGCAATCCTTCTGGCCGAAAACTGGCTTGGGCTCGTTAATGTTGATCATCTTTCAGGTCCTGCCCCACGTTGGTATATTATATCGTTGTGAATACTGGATTTGGTGTTCTCAGTTATCCCTATTTTAGGTTTTGTTTTTCGAGCAGTTGCTCATTAAGTTTTCCCCTAAAAATTCCCTAATTTTGTATTTAGAATGCTCCTCTACCGTGTACTTTGAATTTCACTGCATATTTAGCGCGTTTGTAGCGGTTTATATATTTCTATTTAGACATTAAATATCACCTCAAGCAGCAATGTGGTGAACCAGTCGACAAGCGCGCATCCAATAACGGAAAATTTGTTCAATGATACCAACCTCACTGATGCGAACGTTACTCAGAGTAGAAACATCTTCGAGAACAACAGAAGTAACAACCAGCCGACGTCTATACCGACGACACGGGACACAGCGAAGCATGACACTAACTCCTTCATTCACACAGCGAAGCATGACACTAACTCCTTCATTCCCGGTAAACTGGCGACGGACCGCGTCGTCGTCGCCGTTGCAGAAGTGAAAACAAGAAAAATTAAAAGCGAAGGAGATTGGTGGTTCATTTTGATCGTAACGGCTTCGTCTTTTCTCAGTATTGTTGCCTTTGTTTTCATCTTGCTGGTGTTTCGTCATAAGAGAAAGAATGGGGTTTGGTTTAAAGGTTTGTTGATAGCCTAAGTTTTCTCCGCCTGCAACAAGGTTTGGTAAACAATAATTATTCCGTCACCGCCCAAAAACCGTGTACGCGGTAAAGGTAATCGATTTCAAAAGAAATTGATAATGTACAGGGGCTGGTTGTTCAAAAGGCGTTTAGCTTAAACGGTGGATAAATGGAAAACAAAACGATTGATTTATTGAACTACTGAGCTGAAATATTTCGATGTAAATAGTTTAATTTTCAACGAAAGAACATATTTAACGCATGAAATGTAGTTTCATTCATTGACATGATGTAGCTATGAGAGGGTTTTTAAACTTTGGCTTTTCCACCGTTCAAGCTAAACGCCTTTCGACCAACTGGTCCCTGGGCCGTACACATGGTCAGGCTAATGCCTGGTTTCCATTTAGTCGTGAGTGTCGGGGACATGTCAAAGTGGTTGATATGATAGAATATTTCTATGTGAAGTCACCAATGTTAAGTCAACAATGACAATTCGCATACATAAAGTAGTGTAAGACAAATTTACATCCGGAGTATTTCTCATCGGTGAAAGTGACTTGTTCTGTCGTTTAAGACAATTGCGATTATATAGATGGGAACCAGACTTAATCCTGAGATGCGTTTGACAATTGGTAAATAGGAAAACCCCAATGATCTGGGGATCTCACATACAATAATTATATTATTAAAACCGCGATCATAATTCGCTGAATTCATGTTCATCTGTCTGTTTTTATAGGCTTATTCAGTGTGTTCAAAAGTCGTGCACCATTGCCAACAATCGAGATATACCGGCATTCCCTTGCGACGGAAACGCCAGATATACTTCACATCGAAGACTTTAAGAACACCAAAGTTGTCGACCTAGATCTTCATCGTGGCCATTTTATCGCGAAAAAAGACCGCGCGAAGAAAAAAAAGTCGGTCACCTTTAAGGATCGATGCTAAAAATGCAACCGTTCCGATATTTTTCGGGCTTGTTCGAATTTCAAATTTTGTTCCGCACTTGTAGTGTTCAATGTACACTTAATGGTAGTGCCACAAAGCAGTAGGCTATGCACATCGAGGCTAACCTTTTTGTGATGACGCACAAATAATGGCAACCAGTTTGTATATGAAGCTCTGACATATATATACAGTATATATAGGCACTCAAAGCGCTTTCCATTAAGCAGCCAAAATGGTCAGACCGGCCATATTTTAAATTGAAATCGAGTATTTCGTTAAGACTATAGCGGTGAAACTGCATTTCCCGTGCTAGTCAGATGTAAATAACAATATACTTGAATGCAGAGTTCTTGAAACACACTAAAATACCGGTAATCTGTCTGTACCGAAGTACAACAGGACCGGTCTGGCCGTTTTTTCCCTGTAAAGGAAAGCGCCCTTAGATTTGGCGTATACTATATACATAAGTATTTATATTTCAATTAGCAGGCTTTCTCGGCCCAGTTTGCTCTTTTTCATGTGAATATATTGCTATTCTTTTGAGTTTACAACGTTTGACGAACCAAAGCGGCATAACCATATTCAGTTATAAGAGAAGGTCGCTCTGATATGTATACATATGACTGCATGGAGCATGAGTTCAAATGCGTTTAATGAATTCATATGCTTTTTTGGCGGGTTGAAATCACTTACAATGACCGGACCGAATTAAAAATTGAAATTACGTGATCTTGAAGAATCACGAAGAAGAGAGTGGCTGAGCCAGCTTTTTGAAGCGAATTTGAAGCGGAACTGAGTACCAGTGCCAGTCCATTTCAACCTTGATTTTGTTTTCGCGGTTGACGATCGCGCCGACAAAAATAATAGAAAGAGACTGGTACTGGTCCTCAATTCGGCAGTTTCGGCTGTAAATTGTCATCAAAGATGGCGGCCAAATAATCGTTTCAGTCTTCACAATTTCAATGGTTATTGGTTGAAATTTAATTCAGTGGTTACCCGAGTGGAATTAAAAGTGAACTTAAATTCCATTTTTTTAATACTCTTTAGCACTTACAGTAGCACTATAATTTAATAAACTAAACGACTAGAACCAACCAGTCAACCAGCTAGACTGATAATGGCAAAGTAAAAGCCTTCTCCTTTAGTAGTTACGTATCCATAGTTGTACAAAATTATTAATCTATCACATAAACGAATGAGCTTTTCATGCACACATGCAGTTCTCTGATGATCTAAAACGTGAAATATACCGAATACTGTATAAGTCCATAGTTACGTGATAACTTACATCAAAAACACTCACGCAATATGTAAACTTCATTAATAATGCACTTGGTCTTGGATGCTTGTCTTGATTTTAGGGACGATATACTTAACTGTGAATACTTCCATGACGGCTATATATATAAGCCCATGCGAAAGCCGTTTGTCGAAAGTCCTCTTTCCCAACATATATTTAAAAACATCTTCCAAACTGATCACAATATATATTAAATATGCGAGGATAAATACACTGTAATAAAAAGGATTGCTGTACATGTATTTTGATTAAAATATAATCATTTGCAAATTTCACTCGGTTACAATATGCATGGCAATGTTCAATTAAAGGTTTATTGTTATCAAGTGCATGTGGTTAGCTATACCTGACGATATTTTTGCTCTCTATAAAAGAAAAATTTCATGGTGCATGACTAAGACGCCTCGAGACGAAATGCTCTTTCTGTGAATATCGCAACGGCGCACGAGACCAAATGCAGTTCTTTTTGTCAATGCGAATTTGACAGTCGAAATGTCGCTCTTCCGTTTGCAAAGAACTGTTCCCACTTCGTAGGCCGATTGGTTGAAGCAGGTCGTTGTCGATCGACCGCCGCAGACGGCATTGCCAAAGTTCGTCAAAAGAAAACCATTTTACGCTAAATGGATAAGTGGCAATTTAGGCAATCATTTTAAAAATTGGGCAAAAAATGCTTTTAAGATCGGCATCCCTCTTTCATGGCGAACTGCGGTCATTCCCTTATACGCAGGCACACTTCTCCCGATCTAAAATCTACCCATTCTCGTACAGATATCCTCTTGAGCGGCGTCGGAGGAGGGCATACCGAGAACGAAATTCTCGGAAACACTGCGTGGGTAAAAAAACTATTGACATGTAGCTATATCACTGATGTATATGGGTTGGGCGAACCGCCCACTGACCTGGTAGTAAGACTGGATATGGCATCTTTAGCCGGAAGCAATCGTGAAGCCGTGACAGAGCCTTATTTGGGCCTTAACAGGCTCTCAATCCGCCGCCCCCCTCCTCATGTCCGGATAGGTCTTCGCCCCACATGTGAATGAGATATTTTCCCTTTACAAAGCAATAAAAAGTTATAGGAAACGATTGAATAGAATTTCTTTATGACGTTTATGTTATATATATGCATGGTATGAAGGGAATGCAGCCGATGACGGCTAGATTAAAAGAAACCTGACATTAAATGACATACACAAAGCTATTGCAGCCCCATTTAGGTTTGATACGGATGAACTTGGCACGGATGACATTTCAGTGGACGATCTATTTAGGTAGATCAGTTTTATCCGTATCAACGCTGAAATTAAACAAACCTCATTTACACTACACGCAATTTTAGGTTTGATACGGATGAACTTAGGTCGATCAGTTTCATCCGTACCAACACTGAAATTAAACAACCCCTATTTACACTACGCGCAATTTAAGGTTTGGTACGGATATAAATTTCACCCGTACCATTTTTTCGGTACCGTACCAAAAATTGTGCGTATAGTGTAGATGGGACTTAAGTATCATGACAATTTAAGATACCTTTTCACTGCTTTCAGTGTCATTTCGCCCCCCTTCCCCCCCCCCCACATCCTTAAAAAGGCCTTGAGCCATAAGTATATATAGTTGATCATCCTTCGACCAAACTCCTACAGATTTGTATATGTTAAACGATCGTAATTTCTCACATTTTTGCCCTGTTAACGCTTCTGACGGCTTGCCAGTAATTTCATATAGCCGGATGTAGGATCATCTAAGAACAGGAATAAACCAATATTGGATTGTTACAGTTTTGTACCGACGCGGAACGCTGGGGCTGAAAACTTTGAAGGACTTTGTCTTTGATTTACATATCAGCACAATGAAACACGAGTTCTTTGTGCCATATTTTTAACGACTGCAGTCAACTCAGAGTAGCGAATTACTCGTATATGGTCTGGTAAATATATAGAAAACTTATTTAAATGAAACAGGTATATGCCACATAGTATTGACCGTTAACTGTTAACGTGGAATAAAAAATAGTTTTACTAATCTCTTAGACTTAGTGTAGAGCAGGTCGACAGATTGGCAGAGTCACTTCAAGTGACATTGAAGCCCTTAGTATTTCTTATTATACTGTAATGGTCTGATTGCTGCGCCCGGCGTTTCTAAAAATCTCTAAAACTAATGTAACTGTCCATAGCAGTAAATTATACAACCCTAAGACTACAAAATGTATATATATATAGAACAATTGTCTTGAATTGAAAGTGAATTAAAACGTGACGCCATCCCAATATTGACGATAGCTCCCTTGTCCTCCTTATAGATAGCAGATAGCAAACATATGCATTTTAAAGGTATAAAGCCGGCAAACTCTTGACTTTAATCAGCCGCCAGTGATCAGTTTTCACTTACAACCGTTCGGCTATAATTGCTATGATTTCTAAAGAGCCGAACTTTGTATGGAGAGAAATATCCTCTTTAGCTTTGTTAAGATTTTTTATGTGATTATATATGTTGCAGACTTTAAAACACACGAAACACGGCACTCGTGGGTTGTTATATATATAATATATTATACTCAACTGGACTGACAAACTGACATTGTTAATTCACATATGTAATACCATACACCGTAATGAGAACACATATATACAGTTGCGGCTATACTAGCTGACTCAGAGATGAAGAAAAAAAAACTTTTTGGGGTTTCAATTTGGGCGAATCCACTCTCTATATATAATTACGTAATCCCGTATATGACTAGCTGGTTCTGTTGAAATTTGTACAATTCTAAGAATTTTCCATATTTTGCTATATTTTCAGCATTCGTCATTTCAATATCACGCATATCAACTATTGTCATTGCCACGACAAAACATTTTAAGTAGTTGTTTACCTTTTTTGTTCATCCCGCGTTCAGACGTCGAACTTTTGATCCGCCGAACCTAATGTTAATGAGTTAAAGTCTCTCCCTAAGTTCATTTGCATTCGATTCGGCACATGAAAAGTTCGACGTCTGAAACGGGCCTTCGGCCTTAGTCTCTCACCTTTTAACTATACGAAATTTGCGTCTCCGAACTCGCGAACTGGTTGATTTTACTAAATTGAAAATTCTTTGAATAATCATGACATAGCTACCATTTTACTGGTAGCAACCGACGTCTAGGAAATATTGACGTAAAACGAACTGGGAAATGTTTGCCCTCGTCATCGGATATTTTGCCTAGCCCGTTTTTATAGTGTTAAACACCGACGCCCCGATTCAGAATTTCAGCAAAAAGTGAACCAAGAGCTGCTTTCTACTGTCGCGTTTTTTGCACGTACGTACACGCACGTAAAAGTTTCAAATAATCTAAATGCTACTTACAAAATATACGGTTGAAAAGATGCATAGGGTAGGATTTTGTTGAAGATTTGGTATGTTTTTTCTGCAATGAAATTGATTACATAACAACTTAGAAGGTTTTAAACTTTTACGTGCGTGTACGTACGTGCAAAACTAACCGAAACAACTCATACTTTCCGAAATTCCACATGAGGTAACGTTGGGGGATGTAAATGTTAGCAAATTACACTGGCGGTCAAAAAGAACTGCTCAAATGTTGCTATTGTCGTATGTAACAGGAATAGTAACAATCAATATTTTATTGTACACTAGCGGTCAAAAGAACTGTTTAGATACAAATTCTAAAGCGGTGCTGTGAAGGGGTGCTGCTACTGTGAATCTTCAATCTTGTCAAATAAAAGTAATTTCGAATGTCTCTTTACGTGGTAGGGCTTTAATGTTTTGCATTGTACACTAAAAATCATTGTACGTAAAACTATTCTCAAATACGTCATTATAGTTTCGGAACTCCTTAATTATTTGTTTTAGGTAGGCCCTGTTTACACTATACCGGGTTCGTATGGTCACCGACACGATATCAAAATTGATGTGTTAGAGAGAATTTTTCTGCTAAAAGCATGATAACATGATTGCTTTAACATGGTTTGCTAAATAAAGGGGCAGAGATACCGTAAAACACCTTAAACTGATTTCGTGACCATGTGAATCCGGGTATAGTGTAAACGGGGTCTTATTACAACAATGGCTGATCAAGTCTTGACCTTATGCACGCGTGAACAAACAGTTTTTTGACATTTTGAACTTCTGTGCATTTTAAATACGATGTTGACGTGCTGTTCGAGAACAATTCCTACACACGAGGGCATTCAAATTTTTAGAAGCGGAACAAATGCACAGAACGGATTGACTTCCGTTGAGTTGTCGATAAGCCAAAAATAAATAACATTTTGTCTTTGACTTTGCCTTTGATATATGTTATGAACGAAAATCTGATTTGCAATATGTGTTGTAGTAAACCATATTGTTGTTTTCATTTTTACGTGTGATAAGTGCACACTTCATGCTCTCTTTTTAGGCCCATCCACCGTTTAAAGTAAAGGCTTCTTCGTACAACCCGGCTCTGCCGAGACCATAGATACACTAAGGTTATCATGTCGTATAACTCGTATTGAAGGTTACAGTGACAGTGTACGGGTACTTTGGCTTGGCCTCAGTTGAGATAATTTAATACGTATAATTTTGAGTGTCTCACTTTTAACACAAAAGTTAAACCGTCCTAAATTCCCTGTTCAGGTATTCACACGGTAAAAATCAATAAAAACTGGTTCTACGTATTCAAACGGGAAAAAATGATGAATTCGGCCAACTGAAATCGTCCGTTCCAGTGGGAACGTGAACCTGAGCGGCAAATTGTTTTGCTAAGGCCCGCAGTGCCAGATTCCCATGGTCACGACATAAAAATTAGCCATGTCAAAGCGGTTTTACTGCAAGTATGATAGCATAATTGCTTTAACATGATCCGCAAAATGAAAAAATTCTGTGGAGAAAGATACCGTAAAACAACTTAAAACGATTCCGTAATCATGTGAATCCGGTCTATATTAACTATGATCCGGTATAGTGTAAACGGGGTCTAGCGGTAATCGCGGGGGACGGGGGTTCACTACCGTCACAGACAGGGTCACGGGCGTTCTTCACGTCATCAGCCCGTCATCCAGACAGCAACGTCCAAAAAGAGGATTGTAGGTGAGACAAGGTGAGACATTTAATGCGAAAGTGCGTATGCTGGTCGTATTTGTCGATGCGTCTGGAACACGCGCGACGTAGTAAAACTGCACAGGCGAAACTGCAACAACTACAGGAAGTGATGTCATATCTTTGCCACCGTTTTTTCCCTGGATACGTCATTTTTCTTCGAATAGAAACACGAGAGTGTGTGCGCATATAAACATGGCCGACGTTCCAATCCGTGAGTTTCAAAGCCGAACAATTCTAGCCATTTCGTGTGGCTCCTAAACGCTCTGCTGCCAAGTGAACGCTTTAAACGTAAAGTTCTGAGAATCTTTTAGTTGTTTATTTGTAATATAGCATCGTGTCGGCCTTTTAAGGTGTATTTTTAAACCGTATTTTTTGAGTATGAGCGAACACACGGGTGAACGGCTTCGTATGCGACCATGGCTTGAGAAGCAAATCAACGGCGGTCGTATCCCCGGATTGGTATGGGAAGACAAGGCTAGAGGGATTTATAAAGTCCCCTGGAAACATGCTGGAAAGCCGGGTTTTGTTCTGGAGCGGGATGCACTGTTGTTTAAAGAGTGGGCCAGACATACTGGCAAGTACAAAGATGGTGAACAAGCCGATCCCTCGACTTGGAAAACAAGGTTTCGCTGCGCCCTACATAAGCTACCCGACGTGGAGGAATTGAAGGATCGGAGTTACTTGGAGGGCGAGCAACCCTTCAGGGTCTTTCAATTCCTACCCAAAGGTAAGATTGGCAGCTAAACCTTCCAGTATTGTTCTGTATGTGAGTTCAATGACAGGCTAGACGTAAATATAGGTACTACAAGAGTTGAAACAATTTGATTTTCAAACAGGAAACAAACCACGACAACGATTACAGTACAAGGTTTCACAATATTATTAGCTAGTTAATATTTCACCATTTTTTAAACGGGTATTTTCTATTTTAGCACACAATTACCGAGCATTGATTGAAGGGTAGTTGGGTTTAATAAATTTACATTCGAAACTCATTTTAGAATTAAACACTTAAAACGAAAGTAAGTGTAAAATTGCATATCCGTACACTGGCGTCAAAACAGATGTTCCCTTTGTCTGCCTTTCTTTATATTTTGTGCTAATCTAATGTAGATTTTCAGACTTGGCAAGTGTAGGTAATAAAGAATTCTAAATCACTTTCAGTTTAGTTTGTTACCTGTAGCCATTCTCGCATATTTCATGATATAAACCATGGTTTATCTGCTATTTGAGAGTTGCCGTATTGTAAACTCTATGAGTTGAACTCCAAACAATGTGGTCAATTTAAACCGTCTTGCCAATTTGTATCCTAGGTACATCCTCTAATTTGGGGCCACTGAATTGTAAACTTTTAGAAAATCTAAACAATGTAAAGAATTTGAATCTATGTTTCTATGAGTAATTAACAATCAGAATACCTTTAAAAAAAGTTAGACAAACTCACTAGGGACAAGATGTAATGCGAAGAATATGCAAGATCAACCACTTCAGAAGAAGATCGACAACGACTTTACTTGTGGTTATACAAAAAATGCATACAACACTGCCTAATTTTTGTCACTTTTATAGTCTGTCAAATAATTTAAGAATTTTGAGATGAATCAGCGAAGTCAGAGGAAATTTGCTTTGTCTGTTAAGAGTTTTAATTGTACAGATGACATTTTTTAACATTTTAATTGTCGAAACTGCTTAGACTGTGATCAATATTTATTCATTTCGTATTTGAAAGAATCATGCGCAAGTTATGTAAGATATATTGTGTCCGTTCTACTAGGCACTAAGACTGAACGACCTGACAGTGCTCCTTCACCTGCATTTACAGATGTTTCCGTCTCACCACCTGTTGATAATGTGAGTATAATTATGTGTCTATGTTGTCTGCAGGGTACAATTTAGCTTTGTTAAGTATATTGCAATTAAGTTCCTCCAGGGTTAATTAGTATCAATTTATTTCTCTGCAGTGTATGGTTCAACATCTTTGACAGGGGGGGGATGCTGGCCCTCTACTCCTTTAGTTAATTGTCCTTTAGTTTTGTCACAGGTTTTGTGCATATATGTGTCATGTAGTTTTAGAATTGGAATGATGTATTTTCTCAGTATGTGTTGTAATTAGTTCAAAGAAAGGCTTCTTTGGCATATTCAGTACAATTGTGCATGTTTCACAGGCAAAACTATACCATGGGGTGACCAAATTTGAAATCAGAAAAACCCACAAAGCTGTCAAGATGTAATAACCCTGAATAAAAAAAACATGTAGTTGCAAACCTTTTAAAAATTATAAAACTGTATATTAAAGGCTTGTTTTGTTTTGTTTTTTGTGCAGAATGCAGAAGAACCAAAATTTTTTGGTAAGTAGAATCTTCTTCTCACCAATTTTTTGTGTGAAATTAATGGGAATCAGAATTAAAGTAATATTGTATTGCATATATCCCTGTCTGATGATGTTTATGGAATACACAGTTATACATAATGCTCAGATGATTTAGAGTTCAACAAAAAAGCGTGGTTTATTATGCGTGACTTGATATGTAACTGCATTGAAACAACAGTAAAAAATGGTGTCCAAAAACCGGACAATAAGGGATGGACGATAGCCACTTGTTTGCACACAGTTTGTACTTTAATGTGTATCATTTACACCTTCTATAAACCCTTTTCCGTTTTTATATTACCTCTCAAAAGGGACCCTATTACCTTTTACGGTCCATTTATTTAAACTAGTGCCAAAAATATTCAGAAATGCCTTGTAAAAAAAAACAACATTGATCTCAAAAGTTGAGCACTGGAAAAACCAATGAACAAAACTCCAAAAGGCTCGTTCGTAAACAACTTTGATTGGCTACTGATAAAAAGGTAGCCAATCAAATGCCAAATTAGCAGAACAGTTTATGCTGCAAAGTTTGCATCTGAGAACACGACTGTGTTAAATTTTTATTCCAAAATTTTCTTGTTTTTATAGTTAATAAGGTTCTTGAAAACTGTTGAAAACTAATGGTTTTAAAAATTCTTTAACATTCTTTATCAATTTAACACAGATACGGGTTCCTTTCAAATCCCACATGGCGAAAGGGATGTGGACGAACTACAGAAAATACTTATTGATACTTACGACGAGGTATATATATCCATAGTCTCTGCTAAACATCCGCGCTAACTGTGCCGTGTGTTTTTAAATTTGTATTCTGCTTTTCGTATTTTTGCGTCGCTGCTTCGTACCAAGACATTTTCGGCAAGGAAATGTTTCATTTAACCGCGACAAAACAGCTTAAATTATACTTGATTAATTTGAACAATATTGAACAATTATAATCCTTTCGCAAACGCGAATGTGGAAAAATTGTATCATTTCGATTGCAGTTTTGGAAACGACAGCACGCGAGGCCGACCTGAGGGTTTCTTTAAATTAAATAGTTTAAACAATTGGACGTTTTGATTTTACTATACACTAAAAGCGATGATAATATTAATTGTCCATAATATTAAGAGGAGATATTTTTCTACGTCGCGTAATATATGCTCAAAACCTCAGTTATATCTTCATGCAACAGCACTAAAATTTTCAGCATTAAAAATGTTTTACAAACCTGAAAAGCATCCACAAAGTATGTTTACTGTATAATCTCAAAATATTGTAAAAATGAAAAGATTTTTCGGGATACGCCGAGAAGAAAATGACACTTGAATCGAAGCTTCTTTTGTATTCATTTCAGTTATAATGGCGTTGACATTATAATTATAACATTGTTGATAGCCGCCGCATTATATTTTGTAATAACTCCTTTGTTTGGTGTTTTGCATTCACCAAATACAGTTCAAAACTTAGTTCAAACATAATCTCAAGAATAACGGTAAAATAAATGGATTTTGAGTGGTACGCCGAAAAGATTTTAGGTTTTGAGCGTTTTCCCGCCAAAATACGTGACATAATAAAAAATCTCCTCTTAATATCCATAAACAAAGTTAGAAGTTAAAGTGACCTTTGCACGCACATTTTCATTTCTTTCACGTGGTCCTTTCCCGCCAAAATAGCGTAAGCTAAAATTTGATTGGTTTTTGGCATTTGCAGATAAGAACATGTGATTATGAGAATTACACGGCTGTATATTTTGTTTTTGGTTAACTATATTATATGCTCAGGCTATAAAATCAATTTCAATAGAATTTATTTCTTTTTCATGTTCCTTTACAGTGGGATAACCCTGAAATGAGTGAGTATTGGCGATTGGATTGTATTTTTGTCGTTGAATACTATGATTAAAATTCTCTTATTTTTCCATGAATTTTCCATGAATTTTTCCTAGATTTCTCGTCTTCACTGGATGCTAATAGTTTCATGTGTGAATATTCAAACGTGCCGACTTTCCCAGAACCATTTCAACCGGATCCAATGGCAGTGGGACCTGAAATTAATGATATCATCGGAATGAACCCAGAAGGTATTCCCAAAACTATTTGTATTTTACTTTTTCTAAGAATGGAGGACAAAAGGGCTTGCCATGAAGAATTGGCAAGTTTTTATACTTTGTCCAACATGCGAAAATTGTTACCATTTTCGGGCCAAATTCATGTGGTCAGAATTTGCGCCCGCGCAATATATGCGGGGACTATATTTACTTCATTTTACAACTTTTGCAACCCAAGATTTGCAATTTCGCATTTTCTGATATGCTCCTTTCGATACTTTTTTCCATATAAAAATTTAGAAATGCAAATTGTCTATTCTTTAGTTACATTTAATATTAGCGGTTCGAAACTTTTGGCACTTCCTGAAATAGAATATTAGCCGGTAGCGACCTTTAATTTATCGAAACCCTTCCGGCGCTGGCATCAACTTCCAGGGGACTCCCCTTGTGAAGCCGCAAAGCCATGGCATATGCCTGCATGTGAAGTCTATAAGAATTTTGTAGTCTTTTTAGTAAAATGATGTTAGTCGAACATTTTATTATTAACGCTTGTCAGAACAGTGAAATTTTCTGCAAATATAGTAGCCTTAATTTTTAAAAAACCTAAGAATCTAAGGTTCTCCTTCCATCTTAGCTTTAATACCCTACCAGAAATGAAGGTTCTCCTTCCATCTTAGCTTTGATACCCTACCAGAAATGAAGGTTCTTTTTCCATCTTAGCTTTAATACCCTACCAGAAATGAAGGTTCTCCTTCCATCTTAGCTTTAATACCCTACCAAAAATGAAGGTTCTCCTTCCATCTTAGCTTTAATACCCTACCAGAAAATAAGGTGGGGTACCTGTCCAAAATGTAAACGAACGCTTTGTTTACATTTCGAATCGCAAAATTTTTTTTAAAAAAATATCAAGAACTTTCAGAATGTTTCACATTCTTTTATTCGCATGCTCCGAAATGAGAAAAATTTCATATGTTCAAAGTTATACGAAGTAATGGAAATTTGATGCCGATGTGCTGAAGGCAATGTAACCCCTCTTTAAATAGTAATTGAATACTATTTTGTCCAAATTTTGTAAAAGGAAAAGTATTTTTGGCGCTTAGGTTGCTGTTTTGAACTTTAGTCAATATCCCGTGAGCCTACAAGTATGCTCAAAGTGAATTTTTTTGTTGTAAAGAGATGAATGTTGGCCTTAAAATTTTCTACCGTGAAAATCAAGTTTTGGATATGACAGTCGGTAACCACTTCGGGTGTCGTTTATATTCGGGGGTGGACGTCACGCGTGTCCCGGGCTATAACGATTCCCTCGCCCCAGTCTACGGGCCGCCTGAGGTGCAGCAAATATGTTTCCCGGACAAAGGAAGTCCTGCGGGCATAATGGAGAAACTCAACCGAGGCTTACTTCTTCAATGGCAGCAGAACAGTATCCAGGCAACGCGATTTTGTCAAGCACACGTGTTTGCGAGCGGTGGGTGCTTGGGCTCCAAAGTCGTACCACTTGCTCGGGGGCAAACGACCGTAGTGTTCGATTTTAATCATTTCCTGTCGTGTTTGGCTGAGTATAAACTGTCGAGAGCACCTCTGCCATTGTACGAGGTGTTTTTTTCGTTCGGACAACAGCCAGCGACCGCTACGACGGTCGATCCAGGCGTCCTGATTACCGTCTCGGTGACTCATAACAATGCAAAGGAAAGTATCAGCAAGATGGGGAGTGCATCTGATGTTATCATGTCCATTGAGGACGAATGCGATAAATTGGCTGCGCAGCTGCAAAACTACGTGAAGATTCAACAGCAACATTAAATAAATACACGACGTTTAGACTATCATGATGGTAGAAACTAGAAATACATTTTATGGCGTACTTTTCACCGCAAACGATGAAACGTAAAAATTTTCAAAGGCTTAAGAATGCAAAATTGTAAATATTCCTCGCTGTATTTTGAATACGACATATGTAGGCGAAAGAAAATCATGGGGAATATACAGTAGAAGACATGACGCAGGTTGATCGCCTTGAATTATGGCCTGGCATTTATATATTAACCGTCTCTCGATTGCAAAAGTTGAATGACCCTACTGTATATACCCTGTGCTGTGGTAGACAGTAAAATTTCAAGTCATTTCGCAGCTTGTAGAGTAAGAGTATATGCAGAAGTACAGTAAAGTGTACAAATTTTAAAACTAAAGGCGCTGTTACGCTATGCAATTTTCCTTCGAAATGCTAAGAAAACGTTAGCAGATCGTAAGAAATGTTCGTTTTTGTCAACTTTAGATGCCTTAGGAGAAGAACTACATCGCAAGTTGCAAGGAAATTTGCGCAGTATAACAGCGTCTTAGGAAGTTGTAAAAACCCCACTGATCTGGAAATTTAAGAATTACGGAGTGGGATGGAGCATGTATATACTGCTTAATTTAGCGACAGTTATTGTAACCAGACTATCCAGTTTTTATTTTTAGATCAGTGTCATTTCGTCCACCAATATTTCTTGTCGTAGACATGGGAGCAAGCATGATCATTACAAATATATTTATAAAATATATGCATATTATAATGTTTTCTTACCATCGGCGTCTTTGTATCAGAGTATTTTTTGAAGATGTTATATTTTTGCGGTGTATCGGTGTATGAAAAACGTTTACGGTTGTTCAGACAGCTTTGACATTTCCTAGAAATTATCAAAACCTAGAATCGGCTAAAATCGTCAAGCCTTAAAATCTTGGAATTTTTAGTTTATTAATGAAGCTTGCTTAGGAAATAAACACAAAACAAGCTTCAGCCATTTTAATGCTTTCTGTGAAAAAATATTTACTTTTTTATACACCTTCCATAAGCAAAACTCCTTGCTTACCCTTGTGTAAGCACATTAAAACTTGGAACATGATAAAAGAGAAACCAAACGTTTCGGGTTAAGAATTTACCCCACTAGCAAACCAAATATATCATTTCTGAGACGGTATATTTGATAAGCTGGATAAAATTTTTTAAGGAATAGCAGTTGTGTAAGTGATATTTTAGAAGGTGATTTGTACTGGTTTCAATTTACAGAACGAACAACTAAATTTGCTCGAGTTTAATTTTCATTTTCCCTGAAAGTAAGAAATCGTGAACTCTAGTTATTATTATTATTATGGTTCATTATATCATATATCATATATAAAAAAAACTATAACATAACACTATACTTCATGCATTTATATTGATCATACATTCGAGTATTGATGAGAATTGTATACAGTATGATCAGGTAACAAAATTTGGTTATATGATACATGCAGTTACATTTTATAATCGATTGTTCATTTTAACCACACTGTAACCCATGGTGCCTGATGGTTATACCGAGCGTTTGGCCAATCAGTATTGGTATTTGGTGAATCAAAACCGTTCGTGTTCTGGGTCCATCCGTGAGCAGGTCTGCCTAATTTCATCACACCAATTGCCATGCAATAGTCTCCCGTCTTCGTGTTGCCATCCGTGTTGAAGGAAACGGCGGGATACGAGCCACCGGCTTGCCCATGAGGCAAAATTCCAAATTTATTTTGGAAGCATCTCTAAAAAATGTGATGAGAGACTGAAACATGATCCGAAAATTAACATGTTGTAAAATAAAAATAGAAATTTTCAAAGGTAAAATTGCATAGTTGAAATTCCTTGAGACAAACCTGTATTCTTCCATTCCAAGCTGTCACAATAACAGATTCCATTCTCTCCTTTAAAACTGCACCTATGCCAATACTATGTTTCCATAATCTCTGACTATCGCGTCCATCCGGCAGTGCCCATTGCACCCAGAACAAGCCAATGCCATTTCTATTTTCACCGCTGGAAAACCTGATAGTTGACGCATGATACGTTGCTAGGTAACGAGCATCAATACAGCCAACTTCGCTACAATAAAAAGAAATAGACCTTTTTAAGACTGCACACAATGTGAAAAAATATAATCACCTCGTCAAAATGTCACTTTGTATGACGATAGGTGATAGTGAATTTAACGATACGTCATGAGACAACCTACTATCGGGGACGTGAACAAAAAAGGTATTTCGGAAAAAAGCAGCTGCCTTGGCCTTGTTGCTCTTCTAATTTCGCTATAGGCAGTCATTCACTGCAAATCTTGAATTGTTACCTTTACCTTGGTAAACCAGAGTGTCTCAAAGCATCTTGATTATGATTCTTGATTAACCAAAACGTGTGTAAATCGTCGACGGAGCCGCTGACCTTTCCCACCAATGTCCAGCCGCCGTTTGTGAGATCACAGTATGTTGGTACCGAGCGGTCAGCGGCGGTTTTAATCCAATATACTCCATTTCTGAGCCTATGACGGCCATTATCAAACGACACATCATGTATTTGCTTGCAGGACGTTGCAGGATTCTTTTCTGATGTGCCTAAGCCATGAAATTCTCTCAAATTCACTTTGCATTCTCCGCCGAGGGAAACGGTGGGTAAATTAGGAATATATTTTGTTATTTTAATTTTCTTATAATATGTACAGCACGTGGTATAGCTGTAGCGGCAGCCTAGGCCGAACGTGCCTTTGTCGACATACCATCTTCGGGACACCTTCTGATTCCTGTGTATGTTATTGCCATTGATCCAGTGTGAAAACCTGAAATTATATAATTCTATAATTATTTTTATAATTATAATTATATAATTCTATAATTCTATAATTATAAGTTAAATTCAAATATTAATTTTATGCTTGGTTTCGTTAACCAAAGTAGCTAATTAGTTCTCACGGCTCATTTTCACTAACGATAAATTGCCTAATGCGGGCTGAGGCTGAGACAAAAATATGATAACAAAATGATTTATGAACATCCATCCAAACGGACTTAGGAATCATTATGCCTGCATTTGGGGTGCCGTGTGGCGTGTGCCAAAATTTGAATGCCGTGTTCACGAATTTTAGCCCGTGGGGATTTAATGCAATTTATAAAATGCTAAATACGAAAAATTTGAAATTGTGAATATGATTAAATTTAAATTAGCCTTGTTATTGCTTCGAAAGAAATGGTACAGCTGACCGGGGAGCAACGGATGTTTATTGTCAACGCGTACGAAACGCTTTTCGACAAAGGTACACAAAGGACAAGTTGTAAATATTGTTATTAATAAATATTTTTGCGTACAAACAAATTTTACTGCATCATGCATAAAAATGCTTATGGCAAACATTTATACACTTGGGAATCCCAAAAGAGTGCTTAGGCATTCGAACTCTAACAATTACATTGTTATGGGTGATTTCAATATATGTTTTCGTTTTTTGAGACACTCTGTATATTAATCATGGTAAAAGCTACATTGGAATAATTGTTATATATTATCCCCTTGGAATTGCAATCAAATCTATGGTTGATGCTATGGTTTATGGTTATAATCGAATCACAAACCTTACACTCTTTTTACTTGCGCATTTCACCATCCCTTTAACTACTTCTTCTAACCTTTGCAATTTTACCCGAACCAGATCATCTTTAAGGTTTTTCAATCTCCGAAAACATGTCATAGGTGGTTCCGGCATAATATTAAAATAGGACCAGAATCTACATGTATTTAATATATTCTCACCCCAATTAAATCTAAACTTATTCGAAAAGCACCAAAAGAACGGTTTATTTGTTCCTCGTGGTGGAATTGCCGTATCATGCGATCGAAATCAAATCGCGCATCAAAAAATTGGTCACAGATTTCGAGCTCTGCACCAACTGTTGGAAGACAAAACTTTGACGTAGATAAATATACGGTCACATACGAGGTCGCATACGCTCTTCAGTGAGCGTCGCATCCAGTCAAGTCCTGGGTACAAATGAGTATTATACAATTACTTAATGGTTTCCGTGTTTGGATGGCCTGATCCAAACACGCGGGAATGTTGCGAGAGTTAAGAAAAGCGCGCGAAACACGAGCCGAAGGCGAGTGTTTTGCGAGCTTTTCTTAACTCGAGCAACATTCCCAAGTGTTTGGATCAGATCATCCAAACACGGAAACCATTAAGTAATTGTTTTATAAAATAACAAACCATAATAAATGTGTTTTTAAATTCCCGCGAAATTTCCGTGTTTGGATGGCCTGATCCAAACACGGGCTTCAACCAATCAGAACACGCGTTATATACATGTTATTTTATAATTCACTTTTCTAATAATTTGAGTACTTTGAGTAATTTCCTGTTTGATAAGGATAATGTTTCACCTAGTTCTATATATTTTTACTGGCAGAAGTCAAAACAGGACTCATTTATGTTGGATAAACGTCTGGTTGCTTAGGTATCAGCCATTTCCCAATCGAGCAGAGTACTGGGTATAGTTGCGAACCGCAAAACATCTATGGACTGTTTGTAAGGACAAATGATTCCAGACTTATAGTTCCTGTGTAATAATTACTATCCTTGAATCCTAGTTCAACGCTCCTGCCTGGGTTGTTTTTATTTATAAGGTCAAATTTCTTAGATATATTGGTTGTTTTCTTATTTAACCAATCATTGTTGTTAATTAACCGTAAATACAAATTGAAACGAAGGGTACAAATCAGGGATGCAAACAAACCTGTCGCCGACCACGCGATACTTTACAGCAGCCCTCTCTTGGTCGGTGAACAGTCGTTTAGTTAGACGTCTTCTGAATAACGAATTCCCAGCGTACTTTTCGTCTTTAGAAGGTCGCATACTACACATCTTTCTTCCAACGTTGTATTCAAAATTCCATGCGCTTGTACTGTAAATACTTGCGTCGGAAACTCGCAGGAATACTCCGGGGTATGCGCCGTAATTTTTCTCAAAAAATTCCAAATCAACTTCAATGTCTCTCCAATTGTAACCGTTCTTAGCGAAAATTGCAATTTCAGCTCTTGGTGTTGTTCCTCGAGTTTTTACATTCAGCTCTCCGTTTTTTACTTGAATTTCTCCCGAGTTTTTTTGCCATTTTTTCTCCCAGTCTGAGTCGGAAAAATCGTCATAGAATAGGTAGACACCCTCTGGACTTTCTTTCGCACGGCTGGCATCCTTATTTCCTAAGGAAAATATTATCATTGAATATATAATAGAAGAATGAAAATATTACAGAGTGTGGAAAGGTTTGTCCATGAGAAAACGCATTTTGGTATTAATTAAACTGCTCAACGACGTATATTATGTTTGTAATTATATAGTTGTAGTACTGGGGCCGGTTGTATCAAGCCCGTTTAGCTTAAACGATGGATAAATCAAAATTAAATAACACTCTTAGATCTCTCTTGAATGAGTCAACTTGTATATTATGCACTGAATATGTAGTTGTAAACAGTATTTTTGTATTAAGGTTAAAAACATTTAGTTTGCTTGTTGAATAAAACGGCAGACTTGCTTTCTATTTTGAACTTAACCACCCGTTTAAGCTAAACGGGCTTGATACAACCGGCCCCTGCATGTGCTCTGCTTGAAAACGACAATCCAAATACAATGTCAGAGGAAGCACACAAAGTTGTTGTTTTTTCAAAAATATTAGCATGTGACAAATCTGTATTTTTGTGTTGCATGGCAGATACATATTCGTAAAGTCAAGGTGGCATCATATATTTTAAAATCTTCGAAATTCAAACGTAATTAAATATAATAAATATATTTTATGAAGATTAGGTAAGCGTAAAAAAGAATACCATATGCTAAGTAGTAACTGGATCCGGCCTGACTCTCCTCTTGAAGTTTAAACCAAACTTTTGTGCTCGCCGTGGCAATGTTTTCCAAGATACGATCAATCTCTCGTGGTTTGCAATCTGAATCACTACGGAAATATACCCTCAAATCGTTGCCGTTTCTCATTGCCATACTTTCGGCGATCAATTTGCGGTGGTTCACTAAAAACGTATTATACAGTATAGGTATATAAATGCATGACTGCACAGAATGAATGGAATGCATGAAGATTACGCGATCTTATTGATATCATGTAACATACTTCAACTTGTTGCTTTCTGATTCTTTATATAATATATACAAAACATGAGAAGCCAATGCTTGAGATATAGAACATATATTTGCATGTAAACTTATACGATCAGGATTCTGAACAAAATAAGTCGGTGAGGTCCAGTAGCGTAGCTAGCCTGACGATTTGTCCCGCTATCAGGGGCGTAACTTGACCCTAAGCGTTGGGGGGGTGTGAAGCAAATTTGCCCTACCAAAGGGCGTGACCTGCAACAAATACGCGGAAAAGGGCGTGGCAACCAAATGCAATTATAGCTCTTTTTGATAGGCTGTGAGACAGTTATATATTTATTACGCAAACCCGGCTGCATAAAACTGAAAGCGAGATTTTGATATATATTTCGGAAATTATTGAAATCTACGAGGCGCCACCATGGTTGGCGCCGAGAGAAAGATTTTCGAAAATTCGGTCCTCTAGATCGTCGGAAACGGCCTTCTCAGACTGGCAACTTTCTCTCGAATTGTAAGTCGCACCCACGCCTAATTTTCAAGACTTCCCGCACCCGAACTGATTTTCAAAAAGCGATATCTCCTGCAAATTAAGTTAACTGAAAAATCTCAAGTTCTGCGCATTTGCAGTCTCTCTAACCAGCGAACCCCTATTTGGATCGATTTTACTAACTTACAATTCTTATAGCTGCATGTAAATTTAAAGTTTCGTTAGTTTGTTTAGTATTCATATGGTTTTTTTTATCAATTTGGGCAAAAATTGTCCAGCCTGAACCCAGCGGTCTGCCCTGCAAATTCCCAACAAATTGCCCTACCAAAACACTGTTTTCAACAATTGGGGGGGTGTCACACCCCCCCCCCCCCCCCAACAGTTACGCCCCTGCCCGCTATGCTAATATTTTGGTGTTTATTGACTGTGAAAACAATGAATTTCTAAAGAAATGAATAATTAAAACTATATGATAACTCGAAATTTACATAGCGGGACAAAATCGTCAGGCTGGCTACGCCACTGGTGAGGTCTGCATATTCCCCCGGCATTACTTTATACCTTCTACCGCAACAGTGAAATCTTTCGGTAGTGATGCGCCAAATCTTATTTCACGGACGGCGGTGAATTGAGTGTCGGCATAGAACCTTTCGCAAATGTTACTTATCCCTGAACTGAGACCGTTGATCAGCTCTTTCAATTTGGTTAGCGTTTTGATGTCTTCCTGAGTCGTGTATGATACGTCTTTAAACTTTTCGTATACTGGCTTTCGTAGGTTTGGAAATCTAAATGGAGCTTGGTCGATAACGCATCTATCATATTTTTTGCTTTGTGGATGTCGTTGTATCTTTTAAGGTGTGCATTGCACGTATTAACGAAGATGAAAATCAAGACCAAGTTATTTATGCCTTGAAAAATACAATTTTTCGAGGAAGTTCGTCCGGAATACTTCATTTTCTTATTTTCACCACCGCGAAGGATTTGAAATGTTGGCAATAGGACAACCAAAGGCGAGTGAAAATGGAATTATAATGCATTTATTTATATGTCAAATATTTAGAAGTGGGGGGTATGATTGATTATCGTTGTATCGTAGTTAACATTGCAGGAGTTTTCGAGTAAAAATGGATTAAGAAGATGTAACATTGGGTTACCAGAGACACCGCGGCTGTAAATTCAATATATGAATAATATAACGACATGACATGCATGCATGATATAGAATCGAAATAATCTCATAAAGTTACTAAATTACTTTTTCAGTAACCTTATATGGAATTATAGCTCATTTTTACCACTCGGGCACAGGAATTCTGATAACTACAAGTATAGTTGTAAGTTATAACCGCATGCATGCATGGCTGACATTGCACGGTTGAGTCAACACCGCAAAAATTGGTGTTTATAAAGTTTCAACCCGAAAATCTAATGACTGGTTCACAATTGTACATTTCTGTATCGCTTCAAAGAGAAAACTATTGAATAACTTAAATATTTCATTTTTCTTCTGAATACGCATTCTGCAATATGTTTTGACAATCTTTGCAATCTTCTGCATCATACAAATCTGACAGGTGTGAGATGGCCATTTTGGGACTTGAAGTATACACAAGGTTATTAATTCAGACGATTCGTTTTTGCCGTGTGCAAACTTCAAATCTTTTGTGCAAGACATATTTTGCTGAGTATTTATAAATATGAGTTTTCTTTTATGAAAATGAGTTTTCTCACCTATAGTTTGAAGCCAAATTATTAAGAATGGCCGTCTTACCAATTTCCGCGATGGGAGTCAGTTGACGCATGGTTGCGATGTAGGAAAAAGATATTTCAATGGCAATGAATGACATTTCAACATTCCCACATTTCAACTTTAATCATGAAAACATGTATTAATTATCATTCCATTTTATTTCGCCTCTGGCTTTCTCGTTGGAAACCTTTTAAATCCTCTGCCCCATGCGTTGAATGGAATTTTCTGGAAGAATTTTCTCGAAATATTTTATTTTTTAAACAGTTAATTCTTCGGTCACAGTTTTCGCCTGCGTTTTAAAACTTCTCGTTGTAACCTTTCTATTGTACTTTCATTAAATCGCAAATCGTAGTCCAAGAACGCGGTATATAAGCTTCAGTTTTAATCATATACCTCCACCGGCCATGAGATCTATACCTGAATAGCAATGTTTCGTCTTGCTGTGGTTAATGTAAAGCCCATTTCCATTATTTACTCAAACTGATAAAAAGTGTGAAGAAAATCTACGTTTTCGTGCCGAATTTTTTCGCAAACCAATCAAATCGCCGGATTTAAGAAGTCGCTTCGCGTCGCGCGAATGAATTCGCCTAGTGAAACAGGCTTTAAGTGTGTTACCACATTTTGACGATTAAAGCCTATAAAGGCTATATATAGGTTGTATACATGGTAATTGAATCATTATATAGAAGACAAATGTATGGCAAACACCCAGTGTTCAGTACACAGCATGAACAAATACCTGGAGGTGCTTTTCGTTTCTAAACCATATATTTAGTTGCCATATTAACTTCTGTTCGATGTGATTGTAAATCACGATTAACAGCTAAGTCAAAGCATTGATGATGAGGTGCGCTGGCAAAAAAAATGCATGACCATGCAATGTGGAACCATTTTTTTTTCAAGTCTTGAAAAAAATCATGCAGATGATGAGTTTTTAAAATTTCATTATTATTTTGTTTATATTAACATCATGGACCATGGTGTAAAATGATAATCCTGCATGTAACTAAAGGTATGTGAAAGTTAGGGTTTCAGTGAACTACCATAAATACATGCGTTTCATGACAGTGTTCGTGGACCTCGACCCTAAGATTTTATATTTTTTATATCAACCCACCTACAATGCACCTTTAATCGGATTATAGATTTTACCAGTGCATGTTTTTGATGGAGTCCAGATATAAATTTTTGCCTAAGTTTTCAGACCAATTATTCAGCCTTATAATAATTAGATTTCAGTAATTGTTTGTCGGACCATTTCAATTAATAGACTATGAGTAAATTGAATTTCACACACAGTCAGTGAATATATTTGTTTTTACGCACAATCAGTGAATATATGCTAAGTGCATGTGCTAATGCTCTCGGTAATTTAATGCTGGGGCATAGCAACTGCAACGTGTTACAAGGCGCTACATTGCTGGGCGAATGTTCTTAGATTAATTAGAACTTGAAATTGACACATAACGGGGGGCTTCTAATTCGCCAGATCAGGGAAATGCTTTACCGCGCTTGCTGAAAGCCGATGCACGATAAATGCCATTGGAATGAACGAGTACCCATTTCCAATGCGAAATATATGTATGAGTGATATGGCGATCGAGGCTATGGTAATTGTGATTGCTTCATTATGCATCAGAAGATTTCTGACCGCGCACAAGTTTTTTTTAACATGATAAAAAGGACAGAACGTATTTTTGTCACGTTTCTAGATCAAATATCTATTGACTATTATTGGAATGGCGAGCTAGGTGCAGAGCAAGTTGAATTGATCAATTTTATTTAATTGTCAAATGGTCAAGTGTATTTCATGCTGAGCTCTGCCAACTGCAATTTCCAGAATGCTTTTTCACCATTTAAAACGCTGCAACATGATACGGCCACTTGTATATTCTACGTAGAATCCGCGGAAACTGCCCGAACCAGTAAAATGTGCGTTCTATTAAAAACTTAGGGCCACCAGACAATCGAATTGTGGCCACATTTTAGTACTAATATACATTGTATGACTGACTGTCAATTGATTCCCAGTGAATCGATGCTAATATTGTTCATCCTATACGCGGGCCTTTCTTCGGTATACCTCCTGGAAAAATGCACGATATATTCCAACTATTGTCTCAAAAAAATGTATTCGTGTTCAGTTAAAAAGATGAAAAAATATCTTGTGGTATAGATAGTGTAGATATTGGTTTATTATCACTGTGCCAATGCAAAACTAGAGTTGTTAAATACAACGAGTGGTGCTTTTGTTTACATATAAATAGATTATATCTTGATTATATATACTAGTTTAAGATGTGGCCATATCAATCAGCATATATATTGAGTACAAAAAAGTGTGCAGTAGAACGTGTGTAAAAATTGTGAGGAAATTTCTTCATTTCACCCAAACTGTGACGAAGGGCGACTGATGATTGTACCGCGAGTTTGGCCAATCAGAATTGCTCCGAGGGGAATCATATCCGTTCGCATTCTGTCTCCATCCATCGGCAGTTCTCCCCGATTTTAGCACGCCAACGGCCATACAATAGTCGTTCGTACGTGTGTTGCCTGCCGTGTTGTATGAAGCTGAGGGATAGGAGCCACCGTGTTGGGGGTGAGGCATTATTGCATATTTGTTTTGGTAGCATACCTGTAAGAGAATAGAGAGTGTGAACAGTGCAATAGTTGTCGATAGATTACTAAAGCCCCGTTTACACTACCCTCAATTTATTGGCACGGCACGGCTAAAATGGGTACCCGTGCCCATTTCATCAGTGCCCGGCCTTTGTTTTGGTTGCCTGACAACTAGTAAAATTGGGCACGGGTACCCATTTTAGCCGTGTCGATAAATTGACTGTAGTGTAAACGGGGCTTAAGGAGAAGTGAAGAAAAAGATAAATAACTCTGATGCATTTACAGTATATGTGATGCCACCATTCAATTTACTGGTAGTACTTATTATTACTCCCGAGACTCTAATAATATATTGTTAGGATGAACCATGCATGCATTGCACCACAAAACAGCCAAAATATTGCTGAGTAATATAATTAATAATATAAATAATAAATAATATAATAATAAATCTTAAAACCTTTGTATTCCCGTTCCAGGCATTAACGGTAACATGATACATCTTTGCCTTCTTCACAGTCTCGTAACCAACACTGTGTGTCCACAAACTGTCACTTTCTCGTCCTTCAGGCAGGGACCATTGCACCCATTTTGAGCCAATAGTCGTTTGATTGTCACCGCTGGAAAACATCACTGTTGACGCGTGATATGTTGCTAGGTAACGGGCATCGATGCAACTGACTTGACTAATGCGAAGAAAGAATGGATATTTGATATGCTTGTGGTACATGCATGTGCACTGAATCGGATTGACTTCGGATCTCAAATACTGATACTCCAAGTCCAATCCTAATCGCTAAAAGATATATTTAACGATATCTGACCACGGTCCGGAATCTTATATATAATGCTCGAGCGATAGGTGTTTTGTTGCGTATTTGTTTTGTTTTGCTAAAGATTTGTTCGCAAACTGTTACTTTTTATTTTAAAATATATGGACCAAATGATTATCACGGTAAATTGAGGTGAATTTTAGTAAATTAAACAATGATTATATATACGAGTTATACGAGTTACGAGTTAAGACTACACAATTATAATACAACCGAACGCCGCTTTTGGTAAAAAATAAATACGTTTACAGTTATGGTCGGTCGATCGAATTTAAAAACATTCCATGTACTGGAAAACAACTTTCAAAGGTGTTGTATATATGATGACCTATATGTTATTATAAAAAACTTCAAAGGTTAAATTTATGAGGTTCTCGTACGCTAAATTTTTCGCCCTAGTACAATAAACGACCATATGCATGTACCTTGGCAAAGCAGGGCTTTTTAATGCGTGAAGGTTATAATCCTTGATGAGCCAGTACTTATACAATCCATCAACGAAACCACCGACCTTTCCAATCAATGTCCATCCGCCGTTATTTATATCACAGTAGGTCGGTGCAGAACGGTCAGCGGACGTCTTAATCCAATATACGCCATTTTTCAGCCTGTGTTTGCCATCTAACAGCGAGACGTCGTGTATTTGCTTGCAGGATGTTGCAGGATTCATTTCGGTACCTATCCCGCGAAATTTCGCCAAATCAACTTTGCATTCCTTCCCCAAGAATACTATAGCAAAATATGATAAATTATAGCTTTTAAATTTTGTTAAGCCAGTTATAATACTCTCGTTACAGATGATTTCTATAGAATAGATTCTCTTATAATCAGGGCCCCCATATTGGGTAAATAGGGACTCCCAGCTGATCTAAGATATGGCGTCATGAGCAGTTATCACGTTCCTGGAGTAATTTGCCTTGTTCTTTCTATACTAGTAGTTAAATTATAGAATACCCAAAATTTTCAAACGCCGACGTTGTACGAAATGGAGGATGTGATGATAATTCATTTTTGTCGAGGTTCTGGCTTCTGGTTAGTTGATTTTTGCAATTCAGGTCAGTAAAAGGTCAGTGCCTTTTGCTACCATATATGGTAATATCCTGCACACATTCAGCAGTTCATCTTAATCGTAAGTCTATGTTATAATTAGAGCTTTCTCATTGATACAAGACTCCTCTATGTTTATTCTGTGCCAATAAATATTTAACAGGACTTTTTTTACTTTTCTAAACTAAATTGGCCAAAAGTAGAACGATTTCCATTTGTTCAAATTGGACTGCTGTTTTAAAACACGAAAACAATTGACATTGCCTAGAAACAACGATTGGTGGGATTGTACCTGACGTCGGTAAAACAGGAATATATTTTGTTATTTTGATGTTATCATAGGATGTACGACATCCAGCCGTATGCGAATGGCAACCCAGGCCGAAAGTTCCTTTGGTAATCATCCATTTCGAGGCCACCTGCAAATTGTCGTGGATAAGCTTGTTGTTGAGCCAATGGAAAAACCTGAAGGAAAACTAACGAGTCAGCCTTACAGTCGGCTTCAATTGAACAATTTTCAACTATTTTTTTTTCATGGTGCATATATTTTAAACTAAATCATGGTTAATAATTTTTGGAGACAAGCAAATTAATCCAAAAATTAATATCAAATTATACAGTACTGCATGTCCAGAAATAACCAAACAAAAACCGTGGTTAACATAGGTCGACCCTCGGTCTGATCACGGAGGTTTAACTAACTCGTCTGACAGACATTTCTTAAGATTTTTTCGATTTGGTTATTGTGCTGTCCCTCTCAGCTGTTGTCCTTCTTAGTATAAAAAATAATTTTTTATCGTAATCGTCGACCATAAAATTTTCAAAACATGCAACAAACCTGTCACCAACAACACGATACTTGGCATGATACCATGTTCCAGCGGATAATATTGAAGCACGGTTTCTCGCGTACAACCATTTGCCATCCTGATTGTTCTGGTAAGGTCGCATCGTACAAAAATTAACTTTTCTTCCTGTCACATATTCAAACCACCACGCTGTGGTACTTCGTATTTTTGCATCGTGGACTCGCAGAAATGGCCCTGGCGCAACGTTTGATCTGAGTTCATTAAAATCCAATTCTACTTCGATGTCTTTCCATTCCTCTCCGTTTTTAACGAACACCGAAATGTCAGCATAATCCCCGGTCGGTGTTCTGTCAGTATTCAATTTCAACACGCCATTTTCGACAGTAACAGTGCCCCAATTTTTCTGCCACCTTTTCCCAAAGTTTTGGTCAGAAAAATCATCGTAGAATAGATAGACATTTTCTGGATTTTGTTTCGCTCTATCTGCCTCCTTGTTTCCTGGAGAATTAACAGAGTGAAATGGTTGAAATTAGCAAAATATTAGGTGAACGTACCTGATTCTACTACAACACAACTCACCTTTATGAAATTACGGATTATTAGATTGACGTTTATTATCTCTATCAATGACGTAGCTAGCAAGGATAATGGACCACTTGCATACTAGACCAATTTATGATTTAGGTAACAAAAAGGGAATTTCCAAAAAGTGCCTACTAAAATTGCCAAGATTGGCTGTGAAATATTGTAAAGTGCGGGAAATATAGCCAAGCCAGGTTGGCAATTTGGTATCTTTTCGCCGTAGCAAAAAAGTATAATAAAATTGCCTACTTCGCATGGCTATATTTTCCGTACTATACTTGACATTTTACTATAATTTCTTTTGAGCTGTGGTAATGTATTTCCTTTTTGCTATACCTAGATCATAAGATGGTCAATTTTCCAAAGGGTCATTGGGGGAGGGGATTCAATGTTGTACGTCGGTAATTTATGCAAAATTTGCCAATTTCGCACGACGATATTTTTAACACTTCCACGACCAAACTTTCGCAATATCTAAGTTTCGCATACGTTACATGTTGTTATTCGAAATTGTTTAAATTGCATTACCGTAAACTATGTAGTAGGCAGACCCATCACGCAGTGTTTTGGTAAAGTCTTCTTGTAATTTAAACAACACTTTTGTCTTCGTTGTTGCGACATTCTCAACGATGCGGTCCAGTTCTCGTGGTTGACAGTCTTTGTTGTTGTAAAAATACACTCTTAAGGTGGCTCCCTACAGTTTTAAGAATATTGAAATCTTGTTGTTTTGATTTAAAATTTTAGCACGAGATTTCTTGGTAAGTATAAGAAATTTCCCATATATATTAACCAACATTCTAACAGTCAGAAATTGCCCATAAGCATGACGTCATCACCGTTGTTATGGTAACAATGGCGATTCAATATGGCCGACATTTTACCTATTTACGCATTTTACTCGAAAACAAGTTCGGTTACCCCAATTTTTTATTTTATAAAAAGTTTTCTTACAAAAAAATGGGAAATTTGAGCAAGTATAAAAAAATTCTATGGAGCCAAAAAATTTCTATAACGAAAAATCACGTTTTTTCATTTTTAATAATTTTGGCTCCATAGAATTTTTTTTAACTGGTTCATATTTTCCATTTTTTTGTAAGAAAACTTTTTATAAAATAAAAAATTGGGGTAACCGAACTTGTTTTCGAGTAAAATGCATGAATAGGTAAAATGTCGGCCATATTGAATCGCCATTGTTACCATAACAACGGTAATGACGTCATGCTTATGGGTAATTTCTGACTGTTAGAATGTTGGTTAATATATCTGGGAAATTTCTTTTCCTTACCAAGAAATCTCGTGCTAAAATTTTAAATCAAAACCACAAGTTTTCAATATTTAAAAAAATTGTAGGGAGCCACCTTAAATCGTTTCCGTTTGGTAAGGCCAGATCATTGTCGATTAATTCACGATGGTTCACTGAAAACAAATTGTGAAATATGTTTGATTAGCCAGAAGAATTTGATAGAAACAGATACAAAATATCATGTGGAAAAAGTTCTATGATCGTTACCTTTTGCCGTTTAGCTTCTGCCAGATTTAACATACTACTTTATATCTTATATAACCGAAATCGTGAATTTCTCAACCCCAACGGCAACGTGGATGAAATACATGTGCGTATATAAATATTTATAATATAGTTACTATTCGCTCTCGTCAAATGTGGACTGCCTATGGCTATGGTATAATCAGAGAACTCAAATAAGACTGGAACGCTCACTCTCTGACTTTCCTTATTAATAAGTGAAGCCAAGGATGGCGGATCATGAAGCCTTTCTTGTAGGTATGATCCAGGCCTCTGGCCAAGGTAAAATCATAATTGCCGCCATTTTACCTACGGAATTTCCGCGTGGAGGCCTGGTTCATACCTAAAAGAAAGGCTTCAGTGTCCGCCATCTTGGCTTCAAACTTGAACTGAGACAATTGCACGTGTCGAGCAAATAATCGCTATAGCCTATATCATCTAATCCGATTTCTTTTTCAATTTCAAGACATTTGGACATAAGGATGGTGCTTTTTTTTAAATTGAAGTATATTAAGAATTTTTCATATATATACAGTAGGAGGCAAAAGTTTGAGTCCAGTCGTTGTAGAATTCCAGTATTAAACCCTGGCAGTGTATTCGAGCTAAGACATGCGTATTAGTGTTTCAGTATTTTAAACCATATTAATTACACACTGTTTTGGTCCTAATGATCTAAATCATAACAAAATAAAGTTCTTATTCCTTTACACTGCCCAAGATGGGTGGGAAAAAGGGCAAAGTGATGGTGCATAAGGACAAATAGTTGCATTAAGTATTGAAGGATTCTTTCCTCGCAAGATCGCAGAAAAAGTGAGAATTTAAAAAGGTGGTATGCAACTAACCTTGGAGAGGTTCGAAGAAACTAAATCCTACTCAAGCAAACTTTTAGCTTCTTCGGTCATGCTCGGTTTGGCAATATTGAAATATATAATAGGATCCTAATTAAAGTAAAGTATCATCCAATTCTTCAAGGACATAGAATTTCATCTGGTACAAGGATGATCGCGTGTCTAACTACATGATAATCCCCCTAAACACCTGCACATCTTCTATGTGCCAGAAATCTTTTAGAAGCAAACACGTTTTGGTGCTCTCGTTCTCATGGCTTTCCACCTCAAATTCCAGATCTGAAACCTATCGAGTACTTGTAGGACCGTTTTAACCGGAAAAGGGCGAGGCACAGGCCCGCCAGCCAGAATGACTTGAGACAAGTGGTCAACGAATGCTGGCAAGGTATTAAACGTGCGACATTAAAAAACCTATGGAATCTATACCAGCAAGAATAAACGTCATTTCAAGAGCAAAAAAGAGGGACACTAAGCATTGACATGAAATGCATTTTTGCACATTAACATACGTAAAATGAATATCATAACGTCTCATAGTTGTTGTACAGCATGTATTTTTCTGTTTACTCGTGTACTTTTTTGTAGTTCACTTATCGGTAAGGTTTTCTGTAGAATATTAATATATGCTGCTAAAACAATGAAATACAGTCACTGGACTCAAACTTTTGCCTCCTACTGTAGATATAATCTTTCTTGTATCTTGAATATCTCAATTAAGTGAAATTTACTCACAATCTTGCATATAATTGCCGATTGCAAATGCCAGTATTGCTCTTTACTTGAACGGTAAACAGAAAGATTTTTTTACCATTAAGGCGTGCTGAGCCTTTGTTCTCAGGATGAACAGCAGTATACGTAAAACCAACTACTGTGTAGCCATTTCGGAAATCTTTACTGCTAATTTCACCGCTATATATATCAGTATATGCATGCTAATCAACTTTCGAGTTCTTTGTTCTATTGCTGAAGGTAGAGCAAGTGAAGCGTTGTACGCTGGGTTATATTGCATGGTCGTAATTACAATACATATATATCTAAGTTTCAATTGCATTTATATTTGCGTCAGGTTTTTGGCGTGGCAAATCGGTTGTATGGCGTTTAGAGCCATTTGATCACCGCTAGGTGCTTGCACTAAAGACGAGCAATGTTGATAAAAACATTTGCCTATTGGCTATTCTGATATATGTTTTCCAAATGTATATTTGCAACACTTCTAATAGCAAGAACGAAAATATCGCAACAAGTCGATCGCAAACGTATTGATATACACGCATTAATCATATTAGCGTCAGGGGACAATATACTTGGGCTATAATACAAACAGTGAATGCACTTGGTGTGTCTGTAGAAGCTTATAGCAGTATATAGCTATTGCTTTAGATATATAAGTATGATTTTTGAGTCAGTTTAGAAGAAAGGCAAAAATATTATGTGATACTATACCTTGCAATGTAACAGTATAATCCTTTGGTACTAAAGTGCTAGAGTTCAACATTATTTTTCGGGAGATAGTGAAATCGAAGCTGGTGTAAAATTTTTCACATATTAAGCTATTTTGTGTAAGATCATTCAGAAGCCCCTTCAACTTCTTCAGAAGCCTAATTTCGTCTTTCGTTGAACCACTTCGAGCCGACATCTCATTCGATTGTTGCTTCAGCTTATAATATTTGCTTTGATACGTTTGAAGGTTCAAATTAAGTTTAGACGATAGTGCGTCGATGAGATTTTTAGCTTCGTGGAGTTCGCTGTGACGTTCTAGTCCCTTTCCAGTCGTCCCAAGTACTTCGTGGTTAGAAGCTAGAGTTAAAATTACGAGCAAGGCCAACATGATGTACAATTTCGACAAGAGGACAATTCTATCGACTGTACAACGCAGACGTTTTTTCGAAAATGAATATTAGAATGCATATACTTCCTGAAGCTTGCACTTTCGTGTTTTTTCATGTTTAAAGGACAATAGCAACAACTTCTGAACTGATAAGCCTTCAGTGAAATATAGTATCGCAATTATAGCTATATATATAATTGCCATTTTTGTCCAAATAAGGAAATTTACAATCATTATAGATAATATGTTGCGAAACGTCATAACTTAATTACTCGGGCTACCTGTGGTAGCCGAGTCTAGGTTTCGCGATTTTTATGATTATTATTATTTTTTTCGTGTCGCAGGCTTAGTCTTCCGCGCGGACAGTCGCGTATTTACAGACATTACAGTGTATCAATATAGCTCAGTTTCAGTGCAGTGTATTTATTGAGCCCGAGTTAACGCCTGCCGGGCGTCTTGTTCAAGATAAGGTAATGTTCTATGCAACAGGGCCAATTTTATACACGATAAGATTTCTCGTATATACCATTCTTACCCTGGCATATGTGATCAAGTTCATAAACATGCGTATATATACACCGCGTATGAACATTATACTCTAAACTTCGCAAATCGTACCGTGTTAATGCATGACCTATAACTTGCCTGGTGGTTTTAATGTCAACTTCTGTGATGTATGTGATGTGTGCGTGTTTTCACAATATTATCATCATCAGCCAGTATGACAACACGATCCAACGTGGTTTATGATATTTTATTCCACATGTGCTACACTATTAATATGTTATATTGGAGTGCTTTAAGAAATAAAAACTGCATGCAAGCCATGTGCGAGAGTCAGTTGATAAGAAACAGTGGCAAAAAACTTTGGAAATTTTCTCTTTATTTCACCCAAACTGTGACGAAGGGCGACTGATGGCTGTACTGAGAGTTTGGCCAATCAGAATTGCTCCGAGGAGAATCATATCCGTTGCCATTCTGACTCCATCCATCGGCTGTTCTTCCATATTTCTGCACGCCAACGGCCATACAATAGTCGTTCGTAGCTGTGTTGCCTGCCGTGTTGTATGAAGCTGAGGGATAGGAGCCACCATGTTGGGGTATAGGCATTATTCCATATCTGTTTTGGTAGCATACCTAACAAAAGATTTAATGAAATGCACACTCAGGCCCGTAGCTGGATCTCCACTTCTGGGGGGAGGGGCGCTGTTAAAGAATTTGCAGAGGCGTTGCTTTTTTGGTGCGTTCCGGTAGCGGCATAATGTGGATTTTATTTTTAAACGGGGGCAAGCGAGCCCGTCCCCAAGCCTGCGATTCCTCTGGCGAGAAAACAAAGGCTCTGGGATAATCCAAACCGGAAGCCAGAAATCCTGGTTCCGGTTTGTAACGGTTTTTTGTATTTCAAAATTGAAACGGCGTGAAACGACCAATCAGAATCATCTCTGATTTCGATTATCCCAGAGCCTTTGTTATCTCGCCAGAGGAATCGCGAGATCGGGGAACGAGATTGAAACCGGGGCACCCCAGATGACCAGACTGTCGCCGGATTAAAAATCTGCTAGGCTCAGATTTCACCACTAGCCTAATGCCATTGCGACTGAAATAATTAAATGCGAAGTCTATCAGATTGACCAGTCACAAGCACAATATGTCCGCAAAGTAAGGTAGCTGTAGTGAAAATGAAAGTGAAAGTGAGACCTACGGCTCGCTATTGTTGTCAAAATCAAACCTTTGAATTGCCATTCCAGGCTTTAACAGTAACTGATTTCATCTTCGCCTTGGACACGACACTCAGTCCAACACTGTGTGTCCAAAAGCTGTCGCTTTCCCGTCCTTCCGGGAGCGGCCATTGCACCCACTTTGAACCAATTTCGTCTTGCTTGTCACCGCTGGCGATCATCACCGTTGACGCGTGCTTGGTTGCTAGGTAACGAGCATCGATGCAACCGACTCTGCTACAAAGAAAAAGAAAAGCTTTTTTCAGCAGGAGAGTTCCATGGACTATTGTTTTATCACAGGTTTTATTACAGCTTACTGGCTCAGCCTGGTTATGCATGTATGTATTATATCGAATGAAAATATTTATTAGTACATTGGGCTTGGCAGGCTAGCACTTTTCAGTGCATCAAGATTATGATTTTTGATCAGCCAAAACTGATATAGTCTGTCGGCGGAACCGCTGATCTTTCCCACCAATGTCCACCCGCCATTCGTGAGATCGCAGAACGTCGGCGCTGCTGTGTCAGCGGACGTCTTGATCCAATACACGCCATTTTTCAACGTGTGTTTTCCATCTCGTAGCGAAATATCGTGTATTTGCCTGCACGATGTGGCAGCGTTTTTCTCGGATTTTCCGTCTTTCCTGACGTGACCTTTAAACTTTTTCGCATCGACTTTGCACTCGTCGCCTATATAGAAAAACGTACACGTTGATTGGCGTGGTTTGGAAGACAGTTCGTGAAGGACATAAACAACTTCTAACTAAAATCCACTCATATACATGCACCTATTCATATAAAGCCAGAGATAGAACAAGCTAGCATGCATGTATAAATTCGCATCCATAAACTATTATACTATTGTAAGGATGACTACACGACTACAAGGATCATGTTTTTTACTAATTTCAATATCTCAAATACATTTCGCGTTTCGTTTAATCTCGTCTAGTCAGGATCATGTAAACAGTATAATATTTTTTTTCACTGACACCTCAAATACTACCCCATTTCCTTTATCTCGACTAATCATAAACAAGAGTCATGTAAACAGCCCCTAAACTATACAGAAGTGTTCTTTTCAGAGACCTAATCATGTTTTCATAGTTTATAAACTTACCCAAAGTGACAGTTGGTAATACCGGAGTATATTTCGTTATCTTGATGTTATCATAAAATGTGTGGCATCCAATTTTGCTCGATAAACAACCCAAGCCAAAGGTGCCTTTGGTAACAAGCCATTTCGAGGGGACTCTGACGTTGTCGTGGACGAGATCGTTGTTTAACCAATGAGTGAAGCTAGACAAAAAAAATTTATCTGAAAATTCTTCTACTTCTTAGCCTGTAAATTACTAGAATTGATATTTCCGACCAGAAACCAAGGTGAGACAATTGAATGGACGACTTGCGCTTTAGACTAACTTTTGATCGAAGTAACTAGAGGAAAATAAATCACTCCAGCTAGAAAGTTCTTACTTAAATTAGTAAAACTGCGAAGTTTGGCTGCGAAATTTTGTAAAATACGGAAAATATAACCATGCGAAGTTGGCAAATTTTGTATACTTTTGTATTACGACCGGAAATGTGTAACTAATTTAGTTACAAACTTCCGGTCGTAATACAAAAGTATACAAAAATCGACAACTTCGCATGGGTATATTTTCCGTGATTTACAACAATTCGCAGTCAAACTTGGCAGTTTTACTTATCTTAGTAAGCTCTTTCAGAAAATGTCCTTTTTATCGCCGAGGTACGAAATTAGTCTAAAGCGCAAGTCGTCCATTAATTGAAAAGAATCCATAGCAGAGAAATTGTATTGATTCTGAAATAGTTCTTGTAATCTTGTTTAAAACGAATTTGCCCGAAAATGGTATAGTAATATCCACTACAATTTATTTCTATGCACTGTTAGAAGATCTTTTTCAGAGTGTGAAGAGGTAAATCTATATCTATATGTGAGTAAAACGTATTATTGTAATGAAAAGCATTTCATTTTTTGGAAAGGTTCAGCGGAGCCAGTAGCACTGAATATATTTCAATAAAGCCTTGAATAAACCTTTCGGCAGTATGATGTTTATGGGCAAACTGAACTAGCTAAAAGTATCACAGGACAATCCATATATGCCTGCATGACTACGAAAAAAAAGATGGCGGGTTAATATATAATTCAATTGCAAAGTACTTTATGGTATTTATCTGAATATTTTAAAACTAAACAAACTAAACCTGTCCCCAACGACGCGATATTTTGCGTGGAACCATAAACCCGCTAAAAATGGTCTAGCTAGACTTCTCGGGTACAGCCATTTGCCATCTTCGTTGTTCTTAAAAGGCCGCATCGTACAATCTCTTTTTCTTTCCACGTATTCCATCCACCACGCTGTGGTACTCTGAATCCTAGGGTCCTCGACACGCAGGAATGGCCCGAGACCAGCACCCGCAGAAACCCCGGATTCTCTGATTTTTTCTTTAAAATCCAATTCTACTTCAAGGTCTTTCCATTCGTGACCATGTTTCACGAAGACCGAAACCTCAGCGGAGTCGTTGGTTGGCGTTGTTGACGTTTTCAAAGACAAGACACCATCTCCCACACTCGCCGTGCCCCAGTTTTTTTGCCACCTTTTCTCGAAATTTGAATCACTGAAGTCATCGTAAAATAAGAAGACATTTTCTGGATTTTGCTTTGCAGGACCGGCACCCTTGTTATCTGTAACGATTATATACGTGTGGCGAGATTATACAGCTACGTCTAACAAATGTCAAAGTAAGAACTATATAGAGTACTTCGTTTGGCCTGATGTTTCAAAATTAATTGTCAATCAATTTCAGAAGACGGAATATGACAAATGTCAGTGGTAATTGGCTGGCAGTTCCAAATGAATATAATTGGCTTCCAGAGAAAATTCCAGAAGAATTTCTAAATAACGCTGACACAAACGATAGTTAGTGAGACTAATACAAACAATCTAGTTCCCATATCATTGAATTTTCAACTACACGATCATCTCACCATAGACTAGATAGTAGCCAGATCCATCAGAAGAAGATAAATCTTCTTGCAGTTTGAACAACACTGTCGTCTTCGTTGTTGCGATATTTTGCACAATTCGATCAAGTTCGCGTGGTTGGCAATCCTCGTTGTTGTAAAAGTACACTCTTAAATCGTTCCCGTTCGCCAAGGCCATGTCATTGTCAATCAAACCACGATGGTTCACTGAAAACGGAAACAAAGTTTTGACACCCAGAAGCTTTGATTTCAATTGTAAAAGACGGAATGAGATTGGCTCACAATTCGTTCCTGGGAGCAAAGTCTCTATTGTTATACATGACTGACAAGTTGACACTTTTTGCAATAATATATTAAACATGGTCATGGAAGAATTCGCATTTTTTGTCTATTCAAAAGAGCTGATTTTTGGTTTTTTAGCAATTTTACGATGCAAAACAGCAATCCTGCAAATGAATTTCGTTTTATTAACTAATTTAAGCAATGCTTTAGAGTTTTTCTAACAAAATCCCGAAATAGCAATAATTTGGTAGAATGTTATTCCTGCATATGTAGAAATTACTGCAAGGATTCATGGTTCCATGCACTGTCAGCGCTTCTGAGGCCACATTTGGAATTTTTGCATGCGTTTTTAATTCCTACAATTCTATTGGTTTACTAATTTATGAAAATACATACGAAAGAACTAAAACATATGACCAACATGCACTCAGATTTTTCTCCCCAATTTTCGTTGAAAATTCTTCAGAACATCAATTAAAAAGATTTACCATTTTCACAACGGAAACTTTACAGTCACTGGGCCTAAGTGTTGCCGTGACTGCGAGGAGAAAATGCTAAAAAAGACCTTTGTTTACTATCGAGAATGTTATTAAAAAGGTTTTTCTTCTGTAAAAGGTGTTTATATGTCCCTGTAAATTGCCCTTGGCCTTGTTTAATTACTAGTCTAGAATGCATGGTATTATTACGACTTATTCTTGTGTTGGTATAGTCGGTGAAATGAAAGTTAACTAACATGAATAAGGAAATGGTCTTTGATAGGATAATATTTTATAAATTGCATTGTATATATATCTTATACCTATTATAGACGTGAGTCGATGCATGGTTGGGCAACACTAATATGGAACTTGCGTCAAAGAATGACGCAGAATGAACATTGCGTCAAATTATTCATTTTATGGGTGCATGAAAATGTGCATGAATAGAAGCGAACATATATGAATATTAAGTGGTTGCAGTTTTTTTATTTATACACCCTGTTATTTTGTTTTGAAACCATTGAAAATCAAAGAACTCGGTCAAGCATTCAAAATAAGGGATATTTTTATCAGCTCTTGAAAATTGCAAGTTTAAAAAACAAATAAGAAATGCCGTGGATGTGCAAATTCTCTCGAGTTATGCCTGGCATACACCGGATGCCAGATCTTATTTGAGTCAACCGTACAAAAATTTGATTGAAATATGAGAACACGGGCAGAAAATAGACGCGAAGACACTAGCTGGTTAGTCCTCCTACACAATAAGTCGGAGACACGGTCATTATCGGTCAGATTACTGAAAACTGAAAGAAGCCAAACATTGTTGTAGTCGGACCTTTGATTTCTTTACTTGAAACAAAGGAAGCAACGATTATGGTAATAATATTTGGCTAATTTATCAGTAATCTGGCAACACTGGTTTTAATACGATGATGTTCGCTCTTAATTACAATTTGTGTTAATACCAAATTACAATTTGTGTTATTTATTCAGTGCAGGAATCACAACATGCATAAGTCGATTTTCTCCGGCACGAATTCAAGTTGGTTCTTAAGTGTACTAAGTATTTTCCTTCCGTATAGTGGAAGAAACCCTAGAACTTCACTCTTTTTTCTTTTTCTAATAAATGTATACTATATCATAGCAATGTCTATGACAGTGTATAGTTGACTAGCTTTTTTGTCACCTCCTACTAGCCTTAAGAACTGCAATGCTAAGTTAATAAACAAGATAACCAAATAAAATCTCTAGGATTGACAATCAACCATTCAAAGCTTACCTTCTATTGCAACAGTGTAATCTTTTTCCAATAGCGAGCTGGAATTTATGAGTATTTGACGGGAAGCAGCGAAGTCAAAGTGGGTGAAAAACTTTTCGCAGATGGAATTCTTTTTCGCCGTGAGATCATTCAGGAACACTTTCAACTTGTTCACAGCCCTTATTTCTTCTTTTGTCGACTTACTTTGTGCGCGATACTCCTCCGATTCTAGCTGTAGTTTCTCGAATTTGGTTTCAAACACCTTCAGTTTCGAATGCAACTTAAACGACAACGTTTCAATCAGATTCCTGGCATCGTCGATCTCCGTATGATTTTGCAAGCCATTCCCAACCGAATTCGAATCAAGTCCGAGTGCTTTGGAAAGAAAGAGCAGGAATATAGTTACGAACAACATGTTTTTCACAAGTCCTTCGTGAACTGTCCTTTCGTTAGGTACTGCAGCCGTCTACTGAGATATTTCGAAAAGCTGTCTCTTTTTATCTATACTCAGGCGGCTGGTGTTTCCACGTTGTAGTAATTAGAACGGGTTAGGGAGAATCAAGGGCGGTCTCGTTAGACTCAATGACTCGTTGTTCCGCTTCGTCAAAAGCAACGAGTATAAACATTTTTGTCCAAACAAGCTAGCACGTCCAATATATCACCTTTTGTGAGGTCATTAATCTATAGGCTGTATAAAGAAAACGCTAAATATTTATGATATTTGATCTTTTGTGATCGAATAGAAAACAAATATTTATGATTATTGGCGTTGCGGCTTTTTATAGACCCTTCAATCCCGTCGCACGCAATCTGACGTCAATGCTGAATACAATCACGTGACCTTTGGATCTTTTAACCATGCACATGTTTTGATCCCGAGATTAAGAACTGCATCAGAACTCGTTTATTGTTGCTTGAAATCTTCTATTTTACTACAAGAAAGGACGAATTAACTCAGTCACTTCGAGGTCGATTTAAAACAAATATAATAACTAAGATTGCAATTTGGAAAGTTTCAATATTTTAATTGTTGGCGTGGGAAGGCTTTTGTCCGTTTAAAATAAACTTACTGAGCAGTGCTAAAGGAACTTTTTTGGCACAAAACAGCGGAACTTTTTGACAGTAAACAGCGGAAATTTATGATGTTGGCAATGAAAAGGGTTTTATTATAAAAAGTATATTTCAAAAAACTTTTTACACTGAGAATGATTTTTTTACACCAAAATTACCGAACGCTTCAGCAAAGACTAGGAACTTTGGCCCCAAACAGCAACTTTGAATACTTGAGAAAACGTTAGGTCGCAACATACGTGTGAAGCTCTGATTCCACGGGTGAAATTTTTTTCAAGCAAAGAAATCGAAGGACCGATTACAAGGTTTGGTTTCTTTTTTCAGTAATCTGGCAACCCTGCATTTGACCCTCATCACACACCCTAGACACTCTTGAAACGGTCCTGCCTAATGAGTAATGGCGACTTGTAGGTCCAGCCCACTGGTCCAGCCTCGTACCCAGACTAACTATAAATATAGGCACACTACAGGCTTTCACGTAGATCAGTGGCTAAGCTGAGCGAGCGCCCCAAAATCCCCTGCGCGCTCACTCAGCTTAGCCACTGATCAATGTAAAAGCCTGTAGTGTGCTTGTTGGTCACTGACACTGGTAATAGACCCATTGTACCGACGTCATAATCGGCCCCAGATGCCTAATTCATGTGACGTTACGTGCACAGGGAACCACAGTTAATGGACTGGGAGGGAACATACCTAATAAATTTTTCATGGTCCACTATATCTTTGAAATATGAAGTATCTCTGCTTTAGGGGATGAGGAAGTTTTTGTAAAAAATTATGATATTGCTTATATTCATATATTGTTATTCTAATTGGTAAATTGGCCATAATTGAAAATTGCAGGAATTCTTGTCTTCCTTTCTATTTTCGTATTCGATTGCATTCGACGATTGTTTGACCTACTTGAATAAAAAAGCTGTTATTATCCCGAAGAACTATTTGAGGTATCTATGTCTATCAGCCTATGTCTTACTCTTTTAAAGTGGCGAGACTTTTGGTCTGAAAGCTTGAGACTAAAAGTCATCTCCAAATTGTCATTTAATACACTATTGCATACACCGATGTAATTAAAACATCTGTCACTTGCTGCTGTCTTATAGAGGTCTTGCAAACCTCTATAAACCGAACTTAATTGATTTATCATGTTTGCATATATTTAGAATATCTAGTTTAAAAATAGGTGTCATAATTTGTCAAAGTTTTTTGAAAGTATGTATCATTACTGATTAGTATGACAGAGATTTTAAATATTTATTTAGAAAAGAATGTCAGAATCCAAGGCAAGCAAAAATGATGTTGTGTCAAAAGTTAAAAAATGGTTAAAAGGCAATAATAATACTATTGAACTAAAATTGACTTCAAAGACACCTTTGGATGGTTTGGTGGAGCAAGATTTCCCCGGCCGTGCTCAGCATGGGCCTTCTTTTGCCTATAGTTCAACTACTGAACAGGGCATCAAAATCTATTTCCTCATTTCATTCACCAAGATCATATCCCCTTCATCAACTGTTGAAGAATTAAGAAATGCTCTACAGTTTGTCACCTTGGATGAAATACCGCTTCAGGGTTTTGAACACCCCCCTGGGTGGAGAATCCGTCCACGGACACCTGTGTCGTCATTCAAAGAGGGTGTTGAGATTGTGTCGTATGAAAATGGAAGGTTACACTATAAGGTTGATACCAAGTTCTTTTGCATATACGGCAATTGCGATGAAATTACTCCTGGTTCTTGCAATCCTCCTTCACCTCCAAATACATATTTTAATATTGAACAAGATATCCGTGGACTTATTGATGTGAATATGCCACTCATATTCCTTCAAGAGAAATGTTCATAAATTTTAGGATTTATTGACTAATTAATTTCTAATTGGACCTGAAAATATAAGTTGTATAATATCAAAGTTAAAGATGTTAGATTTTTTTAAAATATGTTTATTAGCTACTTTGTAGTAAGTTCCAAAATCCTTAATTTTGGCTATTCAATTTTCACATTATTTTGGTAGTGGGTAAGGCCATATTATGATATATTTGGTTGTGGTTTCACGTAATTTTGGGCTGGGGAATGGGCTAGGGTGAAAGTGCAAGGGGTAAGGGGGGGGAGTGCTCACTGAGCTCTATTACAATTAATAAGGGGGGGGTGTTCTCGGTTTAAGATAAAACGAAAAAATTACGTAATTACGTTACGTAATTATGTTACGTAATTGTAACAAGAGCATTAAACCGGGGGCGGGAAACGCCGGGTATTTAATTTTTCAAAACAAAAACAAAAACATGGCGGTCATATTAAATGGACGAAAGAACATCAAATATTGGCTATATTATAATAGCTAAATCTCACTTTAGATTTAAGATCATGTAGAGCTCTTTCTAAATGTACAAGATGTACACCGTACGAGCAAAGAGCACCTTTGTACTACGTTCTGCAATGCACAGAACGATCACAAGGACGAATCTTATGCAATGCCAGCATTCCATTGTGAAGCGATCAAATAGGGGAAAATCAACAAATGGATGTGAAAAAACTATTTGTAGTCTTACTATTGAGCGTTTCTTCAGTGGTTGGGTGGGAAAACGAGAAGAACTAAGTAAAATCAGACGGTTTTCCCAGGTTTGTGCATAATTTTGTGTCTTGAATTGACTTGTTGGGACCAGGGTGGCAGGGTCTAGCAGGGATGGGACTTTTTGTTAATTTTCCACGTTGCCTCCTAATTGCTCCAGGTCCTCGTTAGGCAACCTCACGCAAAATTCGCGAATCTAAAAGTTATACCTGGTGGTTTCTTAAGTCAAATACTGGAGGAAAGTCGGAGTAAGCAAGGTAATTTAATAGGTTATCCTGTGATCATGATGAAGAATGAAAATCCACAATCCTGGTCAAAACATTGAAGACACTCATGATCAGTGTTAATTGACACTACATTCAGGAGTTGGGAGATTTATATCAAAATTATTCCCCCTTTCCCCCAGAAATCGATGTTGAGTGATATGTCAAAACTCATTCAAGCATTTAGCATAGATTCAATATTGATTAGGGGGACAAGGGAAATCAACACAGAAATGTTGATATTTTGCATAAAAAACTACAAATCATTCAGAGTGTAGTCGATTGTTTTGGCCAGGATTGCAGGTATGTAGCAAATTGCCAAATGCTTGATAGGTACGACATTGCCAGTCATATGGGAGAAGGTTGGTCCTCTGCATGATCTGTTGTAGGATGAGGGATTCTTGGTGTGAGCTGCTCTGCATGGTATGGTAGGAGACACAAGCACAACCATTGAGCATGATTGATGGTGGTATATATTGGGTGGTACAGTGATACCTTTCCTTAACTAAATGTTGTTGCTACAAGGTTATAATGGGAATTTGATGATTAAATTGAACATGTGGTTTAATTTGTATGGTCAAGGCATTGGACATGCCACTAGTTTATCAGAAACTTTAATGTTACTGTCAAGTGTTTACCCTAATGAGGTCGCTTACTTACTTACTTACTTACTTACTTACTTACTTACTTACTTACTTACTTACTTACTTACTTACTTACTTACTTACTTACTTACTAAAGAGATAAAAAGCATCAAAATTACACAGTACCTAAACATTAATGTACTACGTAATCACTACATGATAAAGTTTTAAATTAATCACATATATTCTTGTGATTTAATTTAACAGGACGACTTGCTCTGTTTACAAACATGGACAATAAATCAGATTCCAATAAATCCCGACCTCCAGGTAATTTTAATTAGGTCGTAATTGTCAAAGGATGTGTGGTGATACTGCTGAATAGTTGTATCAACATTTTTTTATCATCCAGGCAATAAATGGTTACATTGACCACAAACTTAACATGTCCACTTGATAGGTTAAATAAATTTCGACTTGATAGTAGAAAATTTTGATTTATGTGGAAAGTCTATGCATATTGGGTATTAATTGATACAAGAATTGAAGCTTTTTCTATGCGTCATTTTAGAAAATCCTAACTCTGGTTTTACTGATCCAAATGGGGTGAACACTTTCCTGCTGTTGAGTTTTATACTAGGAGCTTTGTATCTTCTTGGTTCAAATGGAGACCCTGTGCCAGAGATCACATGGAACACATTCCATCGGGAAATGCTCATGACAGGAGAGGTACAGATCATAAAATATTGCATAGTATTAATATATACATTTGAACGTTTCTACAGATAACATCAGTTGGCATTGTGCTCAATATATTTGTGTAGTGCCAGTAGACTGGTAAATTCTGTGTTCTGGAATATTTCTTTTACACAGGTAGAGAAGTTAGATATTGGACACACTCGAGATATTGTGTATGTTTATTTGTACCGAGGGGCTATTGTGGCGGGAAAAGAGGTAAATAAGTATACATACTTTACTGTATCTGAGTATATAGTTTACTATAACTGTAAGAGTACAAATTATACTGCACCTGAATTGTGCCAAATATGACATACACCGACACTGTTATAACTAGCTTATACAGGTAGACTTGTAGTGATATAATTTGTTGCATGGTTTTTGCTTTAGGTGCGATCATTCGGTCCTCATTACCGACTACAAGTTCTAAACGCGGAAAGTTTCGAAGAGAAATTGATTAATGCATACAAAGATCTCGGGATATCCCCAGATGAATATTTACCGATCAATTATCGAGTGGAAAATGAACTTGTGTACGTATATTTCAATCTTACATGTTACCCACATTCTTTTTTGACATAACTCGAAATGATTTAAAGCAGAAGCAGAACTTGCCGAGAACACCACGGTACCGGCGTTTCGCACCAAAACACGACATATCTCGTTTCGCGCCAAAATACGATCTTTTGCGTTTCGCGCCAAAATCTAGTGTTGCAACAGTGAACCTTTACCAGCAGACAACTTAATGAAATATCCACATCTAAACCCGTGATAGGAGTTATAAGGAAAAAGATAACAATTTTTGCAATAATATTTCCGGCATTGGTTCTGGAGATTGACTCTGAAGTAAAGTCGAAAAATCATCGGAAAGTTATTGTCTTGTTTTTATATTACCGCCATCTTTAAACAAAATATATATATATTATTAAAAAATACGCGAGAATTTACATGAAGAAGGTAGCTGTAATAATTGAAATATTTTGTTTCCATCATTCACAGTGGAGCATTCGTCAGTGCCGCTAGCAGTCTCATTATATTTGGTGCCCTGTGGTATATGTTTTTTTACCGTGGAAAATCTGGTGGAGCATCCAGGAGCAGCAATCTTTTCGGCGATAATAATCCCTTTGTAAGTTAAATCAATGATAAAAAACTATTGTCTATTACACATATTTTTCATTGTTTTTTGTGTGTGAATTAAAATTGTCACCCAATAAGTAGTTGGTATGTCAAACAATTACAAAACAGACAATGACAGATTATGACGTTATGGGGAAGCCAAGAATTCTATAGGAAATTACATGTACTATTCATACACAAATACAGTAACTGATGATATTGTTTTGTTTTCAGAAAGATCGCGGGAAAGCTAAGGCGACTATTATAGAAGCTGGTCGGAACAATGACATTAGGTGTGAAAGAGCTCTATATGGCTATAAAATCCTGAGTGTTCAACGTCTGTATTCTTAAAGCTCACTCACACTCAAATTCATTGAATTGGAGATCTCAATCTTCTCATAGCGTTTACACTCGGATAAGTGCTTGATTTTCCGTGTTACTCTAAATAAAGCCAATGATTAAGAAATAACTTTCCATTGATCCGTGATAACAACATTTATACGTCACATATGGCTTTTTGAATACAGGCATAAATTTTTGTAGTTTACGCCTTTTGGGGAATTTTTTTATAGTCAACCCGCAGTTGTTATTTCAACAGTATTAAGCTAGGATATTAACATCTGATGATTTATTTTAAGACTGAAAGATGTTGGAGGAATGGGCGAAGCCAAGGAGGAAGTTCTTGAATTTGTGGACTACTTGAAATCACCAAACAGATATAAAGAATTGGGAGCGAAAATACCCAAGGTGCACAGATTCTTATCATTACTTTGGTTTAACGACGGATACTTGCTAATTCTGGATAGAAATCTCTCTCCAGGTCTAAGAACTAAGAATAGTTGCATGGCCACTATAATAAAATTGTTTAATGGTAAGTAGAGTATATAGGATTCGATCATGTTACGAAATATTGGTTGATTTTGTTGGCTTTCAGGGAGCTCTCTTGGTTGGACCTCCGGGTACTGGTAAAACATTGTTAGCAAGGGCGATTGCCACAGAAGCGATGGTTCCATTTCTCTCCATGGCTGGTCCGGAATTTGTCGAAATGTTTTCTGGTACTGTGAGATTCTAGTTTTCACTACCGATTATAGCTATATTTACAACACGAAATGTCAACAATAATGATATCAGAATGAGAACGAGGTCATTTTATCCAAGTTTCAGTGGTTTCTCGGACCCCTCTCCGTATAGGAGCAACCCAAAACTTCTGTCCCTAATAATAACCTTGATTATAACCGAACGTGTATTGTTTATACTTCTGTTTGCTATATGCATATATCGAGAAAGAGCCGGTCTTTCCTTAAATGTTGTTATCAAATTTGCAAAATATCCCGTATAGGTGTCGGATCTGCTCGTGTACGAGATTTATTTGATCAAGCTAAGAAACGAGCGCCTTGCATTGTATATATTGATGAACTGGATTCCATTGGAAGATCAAGAAAAACATCGTATGTTTTAGCCAATTACTGAATTGTTTAATACCGATGTTCAGATTTAACGTCCGCCACTACCGCTGTTGAGGAATTACATAAACCATGCAATCAAACTATTTCTATCAGCTACAATAACCAATCACGAGCACAATAGATCACGGAAAAGTGTCACAGTATCTCCCCTGGAAAAAAAATATTTTCGAACATTAAAAAAGAAGAGATGGGAAACTCAGACATCTGAGAGCCTGCTTCCAGACAGGCTGGCGCCAACTCGGTCAATGGCTTCCGAAAAGAGTAGCAAAACTTGCGTAAATTAAATGCAGTTCGGGTTTTTATATTTGTATATTTTACTGAAACAATAAACCTGTAAAACGAAATCTTTATTTTCTAGCGGTTTGACAGGCGGTGAAAACGAGCAGGAAAATACATTGATACAATTGTTAGTCGAAATGGATGGTAAGTTCCTGTCCGCTAAAACTGACATAAAACCCATCAAATTTGCAATAGAATATTCATGTCTTAAAGAACTGTTGTGTACAAGCTCTAATTAGCCTGTGCACAGACGCAACGCTCCTTCAAGCGTGCAAAATGTTCTTGGAATGTTTTCCATTTCTAGGAATGAATTCCATTGATGGAGTCATAATGCTGGCTTCAACCAATAGAGCCGACATTTTGGATAAGGTGGAATAACGGGGGGTTTAACATTATACTAATTAATTGTCTACGGCCACTTTGAATAATTTCTATTTTCTATCTTCTTTTTCTTTGCACGAGCACCTAACTAACCAACTAGATTTAAGTTATTGACTTTTTTATGAACCTGTAGGCTTTACTCAGGCCAGGTAGGTTTGATCGACTGATAAACATTGATCTACCCACATTGGCCGAACGAAAGGACATCGTTAAGGTTCACTTGAGTAAACTGAAGCTTCAAAAAGATATAAATGAATATGTTCAAAGATTGGCAGAACTTACACCTGGATATTCTGGTAGGTCACATATATAGATCACATGCATTCATATAAACAATTCCATATATGACAATAGTATATTTCAGCTATTGTATATACCAATGGGTATAATTATGGAATCATTTAAGGACTCAAGTTGACTTGTTATTAGAAAATCAGGTTCAAGTAATCATCGAAAGAGCTCTAATTATTATAAAACCAAAATCATTTGCTAAGCAGTGCAGATGCTATGGATATTATCATGTGACAAATATGCCATATATGTGGGACCATGATATTTTAGGAGCTGACTTGGCCAATATTTGTAACGAGGCCGCACTCCATGCGGCACGCCTGAACGAGACGACTGTGGATACGAAGAATTTTGATTATGCCGTGGAAAGAATTATAGCAGGTCAATATTTTCAGATTTATTAATATTTTCGGATTAAACGGACTTAAGATTTTTGAAGACGATGTGTTGAGGTTGTATTCTGAGGACAAATTCAGTATAACGACAATATATATAATCAGGATATAATTTATGGAATTATGGATTAAATTGGAAAACAATTATATTTGAAATCACAGTGCATAGGTTTTCCTAGCCAAATTCTAGGGGAAAGTGTCGAAGACTGGACAATTGAAAATAGGGTTTTATATAGGATTTCAATAGAGGTTCATTCCAGGGATGTACCTTAGCTTGTTCAAGTGATTGCAAGTGTACAGAACTGTGTGACGTCTGAAAACGGTCTAGCAAATCAGTTTCCTCAAAAACTAGCATTTAGAAAAACTCCTCTCTCTGCGCTGTTGATATGGGTGGTTCCTGTGTCTTGAAGGTATGGAAAAAAAGACCCATGCAATGTCTTCAGTTGAACGAGAAATGTTGGCATATCACGAGGCGGGTCATGTTATTGTTGGTTGGATGTTGCAACACGTCGACCCACTATTAAAGGTGAAACATACAACCATGTGAAAGCATAGATATATTGGAAATCTATACTCTGTTCAAAACCATGATATCCCAATATACCTTGTACCCTATTCATTATACTCTACAAAATTGTGTATATATTTTTATTTAGGTTTCCATTGTGCTCCGAACCAGTGCTGCCTTGGGCTATTCTCAATATTTTCCATCTGACCAGAAATTGTATACGACTGAACAGGTAATCAATCCATGATGTTTGACTTTTTGGAAATTGGAAACTTTGAAAGTTGTGTTCATTTTTAGTAACTGCTGTTGCGTGGAAGTCTTCTCAATCAGTTGTAAACTGGACTGATTAAATTCCTTATTATTATAGTTGCTCGATCGCATGTGCTTGGCTCTTGGTGGACGAGTGGCTGAGGGGAAAATCTTCCAAAAAATAACCACAGGTATACATTAGGCTTGACGTAATGTCCCCCAATGTTCATTTAAGTGGAAGCATTAACCCTCTATGACTATAGTGCACTTGTGTTTACATTTTATGTTTTTATATGACGATCGGTAGGGGCGGAGGATGATTTAAAAAAGGTGACGGACATTGCATACAAACAGGTGCGGTTAAATTGTTGGTAAATTTTCTTTTGACACATGCTCCAACCACAGTTGGATGCAAAGGTACATTTTCACTGGACCATCCAAAGATCTGGTAATCCAACTGGCTTCCTATTTTAACACACAATAAGAAACCTTTTTTTAAACAATCGTCTATTCAGATTGCCTCATACGGTATGAACGCCAGGGTTGGAAATATTTCGCTGCCTCAAAAGAAAGCGAACGAGTTGGGCAAGAAACCTTACAGCGATAAACTAAGTCGACTTATTGATGAGGTAAGGTTAACCATCTTTCTGTGTTGCTTCGCAGTACGTGTTGCTCCATAATTCGCTTTCGAATCTCCAGGAAGTTCGATCGTTGATCTCGAAATGTTACAAACGAACGGAGTCCCTTATTGAGAGACACACGGAGGAGCTTCAGAAGGTAATTCAATACAGATTTCTATATCTTTATAAAATTATGTCGATTGCAGTAACTATATATAAACTCCTTAAAGGGAGTGTGAGCAAGTCATTTATAGATCAGTCATATCTCCCAATATGCGCCGTTATTTTTGACATTTCTCCATAGGTAGCCCAAGCGTTGCTAAAACACGAGGTCCTAAACTATGAGGATATCGAAAAGATTATTGGTGAACGACCCTATCCTGACTCTCGTAAACCAGAAACACTTTCTTAGCTCGATGTATGAAGAAATTACTCAATGTGTATTTTTTCTATATGTGTTTTTTCCACTGTTTTGAAGACCATCAGACATGCTGTCCTCTTTTTTATTTTGGTGAATTATGCAATATGAATCATGATTTATCGCTTTACGTTTCAATGAAGGACCCGGACTTCACGACGCCAGATACGCCAATCCGCATAGTCACGATATCAAATTTAACTGCATCACCTACGAGTTCTCTGTTGTTTCATAATTCGATAATTTTAAGGGCCAGACGTCGAAGCAGCAAAATATAAGATAAATTTATGGTGTGTTGTAAAAATTTAACATTTAAGTTAAAAGCTACGAATAAGATTGTAAAGATACAGTGTGTGAGATTTGAGAAAATAAATTCATTTAAATTGTTATTTCATTTGAGATCCTACCAAAAAGTATTAAGTTTCGTCCGTAAGATCCTTCCAAAAAAGGATTAGGTAAAATAAAAAACTACAGACTTTCACCGCAAGAACTGGTGGTGCAGTGGCGAAGACGGTGATCTGCCAAGTATACGGTCGATGGTTCAAGTCCTGGATAAACCGAAAAACTGAAAAAAGAACGGTAATAAAGTGAGAATTTGGTAATAAAGTGAGAATTTTTAAGTGTGAGAGGAGTAGAGCGAGAGGGCGAATATGCCCTCCAAATTTGTATTTTATTTTGAAAGTTTCTAAAAGTTTCAAAGTTTGTGGCCATTAGGCATTAGTATTGCTAAATTAAATAAAAAATTCCTACCCTCCAAGATGAATTACATAAACAAACCTAAAGTAAATTGTCATCGCAATCCCAAAAAGTATCTTTATGTCCTTGGAAACATTGAATTTTATAATAATCACTTAGCTCTATGATTTTAACTGAAGAAAGAGAACGTTGAAAGTTCTATAGAATTTCAGAAATGATTCCATAAAAAAATCATTGCACTTTCCTCTTTATATCAAAATTTATGGAATATATGGAATATTTCGAATATTTATATTTATGGAAATATATAAATTTCCATCGAAGTGGAAACCCTGGATTCATGTAATTAGCCAATCAGGATGACCGGATTTGCAGGGTTTTGATTGGCCGAGAAGTTACTGGCACGATTTTGAATTTCAATTTTGAACAATCTTCAAACAGTGTATAATTTACAGCGTTCTGTATATAGGGAAGGGATTGTTGTGTTTCGTTTATTTTGGTAAATCTTGATATTTTTGCTTGATATTATTTGTTGGTTTAAAGAGCTTTTACAGCAAAGAATGGAGGAACCCATTGTCGACCCAAATTACGAATTTGAAGCTCCCCAATTCGTGAATTTTAACAGCGTGCTTGAAGAAGATGGCTCCGCCGACTCGTGGTTTGGTATGTTGAAAATTTCACGCTATCGTAAAGCGCTTTAATTCAGCGATCGCTCATCTGACTTTGCTTTTTTAGATGGCAAACCCGACGATGAAGGAGGAATACAGATTCCTACCGAGTTTGACGCGAATGAATCGCAGAATGAAGGGTCGAAACGAAAGCAGGTTGTTGTTGATGTGTTGCTAACAGAGAAAGCGAATAGCAAAATTTCCGATGCAGAAGCTAAACCAACTCCAATCGAACAGCAGAAGACAGAGCAAAGCGTAGAAAGTACAAATGCGAATGATGAAGGTAAAATTCAGGGTAATATTAAAGAAGAAAACATTGAAATTGACAAATCAAAATCCGAAACAAAGTGTGTCTCTGCAGAATCTGGCGAACATGTCGTTAGCGAAAATGGGGATAGTTTAGTTAAAAATGACCCCGGATCGTCGATAAATTCAACTGAGTTACTCCCAAATAAAGTTCCTAATCAAGAAATACAGGACAAAAATAATAACATAAGCTCTGGGGAAAGCATTGTGCAACAAAAAAATAGCGAAGATCTTGTTGAAACTGCCGAGAATGGCGTCGTTGCTAATGAAGTAGATCATAAAAGCTCAGATATTGAGAAAACTGAAAGCGAGGTGGAAAGTCGAAAGGAAGGCCAAACTGATACAAGTGAGAATTGTTCTACCACTGAAGAAGATGGACACAAAGATCATACAAGCGAAAGGGAACAAAGGTATATTTATATATGAAATTCTTGTGTTTCATGTGGTGCCTCAATATTGATTCCAATGAAGGTTATCTCAAAAATCCAGACACAGTGAAGAGAGTGACTAAATGTTCACTCTATTTGTTTGCTTGCACTTAGTAGCAAATATGTGTCATTTGGTATATACACTGTGCAGCATAAAGATTGGAAAATTTGCTGTCCCCCATCCTATATATAATGCTCAGATGCTGAAATGTTAATGTTGCCCACTTATAGACACTGGGATAGTGGGATCAGTTCGCCTTAAACAATAATTATTATATGTTATCCATATAATAGTGCGTATTAAATACCTATCAAAAACCATCCTGGTGAAATTTCAATTTCAATATATCTTTCTGATCATAATGATGTCCAACATGGAAAGTCTGATTTTACACAAAGTTTGATTGGCTCTGCGAAACTAAAGGTCAGTTCGTTTACACTTGCATTTTGTAACTTATTAACTCATTCAACATTGCAGCAAAAATTGCAAGTGTAAACAGGCCTTAATAGAACCTTCTTTGTTAAATGAAATCGCTCCTGAGCATGGCAAAATCACAACTAAAATTGGCTTTGATAATCAACTGCAGTCATGCATTGCATGCTTGAAAGCTAAAAGGAGATTTGTCTATTAACAAGACAATCAAACTTTGTGCAACATCAGACCTGCTGATGAGAAAGATCTATGGATAATCATAATGATTAATGATCTGATATCCAATGGTTTAATTGACAGGGTGACTAGGGTTTCAAAGAGGACCAGATCACTAAATACATCAGCTTCAAGTAATATTCCAAACAAAAGAAAAAAGAAGACTAGAGCTTCAGGGGGGAGCATACAGACAAGACGATCCAAATCCATCTGTAGTAATCAAGCTCATCCCACCATTACTGTTCCTGTTACACCACAATGTCTCAAGTGAGTATCTGTTAGGATCGAAAGTTAAGGCTTAAAGCTAATTTAAAAATTTTGTTTTATTGTATAACTATAAGTTTGGTAGTGTATTATTTTTGAATCTAGAGAGGCAATAAGGATTGTGTCAGAGTAAAAAAACACAGCTGTTCATTACCAATGCAAACAAATAATTCTGTTTTGAGCCCAGGCCCTCCAATAGCTTCGTTGCTTACCTTTTGCCCCATGGCCCAGGTATTCAGGAAAGAGAATATTAAGTTAAAGTAAACATTCATAGTTTCATAAATTCCTGAGAATACAGTATATAACAAAAACTCAAAATAACAATACCGAAACTCTTCTTGCTATAATCGTCGTCGGTGTACAAGCTAAAATCGTTCAGAACAGTTCACGATTAATATTGTATTTTCCGTGTAATTTTCAAATGAAATACTGGTTTTGACGTTTTGTTTACACTTTTTTGCGAGCTGAAAGTGGCGGGAAAATACAGAAAGTCAGCCAATCAAATTGCCCGTTATATATAGCTTGTATTATAATGAGAATTTCATTACCCAATCAATTTTTTCCTTATATTTCAGACGGCAGAGGACGAACAAACCTGCGATGATCAAGTTAAAGACGACGGAGGAGCTTGAGATGGAATGCATTGCAAAACTTCGGAAGCAGACGAAGCGCCATATCAAGGTGAACGAGAATTTAATGAAGAAAGCCATCTCGTGCCCGGCCGTGAACGCGGTGAGAGCTGGCGCGAGCCTCACTCGACCCCAGGAATTTCACTTCCAGACGGACAGACGTGTCAAGCAACATCCAATGGCGACGCGTTCCGAACAACCTACCGAAGCGAACGGCGACGATTCCGAAAAGGGATTCTGGAATAGTCTACGACAACATCCACCATCACCGGTAATTATGCATGGGATGGGTTTACTGGATGGGGTGCATAGGGGTACACCCCCTGGGTTCCCTCAGTTTCATTTTCAGGCTCTAAACCAACATGCACTGTAATATATCCCGCGCATACGGGTTTAAAATTTCCGTTGAAATATTACACTTACAGTATCGCGTATTAAAAAGATAAACATAAACAGCATAATGCATAACTAATTTTGGCGGGAAATCGCGTTCCACTGGAGGTTTTTTCCCTTTATCGCGCAAACATTTTTTGATATATCACGATTTAATATTATACCCAAACTTTACAGTCGTGGAAAAACCGTGCCGCTACCGTGCCAAAGCCATTCAACCTCAGCGATGGTGGACAGAAGAAGCGTAAGCGGTCCGCAATGGACACGGACTCCAAGGAAACAGACTCTTACGAAACGATGGCGTATCAAGTCTACAAGTTCCAGACCACGACTCCGCCACGTTTCCGGACGAGAAAGGCGAACGACTCCGGCTTCAAAAGCGACACCGACTGTGGCCCGGAGAAAACCGAGTCGGCGCCGAAGCATGTCACCTTACCCAAGACTCCAAACCTCAGCACGAAAACAAGATCTCGTCCTGTGGCTGAGGATGTCATAAGCAAGGAGGCAAGAGAAGAAAAAGAAGTTGAAGAAATGAAAAAGTGAGTGTAGTGCGTACGACTGTGTCCATGAAAAAAAATTCAACTTAATCCTAGGATTTTTTTGCATTTTTCACTCGATCCTGTGGGGGGAGCTAAAGTAATGTTTAAACGAAACCAAGATGGAACGCTTTCCCTATAATAAACTATATTAAAACTATATACGCTTTTACTATAAAAAACTATAACGCCATGCGTTCTAAAATTCAAATGTTCATTTCCCAATGTTACAAAGTGTCCAATCAAATTGCGCACGTTGGATGAAAGCCAATTATGATTGGATGATTATACACTTGGGATTTCAACATCTGAAGTTTCAGGACAGATTTTTTGTTCCGAAAAATAAAGCTCCGCTATTCCGCTATATTATATTAAGCGAGAGTCATCCGCTATATTATATTCAGCGAGAGTCGTATGAAACTTACTGCAACTAAACTTTTTCTTCCAGTTACAAGTTCAAGGCAAAGCCGTTCGATCGTCGAATCGTTGAATGTGATGGCATGTTCGGCGTGAAGAAACCCGAGGAAACGATCGAGGCGACGAAACCCAAGCCTTTTGTTTTCGAATCAGGTGAACGGCTGATTGCCAGAAAAGATAAAGAACCAGCCGAAAATGAGGTTTGTTGGAATAATGCATTTTTCTGCTATTTCGATCAACCTTTTAAAAGATATACACATTACAGCTGATTTGACATCAATTTTGCTGAAGAAATTTTATTTTGAAGTTCGGAAATTAGTTAGAAAACTGAACAGTTTATATATATATATATTTATAATTATAATATAATATTATATATATATATATAACATAAAGTTTATGAAACCGTAATTGCAAACATGACATTTGATAGGCTACCCTCGTTTCAATCATCGTGGCCAATCACAGAGGCTTGTTAATACGAAAATCTGTTTATTACCGATGATCGATGTATTAAGTAATGTTTTACCAACAATTAATATCATATTTTGCGCTTTTTCCCGTATTAGGGTGAGGTGTCAAATTTCAAGGCAATGCCACAGCCGAATTTCGAGAAAGTATTCAAACCACAGTTGAAGCATGAAAAGACGGCGCCCAAACCATTCTCATTCGAAGTAAAAGATAAGGAAAGATGGCAGAAAAAAGAGGAAAAGATTCATGAGGTTTACAAGGAGGAAGAAAAGGTTAGAAAATTTTAACCATTTGTGGTTAGTTATTTTTGCAAATACTTCTTTAGGATCTTCACTTCAATTAGGGAAGAACTGGCTTTCTTTTCGACAAAGACATATTTCTGCAGGCGGAAATATAACATGTCGATATCAATATGCTGCAATTACGCGGAGAAAAGCATTTTCTTTATAAAGAAATAAATTTTCTTAATAAAGAAATTCACACACGTTTGCATTTAAATTGGCATCTCACAAGCTAGGAATCTTTCAATAATGCCAGTTTCTATTATTTTTTATATTCTTTTGCCATATTGGCATTCTTTTTTTATCATTTTTAACCATAAACGTCAAGGTTTCCGATATTTTGGTTTCGCTTCAGTTCGACGCCTGTTCTCGCTTCAAACGAACGTGCGGCCCAATTAGCAATTTTTGATTTTGGTTTCAAGGATGCGCGATCTTTTTAACCATTAACTTCTTTATCGTCTTTCGTCGCGAGCTCTAATGGCTATTTGAACCGCAAGTTTCACGATTGTTTATTTGCAGTTGCGAGAATTTAAGGCTCATCCCTTGCCCTCGGACTCGCCTGACCCACTGCCTGCGGTATCGTCGAAGTGCGGGACCAGTTTTAGACCATTCGCACTCAATACGGAGAACAGGGGAGCGAAGAAAGCGGAAAAATGGATCCAAAAGGTTAGTGCGTTTGTCATACGTGTTTACATTGCGTGCATGGAATGAATCGACTTCAATTATAAACTCATAGTTTTTAGTTCGTGTTTGCATGAAACTCTACAATACAAGCTGAAAATTGTTTAACCTCACTGGAAATACCTATTAGCAGTTGTTATATTGTGGTATTGCTTTCTCAGATTCCTAGAAATCAGAGGTGGTATACATTTGACGAAATTGGGTGACTTTGTTATACAGGGGAAAACTAAATGATTTTAAATCGACTAGATCTTTGCTATTTAAGTTTTTTGTTCTGCTACTGACTAGCGCTGTCGTGTTGCTTTATCGTGTAGGTGAGATCAGAACTGGAAGAATGTCGCAGCAAAGCCACGTTCAAGGCAAAACCGTGCAAAGTTGTCCACGACGCGCCGTTCATCCCGCAGAAATCACAAAAACCGCTCACGGAGGTCAGCGAATTCGCGCTGAATACGAACCATCGTGCCGAGCGACGCGAGGAACTGGAGACGAGTAAAAAAGAGCGGGAACAGATCGACGAGGATTTACGACGAGAGCGCGAGGCTCAACGAGAGCGCGAAGAAGAGGCAGCTCTGGTGTTACTGCGGAAGAACTTGGTGCACAAAGCCCAACCTATACACAAATACAAGAATGTGAAAGTGAAGCCAAGCGACAAGCCGCTGACCGAAGCACATTCGCCGGCCTGGAGTGAAATGAAACGACGAAGGGTCGACAGTCACAGATAACGTATTGCTTCTCTCAAATACAAATCGTATTGGGGATCAGATGATAGTCTTATGTAGGAAATATATTTACATACATCTCTTGTAAGATGGGGGCCCTTAACTGTAAATAAGCCAAGCATATCAAAAGCTCGATATTCACACTTTTTTAGCCAAATAGTTGATTCGTTTATTTTGCGAAAACTTGAATAATTTACAAGATTACTTTAATTGTAATAGAAAATGCCAGCGAAGTTCATTGTGTTCAATATCAACTACCTATTTCATTGATACTTTCGTTTCACCGAAAGATTCAGCGCCGCATTGAATATTAGGCATCCTGAATAAACCATAGGAAAACTAGAGTAACATGGTTTTGGTGTCAAATTCGGTAAATCTCGTCCAACATGTTTCCCACAATGTACTTCATTGCTTTATACCGGTGTGTGACGTAAGCACTTCTGGTGTATATTTGCCATTTATCAAACCATATAGCTGACGTGGCGTAAATTTCATTGCCAAAGATTTTGCCTTGAAAATATTTGCGGCGAGGACAATATGAAAAAGCTTATTACACAAAAATTCTCGCGAGCAGCATTATTCCATACATAGAACAATAGTAAAGTATTTTGAAAACGATCAATTTCTTAACCTATTTATGTAAAAGTTTTAGTTTTAGCACATTAAAAATAATTTATTTAAAAACCACATTTGCCTAAAAAAATTTGCTGTCAGCAATACCGGAAACGGTTCATTTTCTGTCCCAAACGCAATGCACGTTAGACCAGATCCAAACTGCCTACTTGTAAGTACGTTGTCTGTTGTCGTTTTCGGCTGGCCATTTAAAATCATATTTATTTATCAATCAAAACGTTCCATAACCTTCAAATCTATTTAAAAATATACTCGGGGTATCGACATCATGATGGTAGGGAGCTGTTAACCAATTATTTGCAATCCATTTTTCCCCTTCGGTCACCAAACATCCACCATGCAGACTGTAGCCGTCCAACTCTCCTAACCATCCGCCATTTTTATAATCGACTCTATGGTTATACCACATCACTGCTGTTCCACGTTTTTTAGGTTTCACGATCAGATTGGCGGTGTGACAATATTCGTTCAGGTTGAACATATCCTTGTCTTCGCGAGCTTTTGCCTTCTACATAAGCAAAAACACTCGTTTGAAAGTCTGCAATTCCAAAGTCCTTGAAGTTGTGCTCCGAAATTGAGCAATTAATTGACTAAGTTTTTTGTCTTCAAATTATCCTGTCTTTGATAATAAAGAGTAGAATATACTTATCGTAGCGGGTTCTACAATCTACGGTACATAGTCAGAATTTCAATTGGAGTTCGTAAAGCATCACAACTTACCGACAAATCTAAAGTGGTATTGTCAGCAAGTGGGAAGGCCGTTTCCCCTCCTTTGTACTCGTCATTTAAATAATACAAAACGGTGACATATCTAAAGAAAATATTCTTGCCTTGGTCATAAAGTTAAACTACAGTTCACACTTGCACATCAAGTTGCACTTGCAGTCCAACTTGCTAACATTATTTGTCATGAAGATGTTTACTCGTTACCATTACCTGCAAAGTTTACATCTTCGCTCGGGCAAGGCCTGATGACAGCATGGCATATTCTGTCTTGTGTGAGTCTCGCTGTCAAAATGGGCATGATAGTGACCGAACGGTTGGTAACGGACGACCTAGGATAAAAAATCACGCGCTGTATATACCTCCTATCTACGGTCCTAAAAAGGTTGCTCGTAGAAGATGAGGTTACTAAAAGAAAATATTATCGAGAAGAAAATATTGCCAAAAATTTTAGAAAAACTCGTAAGTTATATGCGCTAGAATTCACAAATACCTGCATCTCTTCACCACCGTGCACCAAGAAACTTGGTAACTTAGTCAGTTTCGTAATCCTAAAATAAATTTTTCAATTCCGTTAATAAAAAGAACACTATGCATGTTATCTCCAGTCTCTCGAAAATATAGCTACATTCTTAAAATGTTTCTTTGATCTCAATTTTTTACAATTCTCGGTTCTTTTCTTTCCATGAAGATTTAAGTCTCCCAGAGTAAATAGCTCAAAACTAGGAAATTGCAAAAACCATTTCCGTTTTTTTAAATTTTGTGCATAATTTTCGAGCATAAATTTCGCTGGGATGCTTTCACTTTTCACCATAGCATGCGTAAGCAGTGAAAACGTATACCTCTTCAAAATCCTCGTCATCGTTTTATCACGTCCGAATCTCACCCAAGTCTGCTCGCTGTATCTGTCTCTATGTTTTGGATGAAGTCTGTGAAGTTTATAAAAGTAACCATCCATGCCGAGGATGTTGGTTGAAGGAAACTCGTCTCTTGTTATTTTTCCTATCCAAAATAAAAATAAATTTTATTCGACGTGTATATCTGCTTGGTTGTAAATGCTTGTCCGTATCGAATTCATAAACAGTTCAGAGAAACGATGTGAAATCGCCTTAAGTTCTCTAGTCTGGACTCATTTGGTTTGTTCACAGGTAGCCCGCTATATCGTTTTGCTTCACATGAAGTATATTCATCCTTAATTCAACTGCTGACATATCATCGCAGGCGCCGCCATTTTTTTCAGTGCACTTACTTTAATTATGTATTATGTCTACGATGATATGTCAGCAGTTGAATTAAGGATGAGGATACTTCATGTGAAGCAACACAATAGCGGGCTAGCTGTGGTTTGTTGTGTTTATTTTTGTTGTGATGCACTACTCAGCTTACCATCTTCTGCCTGTGTGATGTTCAGGTTTTCAATCCTGTTTAAAAAGAACAACTTTTCATCAGCTTTTTTCTATTGTAATGCTGCAGGAATGGGCTGGCAACCGTAAGGACATGAAATTGGGTTTTACTCACATGTATGAAATATCTTCTTTGTTGAGGAACAGAAGATGTTTCTTCCTGGCAAATTTTATTATCTTCGAGAAAAATGAAATAAACCTGATCAGTAAATGTCAAGGACATGAGTGACATTAGAGAACCACATCATAGTCTAAAACGTTAAAACAAACTTAAGAAATTTTGTCCTTCCTGCCTAGTAGGTAACTTGATAAAACGTTTTGTAATGAAACAATCCATATTTGCATTATAAGAACCAGTCATACCTCTAAAATACTAATAACACCATTTTTATTACGATCCCAATGATCAAATCGACCACCAAGCTCGCTTGGTTTCAACACTCCAGTCACTGGAAATGAAGAAACATTGTTCAATCCATGCATCTTTAAATGCTCACAAAAGAAACAAAGGCTTAACCGTAATTATATTCGCGCGTCAAATTTTCGCTATTTGGTTGCAAAGTTGCATATACTGAACTGAAGCAAGGTGACTCCGTAAACAATTAGATTTTTGAGCTTGAGTGCGAGCCTGAATCAACTGTCATATGGTTAAAATCGAGGATAGTCTAATTGTTTTGACGAAAAAAATAGTGAGACGATATTCCCAGTTTTGACTATTTTCGCCCAAGATCACTAAATATGTGATTTTTAGCAAGCCAATAGTGTAACCAAAAACTGTCAATCTTAAATTTTGAGCGCGAAAAGGATCAACTATATATGACGCGCCATACCATTGTCAGGGAGAATGGGCTGCAGTTTTGGTGTGAGACCACCTCTAGCCACACTGTTCTGCATGCCTTGCTCCACTGCTCGATTCATGATGAAGTCACATTCTTCTTCTGTCAGAAAATCTGGGATTTCTTCACCAGGTTAAATAAAAATACAGAAAATATTCGATATAAATAAAGAACTGCATGTCAGTCGGTTAGATCGCGATAGAAATTAACTGCATGGTTTGAGCATAAAAGAATATTTGTTCAGTGGCGTAGCCAGCCGAGTCGACTCCCGTTATGTGCAAATTTGATATGATTATAACCTGTTTGAAACGATTCTCAAGGTAGTTCTCGAACACAAAGGCACACAAAAACAGAAATTGGAAATGTCGTGTAATTTTCATTCTGCTATATATTATAGAGTGTGTAGACTAAGTTGTTCGACAGTCGTAGCTATGTCAATGAATACAATCAGAAGCTTTTCAAAATTTTTAGTTTTGTTAATTCTATCAGTCAGTCTTACCAAAGATTGGTGGTTGAAGAGCTCTTGTTATCATGGAGTGCTTTTTTTCACCGCCTAAGTCAATATCTTGGACATATCCCATCTACAATTATCGTAGAGCACGTTTTAGAGAATCTACATGACATGCATGAGGAAAACATTCAATGCACTTTTTCGCAAGTGAAGACTATAAATTCGATTCAAGTAAAGACTATAGTTATTACTCTTGCCAATTGAAGACAATCTTAATTTCTACGTGACGAACCTCAAAGATACATACATAAGAATTTTACGAAACCCAAATTTAATTAATTCTTAAGTTTGTATCTTTCTTTATAAATCTGTAGCTATTTTCACGAGATTCCAATTTGAATAGGCTGCTGTATTTGTTATTGATTCTGTCTCATGAGGTTGTGCCCTTCTCCGTGAATACTAGTTGTCCTGCGCTCCTAGCTTTACTGGTCAAACATATTGATAAATCAAAAAGATCAAATTTTACTAAAAATGATGTTTTTGAAAAAAAAACTCAAAGATTTAATATTAATGAAGTTTACATGAAGTATAATATACTTGACACACAACAAAGCACATCATTGTGGCCATCATTACTTGACACTTGCACACGTGCATCGTGAGAAGTTGCACGTTCTGTTATAGCTTTGTATAACAAATATTAAACTATATGACATCGTGCCAATACCGCCAAATATCCTACCTTGACCGGATTGAGCCTTGGCAAGGCGTAAGATTTGTCCTTATCCATGCAAGGTCCCTCGTTGACCCGAACGTCCCCAACTTTCAGCGAATCGCTGGCGGAACAGAAAGTTTGAATAAACAAAATATACAAAACCAAGTAATGTTCTCTCTCCATTTTGAAACCGCCACAAAAATGTCCGCTTTAATCAATCCTATCAGATTTTAAAGGACCATCTATTCACCACTTTCAGCAAATTTAATTAAATTCAAAGCTCTTGATCTTATTCCAGTTAAACTCTTCTCATGAATTCATCTGCCACATTCAATGAAGTTGACATCGACAAGGCCGCGCAATAATGAGCAGGTTGTCAAATTAAGAAATTCCACGTGTACCCCCAAATGATTCCAAAATGTAGTGGGTTCTTAAATCGACGATCTCTTGATAAGAAACCGGCTGATATACGGGCGAAAAAAAAATTTGAAAAATATTGCGATTCGATTATTCGAATTCGCATGAAACTGGTTGTTTTGAAAACAAAATGTTAGTATATCGTCTTTGCGCTTGAATGCGCGTTGAGATGAGGTGGTTGCATTCAACCTGGGCCGTTGACCTGGAAACGGCAGGTTTTGTTTTTCATCTTTGAAGAAAACAAAGATTTGAAGAGAAAGCTTTACATGAGGTGTGCATCAAATCGCTTGCCTTTGTCCATGGATCTTTTCTCAGGTGCGCCCGTTTTTGTATCATTTTATGGCTTTGTAAATAGGACTTGAACCCACGCTAGGAACAGCGATGAAAAACACCTGACAAAAGCCTTAAAATCAGTTCCTTTCAGACGGTGTAATTAACTCTCGATCAGTGATCATTTATTTAATTAAAGATTGCATTATTTTCATTAAGTCTAAACATACAAAATCGCTTCAAAAAGTTAGAATATTCCTGAGGAAATCACTTGAATTATTCAACATTATTTTTATACGCTTTATACGCACTATTTTTATACCATTTTTATATATTTCTATCTTTTAAAAATTCCTATCTTATATGTTATTGCATGTGTTCTCGTCATTTGGTTCAACTCTTTTCCGTTTATCTTCACACTTGCATTATAAATTTCATTAAACTCATCCAGTCCCTCAAAGTCTAATCGTCGTTGTCATCATTCCAATCGTATCCTCCGTCTTCCGTGAGTTCCTCGCTATCCTCGAGTTCCTTGATGTAGTAATTGCTCGGAATGTGTTTTTCGTCATTGTTGGGGGCCGTCAACCAGTTGTTCGCGATCCACTTCTCTCCCTTCAGAATATCGCACCCCCCGTGCAAGGTTTTCCAATCGAGGTCTGCCAACCAGCCAGAGTCATCCAGGAAGTGGTTATACCACATTATGGCCGTACCACGCTTCGGTGGGATTACCAGCGAAGCGCTGTGGCAGAACTGGCTCAGGTTGTATTTGTCTCCTTTCTTTCGAAGTCTAAATTCCTGTGTTGAAGATCATCAAAGGTAAACAATAGTGAGAAAACGTTTTTCCAGTGAAAAATAGAGACCAGTGGAGGAGGGAAATGAAGGATGCCTCCTATAACATGTAAATCCTGAAGGAATCAGAAAAGCTTCGACAGCATTAAACCGTAGTTTTTAGCGACGAAAAGTTTGTGTGAAGATCAAGAATTCCGGCTCAAGTCACTAGTGATGACTTACTGAAAATTACTACGCAATTGCGTAATACAAAAAAGTTCAGAACTCAATGTCGTCAACTCCCTCTTTCTACTTTTGAGAGACCATAGTTAATAACCTGATATAATCTTAAGGTCAACTTCAAATTCCAGGAAATACAGCCTACCGTTTCATTGAATCCTTCGACATCTGCCGCAGGGAAAGCCGTTTCACCGCCAGCCTCAGGTTGGTTCAAATAATAAAGAACAGTAATGTATCTAGACAATGTATAAAAATGATAAAGGGATATTACAACAGATAATTGCGTAGCCTTTAATTTTCTGGCTTGCTTAAAATTATCAAAAAGGTGGAAAAAGAAGAGAGGTAATCTATGCTGCATATAGAAAGTGCTTAAGCATGCATACAGGCATGGTAACGGAAAAGATAGGACATGTAGCTACACTTTACCAGAATGCATGCGGACGGAATTAAAGGAAAAGCAATAATCTATATAGTACTCCATGCAGCATTCCGGTGAAGAGCAGTTTTTCGCGAGGCGGGAAAACCTGAGTTTTGTGCCGATGTAAACCAAACAAAGACGATGTCTAAACGGCTCACGTGGTGCTTCGACTATTGACTCGTTACTTAGTAAATTAATTTTAGTAAAATTAGAATTCTCACCTGCACAGCCTGCATTCGGGCAGTTTATCGAGGTTCTGGTGACAACATTTATACTGTGGGAACTGCGTATTGGATTGCGAATCATAATGCGCATGGTAGTGACCATTCACGTTGTAGTGGACAACCTGCATGATACGATTTTGAAAAACAAATTCATCATTTGAAAAAACCATTCTACAATCAATCGCTCGGTAAAGCAAGGGAACTTATCTTCTTTGAGTAAAGGTTTTTAGTCAAGTAAGAGTAAAAATTATGTTTGTCTAATCAGCATTCGCACAGACGGGAGCCCAGTTATACTAAGTTAGGCGTGTTTCAGACGTCGAACTTTTCATGTAAATAAACTGAAACAAAGACTCATTAACATTAGGTTCCGCACATGGAAAGTTCGAGGTCTGAAACAGGCCTTAAACTCAGTATCTTTGTAAAAAAAGAAAATATTCTGGCAACAATCACAATCAGTCGTTGATTGCAGATGTTAATTTCATTTTTCTACTGACCTGTAAATGTTCTCCCCCTGCCACGACATTCATTGGGAGTTTCGTTAATTTTGAAACCCTGCAACGTAAACGAAGGATGATAACTATTGAAATTTTTCCTTGCACGCCCTCCAGGTAACTTTTAGGAATACAGCTAGTTCAATTGAAGTTCAAAACTACATGGGTCTTTAAGGCAAAACTTTGAGACGCCAGCATGATGCCTCAAATTCTAAGGACGTGATGTGTGCGTTTGTGTTGTTATAGGGCAACTGAAATGCGTGTCTTACAACTCTAAATAGTCTCGACAAGCCTGCATTTCTACTTCGCCTGTGAGAAATCCGCACGGACGCTATATTTCCACCGTCATCACCTTCTTCGTATCTTTCTCAACATTTGGTCCCCAGTCCCTCTCTGTGGCAGCCATGTTTGCTGGCTAAAGCGATCCCGATGCTTCGGATGTGTTTTCTTCATTTCCAAGATGTACTTCTCAATACCTGCCGTTCGCAGATTCTTGAACTCTTCCCTCGTCACCACCCCTACGTGGAGATTGCGCGAGCATTGTTTAGTGAATTAGCATTCAGGAGAACGGACTAAAGTAACTTTTAGCAAGGGGCCTGTGACCCGCAGAAAAATTTGACCAAATAAGAACCAGACCAACATATTTCGAGTTTATAATTTTTCCATAGTTTTTGCTTACCGTCGTCAAATTCTCTCAGTTCCAAATTAGCTATCCTATGAAATACAAACATTTAATAAAAACCGTTAAGTTAACTAAGGTATTATTTTGAAATATACACGTATATCTGTTTCGCCTAGATCGTCCATTAAAGTTACTTATTGCTTTTTCACTCACATTTCATCAACTTCTTCATCAGTCAAGTAAAGATATTTGCTTTCGGCTGCAAATTTTTTCAACTAGTACAAAATAAAGATACGAGTTTCTGAGAACATATGAACCTTTGGTAGAGAAATAGCTACTAGCTTACTCACCTAGTGGTGCTAGTTCACTGTTCATACAAACCTCTTCCTTCGATATGACATTGTCCCTATTGAAATCCCAGTTGAAGAACTTCCCAGCAGGAGATTTTGCATGACCTAAAAGGATGAAACAGGATAAATTTGATATCCTCATAATACAAATCCGATGTGACCAAGCTCAATTCTTAGTTAAACTGGATTAAGGGAATGGCTGCGAAGTAACTATTCGTGGGGTGTTGCCAACTTGGCGGGGGTCTGAACCTTCCAATTCACAACACCCTTCGCTAGGCTGCTGTACCTCAGAACTATATGAAGTCAAACGTCATGCAGTTATCAATTAATTGCGTACAACATACCAACCAATTCTTTCGTCTTCTTCTCGTATTCCCTGGACTCGGGATCAACATGAACATGGCTGGTGAATAAACCTCGCTTCTTTGTCCGAGCCATGATACCCTCGCATTCTTCTTCGGTGAGAAAGTCTGGAATTTCTGTGAGATAAGAAAGTAAGAGAAGCATTTACCATTTCTTTCTATAAATATCTATGGGCCAAATGAATATCTCCCAGACCCCTTATGTAAAAATATAATATAAAGCGCTTTCCTGTTCAGAGAGGAGACCAGTACGCACCGTCTACCGAGGGCTTGCACGAACATTATTTAGCAGAAGCCCTAGCTCATATCCTGTGCTGACGTTTTCCAAATGCCGAAACTGATATTTTCACTGTGGCGAATATTCATCGTAAGAAATTTCTTATACTTACCGAAAATGGGGGGATCCAAAGCTCTCGTTTTCACTGTAAACCTTTTACCAGGTTCCAGTTCTAATTCCCTTGTATGCCCAATCTTAAGCAAAAGGAAAGCATTTTGCCTTTTTTAAGCACATTATAGTCATTACAAATGGTGCTTAGTCATTCACTACTACCAGCAAACAATATAAACTGGAAAATACAAGAAAAAGCACTCTAGCAAGCATTCGTGCTGTAAAACAAGACAACAAGTTGATGGTAACTCTATTTCAAAGTCGTTTTCATTCACAATGACTTGTTGTCCTATGATCTGATTATAACCTCGAATTCATTTTGCGTCTTAGCTAGACCGCTCAATTGCAGAGTGTATATTCATATATTTATGATCACATATCATAGGAACGATTTTTATTTTTAGAGAAAACCAGTCGTGCATATAAGACTAAATTAATATACACCCCAACCCCTAATCAAGCTTCTAACTACGGCCCTGAATTCCCCTGGTCTATAGTAGCTAATATTTATCCCACAAATTCCCACAATAGATTCGTCATGTATATAAAGTCAACCTCGACAGGATCCCAGCGGAACAATCCTTCCTTGGGGTAATCAAATTCCTCGAACTCATCTTCCTCCGCTTCGTCTTCATCTTCGGTTGTCGGTTCGTCTATCGTCCCACGATCGCCCTTCCGGCCTTCGTCGAAACACGGCTCGTCGTATTCGTCTTTGGGTTCACAGTAGTCCCCGACACACGAACCGCTTTTGCGAGTTCCTTTACTGTACTTATTACCTTTCACAACAATCGCTGAAAAAGTCAGCAATAGCACAAACACGCGAATCTGTTCTGAGCAAAGCAATTTCATATTGTTGGAATTAAACAGCAAGTCTCTTGATAGATTGAACCTCGTAAATTAAACTTTCTTGAGCTACTCTCGCTTACTTTAACGAGGATCTTTCTTTATAAGTCTATATACCAGTAAAATAGAATATGCGATTAACATTTTTTGGTCGAAAAGCTTATAATTTGCTGGTGGTGTTTTGATGAAACACGTATTATTGTTACGAAATTAATTATGCCACATGGTCGTTCATGCAGTTTGCCAAATTCGATAAACTTAAAATAGCGGGTTTTATCACTATGGCCTGACGTTTTTTAGCACTTATCAGTTCATCCTTTTGATCTATAGCGTGTTGCGATCCATTGCGATATTTGTAGGTTTTGAAACTTTAAAAGCGTGTCGAGGCGTACGGTGCTGCATGAAGCCAGTCATGCAAGCGTTGAAAAATTTTTGCATAATTGATTTGCCAGCTTTGCCAACGGAGAACGTAACACGGTTAACAGAATTAACAATTGAATAAGTTGATATATTACCAAAGTTTGTGTATTGCACAGGTAAAAAGAATATTATGTCGTTATACGAACTCCAATTCTGGCGACACATGCATTGCTACTTCAAAGACAAAGTGAAAGACAAACTAACAAGCCTTATTATCAGATGATTTTTTAGAAATTAGATTACAGTTTTCTTAGATCATTATTTTTAAGGGATTTTTTTTATATTATATAGCTAAGGTAGTCTGAAATTAGCTTTCGTCATTTTACAATTCCGAAACTGTCAAAGATAATTATATATAATACTGGACTCGAGTACATTTGTCAACGTTATATTTGTCGAGACTAACAGAAAGAGTTGGTCAGCTTTAGTGAAAATTGAACTGCTATTGCGCGCGTCGTAAGTTTCACTGGCTTAACATAATTATAACTTTCAGGGGCCGTTTCTATAAAAGTCTTTAACTACATTTTGAACAGTTAAATCCTAGTTAACTCACAAATACACGACTCTGATTGCCCAATTCTGTCCTTAACTACAGTTAAAAGTTAACTAGCCTTTTATACAACTGACCGCATGCTATAAATCCCCTCCTAGAACCAAAAAACTTAATGCCGGGATAGTCCCACTGATATATCTAAGACTAATATATATGAGACGGCATGGGTTACACATCTAATAACAGCTATGTTAAATGCCTCTACAAAAAATCGATTTTCTATTTTGAGGTTGTCTCTATACCTTTCTATATATAGTTGTTGTTAAGAAAAGACGAATGTCTACCGTAAACTATCACCAAGCAGCCTTTTATTCATCCTAAATTTACCGGATAAAAACTAAACGGGGCCATTCGACGATAGATATATGGCCTGGATATCCATAGCATTCAACATGGCCGCCATGCATACATATAGACCTCATTGAAAGACAGGATTTCTTGAAATTAATACACAACACCATCCATGTATTTTGCACAACATTCATTTGTATTATTCAACCGTATAACCGATATATGTCTATGCAAACTGAATGCCTACACATAAGTGTTTGATTTGAACAATATTATACTTTAAATTATGTCAGAAGCTTTCTGCAACGCAACATTGCATAGTTAAGGAACCATCGTTTGGTTTAAATGTTACAGTGTATTTCAATGTAGTAATTGCACTCGTTGTTCTGACGTCATATGGTTTATGTATGAAGTAAACGCCTTGTTTGCAAAACTTGACCCAATTCTTAATGTGTCCATCGTTCGATGTTTCCATTTCCTAAGTAGAAAGATTCAAGAAACTTTAATGGCGGCATAAATAATTCTTTACGAATTATGCCACGTCAATTATAAGGGGAATGGCTACTTTTTGACTAATGGCAAGGATAAGTTTTCTTTCAGATGTCTGAGATCTTGCGAGATCAACTTCTCTCTAACCTTTGTCAATCCTGTTGACATGCAAATATTTTCGTCAAACATGTAATCCACCCAGAAAATAACAGCATTGCAGCATCCTTTCCTGGAGAGAATAAAATAACCACAAGGTCAAGCGTTGGGAAAGTTTTTTTAACACCGTACGTACATTAAAGAACTTCCATCTTTGATTTGACTTTGTTAGGACCATCGCATGTATCAGAAAAGTAGTTATATTTTTGTCGAAATATATGATAGCTAGCTTTAATTGAAGGAACACGATACCTAGTGAATTCTATAGTGCCGTTAACCTCCTGTTTCTCGTCAGGTATTTGACTTGTAAAGTCAAAATGTAAAACGTCGAAAACGTCGCTCAAAGCACGACAAGGGTACTCCCACATGCTATGAGGTTCAGCCTCATTTTCTTCGCTTTCCACACGACAACTCTATAAAAATTTGAATAAAAGTTAAAGAAAATGTCAACTGAAAGAAATTGAAGCAATTCAATAAAACGTAGTCCGAAAAATCGGCCGATTTTTATCGGATGCAAGAAACTTCGTCGATAAACAAACCTCGATAAGTTTATCAAAAGCTTGAACATTAAATCCTTCGACACTTCCTAAAGGTGCTCTGATCTTCCACAAATCGTCTAGTTCAACTGTATATCGAAAAGTAAACAATAGTCTAATGGGTCTACAACAATTTTAGGCGAGGGAAACGGGGGGAAGGGGGAAGATGTGGAGAAAGCATTCCTCAACCTACCGGCGACTGCTTTTAAACATGCGGATCCCGGGTTTACTTTTATTTTGTGGTCACAGAGATTTGACATAACGCTTCTTGAAGCGTACCAGAAATACAAGTCGTGCCAGGGCACCAAACTGGAGATGAAAAACGGTTCACCCAGAATAACATCGACCTGTGGTGGAAATGATGGATACAAATTGATATACTATGGGAAATAGGGTGTAAAATTGCGATGGTTATAGGAAGTCTTAAAGCGAGCCTCGAAACCAGCCCTGAACATGGTTTCGAGGCTTGTATGCATGGCAGTTCTGGCTTTGGATGAGGTAGAAGTCTGTTTAATACAGAAATCTAGTTCAAAGCTAGTACCAGGCCAGCGGTGCGTCTGGGCTAGTAAGACTTACTAAGGACTTACTTCGTCCTGAATATCCATTTTCGTCAACTGGTCTGCGGTTTTTGATAGCAGAACAATCCTGTCCGTGAAGCCATTTGCAGTCACTATCTGGTATGCAATTAGTAAGGAAGGATGAACGATTCCTTTTTTTGTTAAGAAGTCCCAATAAATCAATCACAACAATAAAATCGATAAGTTGATACCTGTTGAATGACACGTCTGGTCGCTACTTCGGGTTCCAAGACGTAAACCTGGAACAAGAAACCGCATAGGCCTTGTTCTGAGATTCTCACCCAAAAAGAGTCTCGCAGTTTCCGTGAAAAGAAACTGGAGCACATAAATATGATTTCAGTGAGTTACGTGCATGAAGGTAACTCTGAGCCGTACCTTTTTGAAACCGGCCATGACTCCTAGTACACTGAGCAACGATCCGTCGCTGATCACAAGAGCAACGGATGCGCCATTTTTGACGAGCTGTACACAAAAGGCTAGTTATTAGTTAGGGTAGGTATTAATAGTTGATGATAAACAAACCACTGTTCAAGAACCTAGTCCAAGATATTTAGAAATCAACCTTTTTGAAGAGTGTATAGAATTGCTTTCTTCTCTTGTGATGATTGACCATGGAAAATCTAGGTCTGCTCCAAACTGTATGAGCACCACACGTACAAACGGGATTTCTTTTCTTCAAAGTGCTTGTTCCGTTTGCTCTTAAAGAGATAAAAAAATATACGTCGAACATCGTTTCTGGGCTTACAGTGAATCATACATTCTAACTCGACACGAATCCCTACATCACTACACAGAAATCACATCACCACTAAACTCCCTCTACCTTCATGGGTAACAAGGATACTCTCTTGATAACCACCTCCTTCTTACACTCCAACTGAATTCAGGAATCCTTCTCCACAACACTTATTCTACGTTAATGGATCCTTCTTCAATTACCACCTCCTTACACTCCAACTAAATCAAGGGATCTCCTCACCGCTACACTCATTCTAAGTTCATGGATTCCTCCATTACACCTCCACCTCATATTCCAATAAATCCAGGAATCTCTTTCCCCATGCATACACTCGCTCATCCTAACTCTATGGGTTCCTGCAAAACTACACTCCAACCAAACAAATTTGTGAACATACTTTTTCTCGGGATGAACGTCAAACCAAAAAGCGTAATCATCATGAGTTGTTTGAATAGACAACCGCTCTCCTACATTAAATATTACCAAAAGTCCATTTGTAAACATGCGATATTACGAGAATATTACGCAAAAATTCTCGCACCTTTTGAAACTTGTAGGGGTTTGTCAATGAAATATACCCCCTGCATCCAGTGATCACGCCACTATAAAACATAGTTTTGTACTGGTCAAAGTAGTGAAGCACAAAGGAGTCGTATTGCGTTGGTGTAAAATTGAATTTGCCTAACCTAGATTTCGCATAACATAACATATCATTGTTGCTGCAAAGCTTTCTGTCAAACTCAATTAAAGATGATCCACAGTACAGGGTGCGCATGTGCCGGTAATTGTTTGCATTTCAATGTTCTGTTTAAATTTTCACATAATTTTATTACCTACGTGAAGTACTTTTACTTCAGTAATTATATTAGCTACGTGAAGTACTTTTACTTCAGTGGACGCAATGATGCAACATTAGTGACCGCTAAATGTTATAAACCCGTAGTTTGGAAATAGAATTTCATGAAATCTTAAACAAATCATAATAACCTCATTTCTTTTTGCTTTTCCTTGGTCCATCCATTTTGGCGCCATACTCAAAATAATCTCCCCGTCCTTATCCATTTGTAAATCCCACCACATGAGAATGACATGCACAGTGCCGTGACGCTCGACAGGGCTGTCATTATTTAGGTAACTCAATATTTCGTTGTCCTCGCGATCTGTCATAACCCTTTCGGTCATTACATCATCGTTGCCTTCATCCAGTTCACAAAATAGGAACCTTTTCAAGTAAAAGAAAGATTAGTCTTTTGTGTGAGCTAACGACTAACGTTTAATCTTTAGCTGAGCTAACGACCTCGCGAGGCAGTTAGCTCAGTCCGAAAACCATTCGCACACGAGAGAAACTTGCCTCTTGAGGCGAATTCCACATGAAAACTAAGCTCAGCTGATAGCTCTCGTGTGCAGCGGGCTCAATAGACACTGGAGCTGCCTTTGCTCAGCAGTGTCACTTTACATATAAAGAAAATTATTTGAAGAGAAAAATGTACTCGACAAGGCTAAATTAAGATCCATCCATGAAAGTGCATCTGAAGTACTTTACCTTAAAACAGGCAGTGCTTTAGACAGTGCTTTAAAATCTTTCAAAGGTATTTCATCAGCCTGTACATCGTATACAGAAGGCGCCCCCTTGCAGTTCTTGATAGATTCCGGGATCTTTAATGATAACCCCTCATCATCACACTACACGAAAACACGCAGAAAGTCGTCATTTTGCGGAAGTTTACAAAAGATTTGCAAACGTCAGCTGCGCTAGATTTTCCACATTTTACCAATATTTTTGAAAGTTCATAGCACCAGGTATATAATCCATTGTAATTATTGCTACTCTGGTTTTAATAATCTAAGTAATCAACACTCTTGAATGAAACCCAAGGTATTATATCGAATCGTACTAAATATGTGATTTTGTGCAGAGGAAAAAGCTAACGCATTTAGAAACGTGTTAAACAAAGTTCCATCTTACTATAGAGGGTAATAATTGATGCATCTCCCATAATGTTTCAGACTCGAAGAGCTGAACATAAACGGTTGCAGCGGCAGGAACAACGGTAGCATTTTTCTAAATGAAAAAATAAAGTGCCTTAATATCTTGATACTTCTTTTCGCGCCTTTTCTTCGCGCTTTTTCTTCAACACAATCTCTTTTCCGAACATTTTATTACGAGTATTAAAACTTTCTTTTTTTCAAAACTACACCCATTATGGATGGAAAGCATATCAACCGACAATTCGAACAGAAATGACAAAAAAGGCATTTGATAAACCGATAAAAAAGCTGATTAAAAGAATAATTGAAAAAAGAGCGCGAAAACAATGGATGAGGGCGGGAAAGAAAAGCGCGCGAATATAGGATTAATTATTCCATTATTTCCAGTTTACTGTTTACGACGTCTCAGCTTTAGTTGAATTAATCGAAAAGGAGGCCACGAGAGGTTAGTTCAGTCTATATTTTAGTGTATTTGAATAAATATGACCGTCCTTGTTTACAATTTTGCATAATATATACTATATAGTACTAATATCATATTTTCGTTAGTAAGAGTATACCGAGTAGTTTCGTTAGTAGAGTAAACTCACCTCTAAAAGGTGTTTGTAAGCATGTCTCATTGAAGGTAACAATCCTTCGCCAATAAGTTCCGTATCAAACAACTCCATGACTACAAATTCAGCTCTCTCGGGCATATCTTAAAAATTTTACATATTTACGTTTGTCATCACAATTTTTGCAAGTTGCAATTAGTACAATAGGCAGATTTAGCATAAGGACGTGAACGTAAAAGAGGACGTGAAAACGGCGAATAAATGGCGTGGCATGTCCATGTATAGACGCATCACGCCATTTATTCGCCATTTTCACGTCCTCTTTGACGTTCACGTCCTCATGCTAAATCCCCCTAATATTATGTAGCTGACGTAGAATACTGTTTTTAAAACGATCAGTTTGAACTAATTTTGTCGGCATTTGTACAAAATGCGTGAATTTAGATAAAATGTGAGATGTTACAAGTGGCAAACTGCAAACTATCAAAAAACCTTCAGGAATCGATGTATTTAGAGAGCTTTTTGGTATAACAGTGATTGAATCATTAAAACCATTCTCTTTGGTGATCTCTTTTGCCACTGTAGCCATTGGCAGGAATGCCTAGTACATAAAAAAATGTTGAGAAATGTAAAAGATCAGTAGGAAATACAGATTCTTGTGCAGTGTGAAATCTCCTGGTGGCAAACTGATTGAGCAAAATGCTATAAAGTCTTCTGATAAGATCTCCATAAAGGAAACTAATGTCATCTAGAATAGGCAGAGCATATCTTGATGCATTATTACAAGCTAGTACCTCACAAGCAAATATTGTCTTTATTCCTGATTTTGCTGCCATCATAGACAACAGACCAGTGCCAGTTCCAATATCCAAGCAATGAGGATTTTTCCCTTCATTTAAAAATCTTTTTACTTCCTTATTTATTGCTCTGTAGTACTGCTTATTCTAAATGTTGATTCATAAAAACTAATATCACAAACAAATTAATGCCAGAAAAATTTCTTTAATAGTCACATAAAGCAAAATCTCAAATCCATTTTAATACATAGTGCTCTGCAGTGCTGGTAGTATTAACGGGTAAAATATATTATATGACCAAAGCGGTTAAAAGGTATATAATCTATTATTGTTAAATACATTACAGTACCCTTTCTTTATCATGAAGCATATCACCAAATAGAGATCTATGCAATATAGAAATTATATTAGGCGATAAAGTCTTTGATTATATAGTCATGTAACCACACATAGAAATTAAGTTATAATAGTTTTATGGTGAATTTGTTGGTGGTACAACATGGTACAACATGGTCCAACATAAAGAAACTGTTGTCATCGATATTCTTTAAAGAATAGCAATTCAGGATAAGGACAGTGTTGGAATAATCTGTGGTTTACAGGGGTGCTCTCCCTGCAGGCATTAATTGTTAAGCAGAGTCAGCTACAGCTCTCATTTTTTTAATACCCATGCTTTTTACTGTTGGGAGAACGCTTCTCTTTAGAAGGCAAGGCCTAGGACAAAGAGCTTTTAAAATTAATACAATATTTCTCCCTTTCATGATTGGGTCAGGTATTTCAAATGGAAGTTCCTTAGAAAATGAGAGGGCTCAACTAAGGGGTGCATACCCCTGTTTGCCTTGTTTCACAGGGGTGAGGGGTGGTTGGGTGTGACCAAGTAATAGTATATTCAACATGCAAAAACATATAAACAGATATAGTTCCACTTAGTCATGTTTAAAATACCTCAATATTTCGCGCCTATCGTCATAATTTTCTTCCATCAAACACCATTCGTCCTTTCCTGTCACAGGACTAAATCTTTTACAGAACATCCCGTCTATATACCAAACTCTTTTCTACCCATACGTCATGTTAAAACTATACCCATTTTTTAAACGTCGGTTGCATCAGTCGCAATATCACAGTAAAACTGAACAGTCTGAACTAACAGTGTATATTTTTGTTTACAATATGTTTAACACGTGGGAATTAGATATTCTCATTTCCGGTAGTACAAAGGAAATTACAACCCTCTTGGGAATTCGAATGTTGCAAACTTTGTTTACAAGAATACAGCATTCAAATATGGGAACTTTGTTAACTAATTCATTGCGAAAAGAAGGCAAATTTGAGATTTTTGAGAGTAATTTTTTACTGCAGGAATTAGTAATTACAAATGTTTTTACTGTATCAACTATCAAGGAATTAGATATTTTCAACTTTGACTGATGGAATTTAGTTAAGACTGAGAGTCATGACATATCATTGGTCCATATCTATCCATATCTCGGTAAATCGTGGACTTTCTACAATTTCAATACATTGAGAGGAGATACCAGTCATTTTGAAGATTATGCAACATATTATAGATATTTGATCGAACCTTGAACCACGTCCAGAAAGGATCAAATGGCGTCGTCTCGTCTTGTACAGAGAAAAATCATTGACTTTGCTCGTAAACCTGCAATATCTCGCGCCATGGCTAGTTCAATGTTTCCAGCCAAGGTCAACCCAATGTTGCCTAAGGATTGCTTTGTGAACAAGACAGCGTTTATAACTGGAGGAGGTACAGGTCTTGGTAGAGGAATGGCTGAGATGTTGTCCAGGTTGGGTGCTACTGTCGTCATTGCCAGCAGGTCAGTGATCTTTGTGAAGATTCAATAAATTTTGGGTCCTTTTAAAATTGGTATTTCATAAGTATTTCATGATTGTCTAGATAGCTTTTTATCTTGTTGCTTTAAAATTGTCACCTGAATTAACTTGCAAGCAGGAATTAAGCCAGGAACATTTGAGTTTTTTAATAACTTGGTAAAACCTTTATTTAGACATTAAAAAGAAAAGAAAAAGCATTTATTCTATGTGAGCAGTAAGACCGGTAGCTGAGCTAGCTAACCACTCCTCATGAAAATTGGTACCACCTAGTTGTCCTTGATCAAAATATAATTCTTTAGTATTATCCCTTTAAATTACCTAATTGAAATTTATCTTCCTTTCCCATTTCCTTCAACCTCACAATTTCCTTCAACCCCACAATTCACACATTTCTATAAATGAAGTTTGGATCCCTGACCTAGATCACAGCCAACTTATCCTACTACGCCTGGGAAATTGATTTAACCTGAACCACCTAAACCTAATGATATCCCCCACACTGATACCAAAGCTACACCCTCTGCTTTACCAACCCAATGCATCATTGAAATTGATGTTCTTGATTTATTAGAAAACTTGATGTGCTACAAAAAACTGCTGAAGAGATCAGTAAAGATACTAAAAATGAGGTGATAATTTCATATATAGGTACAATGGGTACATTTTTACGTAATAGTTCATTGCTGTCCCTCCTAACAGCAAATACATGTCATGTACATACTGTGACATTGGAAAGTAGTATATTTTTTCTGATTTCATATCCAATGATGCCAAACCAGGTTGTATATATTAGTTGCATTTATTATACCTACCTACCTCAATTAAATTCAGTATACCTGGTACATGATAAATTACAGTACACTTTCACCCATACACTTTTAACATTTACTGCTAAACTATGACATGCATTAGTGTGAAATTTACTGAAACCTGTTTACCATTTGCATTATATATTCTCAACTCTCAGCAACCCAAACAGGGGCTGTACGAAAGGGATAGCTAGTTCTTATACCCTTACTTTTTACTCTTACTAAAGTTAGTGATCGGATTAGCCAATCAAAATTGTGTACTTTCAAATTGATTAAGATTTTAACTGCGAAAAATGAATATAGTTAAAAGTAGTTAAGGTGGCTCCCTACAATTTTTTGAAATATTGAAAACTTGTGGTTTTGATTTAAAATTTTAGCACGAGATTTCTTGCTAAGGAAAAGAAATTCCCAGATATATTAACCAACATTCTAACAGTCAGAAATTACCCACAAGCATGACGTCATTACCGTTGTTATGGTAACAATGGCGATTCAATATGGCCGACATTTTACCTATTCGTGCATTTTACTCGAAAACAAGTTCGGTTACCCCAATTTTTTATTTTATAAAGGGTTTTGTTAGAAAAAAATGAGAAATTTGAGCCAGTTTAAAAAAATTCTATAGAGCCAAAATTATTAAAAATTGAAAAACGTGATTTCTCGTTATAGAAATTTTTTGGCTCTATAGAATTTTTTTAAACTTGCTCAAATCTCCCATTTTTTTGTAAGAAAACTTTTTATAAAATAAAAAATTGGGGTAACCGAACTTGTTTTCAAGTAAAATGTGTTAATAGGTAAAATAACGGCCATATTGAATAGCCATTGTTACCATAACAACGGTAATGACGTCATACGTGATGACAATTTTCGACTGTTAGAATGTTGGTTAATATATCTGAAAAATTTCATTTCGTTTAGCAAGAAATTTCCTGCTAAAAATTTCAATCCAAATAATCAGTTTTCAATATTCCTAAAACTGTAGGGAGCCACCTTAAATGAGTTTTGTACAACCAGGCCTCAGGGTTCTCAACTTCGGAATTTCTCGAACAGGTCTACCCTGTACAGATGGATGTCCGGGATCCCGAAGCTATCAAAAACGCAGTGGACATCTTTGTTGGAAAATTCGGTCTGCCTGATATTGTGATCAATAATGCAGCTGGAAATTTCATTTCGCCAACGGAGCGACTTTCGCCCAATGCATGGAAAACCATAGTGGATATTGTGCTGAATGGAACAGCTTATGTAACATTGGACATTGGGAAACGTCTGATAAAGGCGGGAAAAGGCTGCAATTTTTTAGCAATTACAACGGTCTATGCGAAAACTGGTTCGGGATTTGTAGTGCCTTCAGGAGCTGCGAAGGCAGGAGTTGAAACTTTGACAAGGTATTCGATCAAGGTTTTTTAAAAATTGGTGCTGGGTGGGGGGCTAGAGGGCTGAGGGCGTAAAGACATGAAATGGTCTTGAAATTGGTGTCTGGAGGCCTTCCCCAGAGATTTTTCAGTATATTTGAGTCTGTATATGACTTGATTTCGGGAAACTCTTACTAACGTATCCCATCCGATCGAGAAAGCGAGGTTCGTTAAGAGCATGCATTCTCAGTTCTGACTTCTGAACAGGGCAGTTTCTAACTTAGGACTTTGTTTAAATATGTACAACTGAACAGATATCATTTAAAGACATTAACGACATTATTTATTAGCTTTTTAACGACAAGCTTTCTCGTTTCTGTCCAGACGAAAATCTTGTTTGCTTTTCCAGGTCGTTGGCAGCTGAATGGGGAAGATATGGTATGCGGTTTAACGCTATAGCACCTGGTCCTATTGAAACAGAGGTAACTGAATTTAATTGTATATGCTGTTAGACTAAAGAACGAAAGACAGAAATAAACCCAACCTAAACTAAAGATTACTGGTATTTTAGTACGAGTGTTTGCGGACACGAGATAGCTCAGCCTCAGCTGACAGTTGACGTGTGCCGGCGGGTTTTACATCCGCCCAGAAAATGCAGTTTCATCGCATTATTCACATCGTTTCTTGTCATTAATATTTCGCTATTTTTCCCACGGTGAAAAATAATTAAAAAAAAATCAGAAATAATAACTGGTAATTTGCCACCGAATCCCAAATGCCAAGAAAATTGTAGACAATTTTTAACAAAATTTCCCGCTAAAACATGAGCGGTGAATACTATGGAAAAAGTCCAGGAACCAATCAATATACTCCATTTTTCTTTCTTTTACCAATTTTCGTTGTTGAGGTTTTTTCGGTATTGTACGGTACCAAGCGAACGTAAATGTACATCCCATTCGATTAGTGGTTTCTCCGACATGTTTAGCAAACGCACTTCTCCATTCTCAGGGTGCATTTTCAAGGCTGGACCCAACTGGCCAGTTTAAGGAGGAATTAATAAAGCAATTGCCTGTCGGTCGTTTGGGAGAAATCAATGAGCTCGCTAATCTAGCTTCATACTTGGTTAGCGATTACTCGTCTTGGTTAACTGGAGAGGTAAGTCCCACGACCACAACGAATCTGACTTACAGTGAACAGTAAAATACGTTGACAATTCCATCTGTAGATCATCAACCTTGATGGTGGTGAGACACCTGCGAAGGGTGAGTTTAATGGACTATCAAAGGTAATTATTTTAATTGAAATTGTTGCAGGCACATGTTTCAGAGTCTGAGGAAGATCGTTAAATGTGGAGCTACTGAATATTCCTTTATCAATTTGCTTTTATATTCATCATCATGTAGGCCTATTGCACCAATGAGGCGCACAGGGCCTGAGTTTTAGTCTCTTCAAATTGTTTTAACAGTCTGTTTACACGAATATATGATTATTACCCGCCCCCACTTGACAAACTTCCCCTGTGTTTTTCCGAGGTAAAAACTAAGGCATTTTGATGTTTAGGTAACCAATGAACAATGGGACATGTTGGAGGGAATGATCAGAAAATCTTCAAAATCTCAAAAATCAAAGCTGTAATATATTTATACATGGTACATTGCTTCTTTAACAAGATTTCAGATTTTTTTAATTCACAAGCACTATAGATAAAATGTAGTTGCTGAGATAAGAGGAGTTTTTTTTTCTTGAATTCTTTCCTATACAAAACTTTCAAAAGTAAGGGTTAATGGATAGTGACAGAGCAAAATTTTAAAATCACATATTCATGATATATATAAGAAAACTTGCAATTTTCATATCATATCCCTCTTAATATAAAAAACTTTCCTATGCCCCTGACGAATCTTGAATATCGACACTAAATTGTCTAGTTAATGTGAATATGCATGATCTTGAGAGTCAGCCCAATATGCTAGAGCCTCTATATGTGTATTTTCAAGCCCTTTCACCAAGTCTTTTTCTTTTGAAGTAGACAAATAGTTTCATTGTTTATGTTTGTATTATGTTTGACTTTTAAATTTGATTATATTTACATTTAGACAATTAATAGTTAATATTTCTACCCATCAGAAAGATAACTCTTTTTTGTGTAAGTTTGATTTGTCATGATTCATCACACAGCAAGTACCTTAAATAGTGGCAATTACACCCTGCCCCTGCCAATGTTTAAAATGGTGCAATATTTAAATATTATGCAGTATTGCCACATCTGTGAACTAATGGAATTGGAGCTGCATGTCACAGAAAAGGACTTGAAGATCATTTAAAAAAGTATGGTCCTTGCATTGCTTAAAACCAAGTTTATTCCAGAGATGGGTGCATGTCTACAAAATTTCCCGCCAAAAAAGAGCGGTGAATACTATTGGTCAACGACAGTCCAGGAACCAATCAATATACTCCATTTTTCTTTCTTTTACTAACTGTTTACTAACTAACCAACTGTTTAACAATTATTTGGCGAGGCAAGGTGAATATCGCTCAATAAAAACCGAGACGAAGTCGAAGGTGAATAATTGTCTTAGTGAAATTATAAAGGTGATTTTTTGAAAAAACTAATCTGTTGTGGAAATTACATATTTTACCTAAACATTAAGCAAATATCGCAACAGTTTTACGCTAGCTAATTAAAGATTTTCTAAAATAGCACAAAATTTCTTAGTATATCTAGAGACCTCAAAATTCATTTTAACTCTCTTGATATAAAAGACTTTCCTATGTCTCTGACAAATCTTGCATGTGGACACTAAACTGTCTAGTTATGCACGGCGAGAAGGGGCGGACCCCTTTCCACACCCCTTACTTTAGATAGGCTAGAGCCCCTATGTGTATTTTTCAGCCTTTTCATTAATAGCCTTTTTCTTTTGAAATAGACAAATAGTTTCATTTTTTAGATTATTCTGTATAATGTTTGTCTTTTAAATTTGATTATATTTAGATTTAGATAATTAGTAATTTTCTATATCATTAATTTAAGATCATGATATCCATAGGCCCATAGAATAATTTCCAAAATTTGATCTCTAAGCAGTGCTGTATTAATTATAAAGAGACCCACTGCTATGCAGTATTGCCACTGTGAATTAATCAAATAGGAGCTGCATATAGCAGAAAAGGACTTGAATCTTGAACATTTAAAAAGTATGGTCCTTGCATTGCTTAAAACCAAGTTTATTGCAGGTGAGAGTTGATGAAAACAATCATCTGCATTTAGACTAAAGAAATGGGTATTCATTGGTGCTCAACAACACTTGGAACCTTGTTCTGGCACCTGCCTATTGTCATCACAACCTGGTCTAAAAGTATTATTCACCACATCCTCAATATCATTTCCTCTTCTTTTAAACATCTCTAATGAACATTTCCCAAGCATTCTAAGTAAATTTTCGATGCCTTCATTATTCTTCGCAGATGTCCAAAAATTTAAAAGTATCCTGTTTCCCATTTCTTGAAGAAATTCCTTCTCTTTTTCAACTGAAATGCCATCACTCCCAACTGGTAGGTCAATTTTATTTCTAACCAGAATTAGTTTAGCTGCAGGCTCATACTCCTCTACACCTGTGGCAATTTCCAACAAATCATCTAAAGAGTTTTCTTTATCCACGCTATATACCAGCAGAATAAAATGGCTTTTTCTGTAATAAGACCGTGTGATTCTGGTATGCCTCTCCATGTCAGCTGTGTCCCAAAATTCCATCTAGAAATGAAACATTTTCTCAAATGCTTACACCAGGTGAAGGTTTGAGTATTTTATGGTGACCCATACCTCCAGTGTACCAAATTTCTGTGCCAGTGCCTCCTGGCATAAATAATGCATACAACAAATATCATGACCAGCCTATTTAATTCATATAATCTTATTTTTTATTCTTTATAATGCCAGCTTGTAGACACCCATTTATGATGTATAACTTTTCTCATGCATTCTCACTAAAAGAATCTTTTACGAATTACTTGGAAATGAGGCATGCATGAAGCAAGCAAATGGATGGCATAGGTGTGATTTGTGAATAATTAATGCTTCTTGATTCATTAACTTCATATGCAGAGAAATATTCAAAGTATAACTATAATTTCAAGTGAACTATACGAAATTTTCGCTTACCGGAATAACAGTTTCATCTTTTTCAAATATCTCCTCATGTCCGCCTTTTGCTGTGCCTGATGGCGGTTTATCTTCCATGAAATCTTTCTTCATGATTCTTCGAAACAAACTAGTTTTACCCACACCATATGCACCAGTGAACGCGATCTTATAAGGTCTTGCCGGTCTTTTATAATTTTCTACAGGATTTAAATCTTGAAACTCCTCATTCTCGGCCATATTGTGTTAAAATTTCGTGAACAGTCCAAACTCCAAAGACGGAAGACCACTTCCTGTATGACTGTATCTAAACAGAAATCTAAATTTAGGTCCACAGGTTGGTGGCTCCATGACGTACAATTGAAAGGCGGAGCACGAAAGATAAAGCAGGACGTAACACAATGTCATGACATGACTTACAAATTGACTACAAGACTTTTGAAGAAAATCATGTTTTTGGCCTTCTGTGGTGGGCCCCGGCCCACGGAAAGATTGTCGTTGCTTTTTTAATACTTTGTTAACCAAACGAAATACCAGTGAGTTCACTGCGAAATACTTCAGTTACTTTAATTCAAAATATGCCCGGTTTGACCATTTTGACCGCTTAAAGGAAGCGCCTATAGCTGCGGAAACATTCTTTCTTACCATTAATATTTTGCTATGTTCTCCACGGTGAAAAAAAATTACAAAAATACAGAAAAAATATTAAACTGGTAATTTCCCATCGAATCACGAATGGCAAGAAAATTTTAACAAAATTTCCCGCCAAAACAAGAGCGGTGAATACTATTGGTCAACGACAGACTGGTTTATGGTCGTTTCGTACTCTTGTCATTTCGTACTTCTGCCGTTGCGTACCCAGGCCTGGTCGTTTCGTACCCAAGCCTGGTCGTTTCGTCGGTTTCGTACCCAGACATGGTTGTTTCGAACTTTACACATGAAATAAGCTAGCTTTGCAAAATCTTACCCCAAGATCTTGAGATTTTTTAAAGTGATTGGGATATTGTTGGGATTTTTTTCCAGTAGTTAGATCTTGGGATTTTTCTTGGGATTTTTGAGAAATAGTAATAAAAAGTATTCAGTCTGATAGAAATATTTTAGTAGCCTGAATATGACTGTGCTCACTGTATTCAAGCTGTATTGCATGGCCGCTAGTCTGCCGTTTATTTTGTGTTATATTTACTGCATTCTGTATTATGTTTGTCTTCTAAATTTGATCATATTTACATTTGGATAATTAGTAATTATTTTCTATATCATTAATTTATGATCATATGATATCCATATTCCATAGAATAATGTCCCAAATTTGATCAGCTCTCAGCAGTACTGTATTAATTATAAAGAGACCCACTGCTATGCAGTATTTAGTATTACCATTTACCACTGTGAACTAATCAAATTGGAGCTGCATGTAACAGAAAATGACTTGATTTTAGAACATTTAAAAAGCATCACATCCTTGCATTGCTTAAGACCAAGTTTAGTGCAGGTGAGGGTCCAGGAATGTCTTGTGATGTATATAGTTGATGAGAACAATCATCTGCATTTAGACTAAAGAAATGGCTGTACATTTGATACTCAACAATTACACTTGGAACCTTGCTCTAGCACCTGCCTATTGTCATCATAACCTGGTCTAAAATGATCATTCACCATATTTTCAATATCATTTCCTTTTCTTTTAAACATCTCTAATGAACATTTCCCAAGCTTTCTAAGTAAATTTTCGATGCCTTCATTATCCTTTGCAGATGTCCAAAAATTTAAAAGTATCTTCTTTCCCATTTCACGAAGAAATGTCTTCTCCTTTTCAACTGAAATGCCATCACTATCAATTGGCAGGTCAATTTTATTCCTAACCAGAATTAGTTTTGCTGCAGGTTCATAGTTCTTTACATCTTTTGCAATTCTGATCAACTTTTGCAAAGAGTATTCGTCATCTGCGCTGTATACCAGCAGAACAAAATGGCTTTTTCTATAATAAGACTGGGTGATACTGCCATGCTTCTCCATGTCAACTGTGTCCCAAATTTCCATCTGGAAATGAAAAATTTTCCATTAAGGGAGCATTCAATACTTACACCAGGGAATAGTTATTATATATTACCAAATCTGTGCCTGTACCTTTTGGCAAACATAATGCCAAACATCATGACAAGCCTATTTAATTTGTAATTCATAATGACAGATTGTTAATAGACATTCATTCACCAAGTATAACTTTCCTCATGCATTCTCACCAAGAGTTTTTTTACGAATTACTTTATCATTTTGTGCTATAAATAGGAAATATTTGGCATGTATTACGAAGTAACCTGGTTTAATATGAAGTTATTTGGCAATAGGCATAGGTGTTAACAATTAATGGCTTCCTAATTTATTAATTTTATGTGCAGAGAAATATTCAAAATATAATTATAATTTCAATTGAATAAAAATGTCGCAATTTTTGCATACCGGAATAACAGTTTCATCTTTTTTAAATATTTCCTCATGCTTGCCTTTTTCTGTGGCTGATGGTGGTTTATCTTCTGTGAAACCTTTCTTTATTATTCTTCGAAACAAACTAGTTTTACCCACACCATATGCACCAGTGAACGCGATTTTATAAAAGGTCTTGCCGGTCTTTTATAATTTTCTACAGAATTTAAATCTTGAATCTCCACATTCTCCGCCATATTGTGTTAAAATTTCGTGAACAGTCCAAACTGCAAAGACGGAGGACCACTTCCTGTTTTACTGTATCTAAACAGAAATCTAAATTTAGGTCCACAGTTTCGTGCCTCCATGACGTACAATTGAAAGGCGGAGTAAGAAAGATTACCCAGGGCATGAGTGACATGACACAAATCATACAATGACATTACAAGGCTTACAAATTGCAACAGGACTTTTAAACGACAATCATGTTTTTGGCCTTTTGTGAGCCATGGCAAGATCGTCGTTGCTTTTTGACTTTGTTAACCGCAATTGTTAAGTTAAAAGAACAAACTCAGCAAAGGTTATCTTGCCTTTTTATATGTTGTATAGAATTTATTAATTATTATAACGTAAAAAAGGTATGAAATTCTCGAGTCATAGTTGTATAGAATTCCGCTGTCTACTTTTCTACTTTTTTTCTGCCGAATGAAATTCATCATAACTGCAATAATCATTGTATCAATTGAATACTAAAATGATGAAGATGATATTTTAGATGGATCAATTTCATAATTGAAATATTATCAAAAACAATGAACTACATGAATGCAATTTTAACAGGATAATTAAAAGGATGAATTTTGGCGGATATCACACCCCATAGGCATTACTACAACAACCTCCTACCCAGCTGGGTACCAGGGTACGACTACGAGGTTGATACTTGATAAATGATAATTCTGATTTCTGATTGACTAATAACAGGCATGGGACATGCTGCGGGCGCCGGGTGCTTCGGAACGCCCTAAAAGCGGGTCAGAAAGAAAACAAGATGGCGACTTTTGGCCGGCTCATTTCTGTTGCACTTCGGAAAAATTGCGGCCAGATTTTATGTAATTCACCTGGAAAATTTATCCTTGGTACGTTTTATTACATAAGATAGTTAGAATTAGCTTAGATGACCTAATTTTAGTTAGAAAATAACAACCATATGGCTCTGAAAAGCTGAATAATCAATCAATATATAACTATCAGACTATGTACAATTTATACTACAGTACAGTGAGTGCATGGTATAATGTTGATAGAATAATCAAATTTTTTACTTAACAGGACCTATATCTTTTTGTGGCACAAAGAGGTTACTATCAACTCAGCCCGCAATCAAAGGTAATGTATAGACAAAAAAAGATTATCTGCGGTACCTACCGTTTGTGTGTTAAGTGGTAACTGGTAACTAACTGGTAGGCACTCCATAGATTTCACACTACAGTATTCAATGAATGACATGCAAAGGTCATTTGCTAGTTGTTTTCAGTCTTTGTAATGTTTATTTTTGCCCTAACTGAAGTAAGTTCGACTCAGAGCAAATTTCACACCAATAAGGCTGGCAAAGCTAGCTTACATTTTTAACATGGACTGATGGACTAGAACTTCGAATGTACATAACATATTCATCTTACCAATATGGTGCATCCTTAGATGACCCAGTTCGTACAAGGCTTTCAGAATATGGAGAACACGTAGGCAATATGCTTCCAAAATACGTCCAGCAAACCCAAGTGAACCACAATAATGAATTGGAAATATTAATTGCTCCCGAGGGAATTCTGCCTGTGTTGACCTTCTTACGAGATCATACAAATGCTCAGTTCAAATCCTTGGCTGACCTGACTGCCATGGATGTTCCAGGTAGACAGAATAGATTTGAGGTAAGTATCAACTGCAAGCTACAATTGTTTTTAGATTTGGTTCAGGCCTATCCCGTATAGAGGCAATGCTTGCTAGTTGTGGCATTCTGGCACCAACACAATTGTTGTCTAAATTCATATCTTATGTTGTGTATCAATTCGGCTTTTCAGGTTATTTATAATCTGCTGTCGTTACGTTTTAACTCAAGAATACGTATCAAAACATACACAGATGAACTAACAGCTTTGGACTCGGCTCATCCAGTGTTCAAAGTTGCCGACTGGTTTGAACGAGAGGTATTTCATTGAGAAAACATCCTCTATCAATATAAATATATAATGCTAATAGCCCCACAAACAAACAGGTGAATTTCATTTTAAACTAATCAGCATGTCTGTTTGCATTTTTAAGGCAAAGCCAATCAGAATGCTTAAATTTTTTTACCAGAAGTAGTCAAAATTTATGCATTTTGATTGGATTACTGAAAATGCAAACAAACTAGCTGATTGGTATAAAATGAAATTCCCCCTTGTTAGCCCCACATTTTTGTAAGCCCCACATTTTTGTAAGCAGAAGCAATGCAAACCTAAATATTACCCTTAAACGGCCTTGCAATAGTTTAAATTCTTTTGCACTTTCTTAAGGTTTGGGATATGTTCGGCATATTCTTCTCCAACCATCCTGATCTAAGGAGAATTCTGACAGACTACGGTTTTGAAGGACATCCGTTCAGGAAGGATTTTCCTTTATCAGGCTATGTTGAGGTATGTGAATATTACAATAAAATAAACATTAGAAGCAGATTGACCAAGTGACCTTCATCATAGAGTCAGACAGCTAGCCTATAAGGCCCTTTCCCCTTTGTCGAGAAATGTTTAGAAGGTCTTTTCTCCAGCCAGTTGGTATACCAAATTTGATAAGAATGATATTGTCGCTAATTTTCTGATGCAAAATGAGGAATCCAGTTGGATAAGATTTATATTCAGATTATTTATATTTAGATTATTAATTTTCTTTTATATGAGTCCAAGCATGCAGTGCTGAAAAAAAATTTAAAAATTTTAAAATGGGTGTTATTCTTGATATTATTGCAAGGTTCGTTGGGACGACGAATTAAAACGTGTTGTGTCGGAACCCATTGAACTTGCGCAAGAATTCCGTAAGTTTGATCTTCAAAGCCCTTGGGAACAGTTCCCTCTGCACCGTGACGTGGAGCCAACACCGTTGTTAGATGCGGAACAGAGTGAAGATAAGAAATAATTTTGAGATTCGAGTTGAGATTTGAGATTCTAGCTTTTGTACATACATAAAGGTTTGATAAAGAATATAGCAGTCATGCTGTTGTGAACAGTATTTATACTTTGTCTGACTAGGTCCGTAAGCCTTCGCGATAAGAGGTGTAAAATTGTTGAAATTTCAATTTTTTACAATTCATTGTAAAGAAATTAAGTCCATACAACACTCAAAGGTTGTATTTTCAAGTATGAAAATGCACAGGTTTTTGAGGGTCAAGCAGAAACCGAAAAAGTCTGTCCAACGAGCGTATTGTCTGCGCAAATGAGGTGCAATGAAAGAAAATGGTAACTGCACCTGAGCGGCACAGTTGTTTAAATGTTCGAAATAGTGCGCAAAATCTCTTTTTGGTCAGAGTCGTCAAATTTTCTTCCAGTACAACAGGCTCAGTTTTTCATCTTTTCACATGCAGACAAAGAAACTGTGGCTTTTCCTTTAACATACTGGTCTTAGTTTTGCGTTCGACCGCCGCTGACGATGTGAGCCTATACGAATTAGAGAATTTTCTCAAATTCAGACCGAATGGTTACTGGTCAGAATCATCAAATTTTCGTACAGTACAGGCGGCTTAATTTTTCAGTGGTTCACAGACAAAAGAAGTGAAGCTCTGCTTTTGACGCTAATGAAATGAGCCTACAAGTACACGATAATCTTCCGATCCCATTTCGAGCAAATTAAGGGCATTAATACATATGAAAAGTGTTCATACGTGTCGTTCGCTCTTACTTCATCGTATGATCATGTTGTCTACAAGAACTAATCATGATATATGTAAATTTGAATAGTTTGGTTTAGCAATGACTCCAATTTGAAGTAAAGAGTCATCTTGAAATTTTCCATTTAGTATTCAAGCTTCTCACATTTGTGGATAAACAAGACAAGATATTATTTTTCTTCAACATCTTTCTTCCCGTATTTGGATAATCTCTGCTTCTTACAGATTATCAGAAGTCTGAACACGCGTTATTCACGTGAAACATATTAAATATATAGGCCCTATTTGTACATTCACATTTCGGTCAGGTCGAATGCAATTGGAACAATTACACTATAAGACTTATTATCTCGGCAAAAGTTCCGGCAGGCAAAAGTTCAAGGCATAAGATATTCATGCCGACCAGATGCCGCTTTCAGACGGCTCAATAACAATACTTTAGTAATCTATAAGCTGATTCACTTGTCCGCACGCCTCGCAGTTGCTATAAAAAGCAAAGATCTGATAACCTCACGTGTTTTTAAACTTCTGTTGGGATAAGATTTTAATCCTTCGATATTAGTTGGTCTTTTTGGGCGAAGATTGCCAAATTCGCAGTCTGCAAAATTGTCACGCACTTTGGTTGTTGTAAACCTTTCGAAATCTCAATTCGGATACGTTAGCCACACGCCATGGACGAGCTTTTCCAAACCCCACCAGAAACAAGAGAACGCGTCTCGGCCGAGGTTAAGGGTACGATACCAGATTGGGTCAACGGAACCCTTCTACGAAATGCTCCTGCGAAATACGAATTTGGTAAGCATGCTTACAAGCACTGGTTCGATGGCTTGTCTCTTTTGCATGCTTTTATCATCGAGAAAGGCGAAGTGAGTTACCACAGCAAATATTTGGAAACGAATGCTTATACAAAAGGCAGTGAGAAAGAAAGGATCGCCTACGCCGAGTTCGGAACAGCAGAGCTCCCCGATCCGTGTCAGAATATCTTTTCCCGCTTTTTTTCCTATTTTTGGCCGCCAGAAAGGACGGATAACACGGCTGTGAATGTTTTTACGATGAAAGGAAAGGTATTTGCGAACAGCGATTCGCCATTCATGAACGAAATCGATCCTGACACGCTGGAAATTCTCGACGTTACCAACGCAAAAACGGACATCGATTGTAAGTATATCATCTAGCATTTGTAAAACTTTGACCAGCTTTTGAGTTTTGTTTGGATTTTTCGGCGACAGTTTATTGATAATGCAGATTCTGATAGTGCAGATTGTGATAGTGCAGATTTGGTAAAAACAAATTTCTGCTTTGATATATGGGGCTGTGAACATGGCACTTCCGACTGTACGAAGGCGTTACAGTGATTTTTTCAACTGTTTCAAAAATGCAAGAAAATAAATGAAATTACAGCTTCAAAGCGAACAATTATTAAAGGAATTCCCGATTTAACATTACTAAGATTTAATCAAAGTTATACGGAACGAACGGAAATTTTAAGGCGATTGATAACGCTATCCAGCTTTCGTATATCCGGCCTCTAAGATTTAATTTATGTAATACAAAGTATAAAGCAACATACAGCAATATGATCAAACCCGTTTTGACCCTCTCATCTAACCCCGCTATCGTTATTATTTTACCAGCGGCAAGAATCGTGTACGCATGCGCTCATCCTCACGAGGAGAACGACGGTAACGTGTACCACGTGATGACGTCCGTCGGCCGTCAATCTCGTTACAACATCGTGCAAGTTCCCCCAGCGCAACGAGCCACTCATATCAAGGTCGATAAGCCCCTGGAAGGCGCTAAAATCATTGCGAGCCTCAAGCCACACAAGAGCATTACCTACTACCACAGTTTTGGGATCACCACGAACTATTTCATCTTTGTTGAAAATCCGTTCAGTATCAACAGTTTCGAAGTGCTGCGAATGAAGGTCGAGCACAGATCTTTCCACGAATGTATGCATTGGGATGCAAAAGAACCATCCAGGTATGGTTAGAAATTTGATACTTTTACATGATTGTTGGTTAATTGTAATACTGATCAAGTTTAAACCCCTCCGTCTAGATAAAGGTACCCCTACCCCCCCCCCTGTACGGACACCACCCCAGTTCCAATTAGTCCCACTTAGATCTTTAAAAAACACAAGGGTTTTGCTCTATACGGCGAATTGAATCTTCCACTATCTTCCACTTCCCCGGGATCTTAGACGAAAATTGCCGTTCGTAACAACTTCTCCATCAAGTACAAATTGTTTTCAATTGGCACCATCACACAGAAATGCCTTTTGTTATTGTGACGGCAAAATATCAACCACTCTGTAACGATAACTATAACGGCAATTCCGAAAAAAACCAAAATAGTTTCACTAATGAAATGTCTTCAAATTTCTGTCATCAATTGGTGGCTGTTGTTGAGATTTCAAAGCTTTTGACCAATATGGCGGCATATGAAAACCACTTTCTACGTCATTTTTAGGTTTTATTTAATCGAACGCAGATCTGGCGCATGCGTTGGAAGCTATGAGGCGCATAGTTTTTTCTCCTTTCATCACGTGAACGCATACGAGGATATCAATGGTCTCGTGGTAGTAGATTTGTGCTGTTATCCCGACGCAACCATCATTGATCAGTATTATCTCCATTATCTTCGTAATTCCAAAATAGACAAGGTAATCTCAGGTTTTTTTTAATCACCTTTTTGAAACACTGAAAATCTCTTGTACACTATAAAGGTTTTGCAATAAGGACTTACTTTACGTGGTGTAAACACATTCATAATCTGTTTTAACACCATGCTGTTTTGATCCAGGTTGGTGAAAATTTTGCTGATCCTGAAGTGAGACGTTATCGTTTGCCAATTCCTGGCAAATCTGCTTCTCGCTCTTCTTCTCCCCGTTTAACTTACGAGATACTTGGCAGTGATCTGGAGTTGCCTCGTATCAACTACCGTTTCAATGGTCAGGAATACAGATACATCTACGGAACAGGTTCATACCAGTTTCGATTGTTTTCACATTGTTACTGACTTGATATTGCAAAAACATTCCAAAATTCGTGCTGATGTAATGTTGATGTAATTCGTTTATAATTTACATGCATGTGGTAAAAAAGCCTCTGAATGACTGCGAAAACAAAATTAAAGCAGCTAATCATATGAAGTTTTAAACTTCTCAAATTGTCAACTCATTTTACAAGCTTGAAATAAGAATTTCGGATTATTCGGAAATCAAATCATTGTCAATAGCAGATGCATAATAACGGTCACTTTTTATGCTGGAATCCAAAGCATCTTTGTTTTTCATTCGCAGGTCCGTACGAACACGGTCATTTTCTTGACCAGCTGGTCAAATTGGATACGGTTTCAAAATTGAAAAAAACTTGGTACCAGTCTGGATGCTTCCCGTCCGAGCCAGTGTTTATAGAAAGACCTGGGGCCAAGGATGAGGATGATGGCGTTATCGTGTCGGGGGTCGTCGGCACGGGGGGTGAGAAATCTTTTTTGCTCGTCCTGGATGCAGCAAGTTTTGAGGAGCTAGCCAGAGCTGTTATTCCGAGCCGTCTACCGCAATCTTTGCATGGAAATTTCTTCCCAGATTTAAGTTACAAGTTGAAGGCGTTCTATGCGAACAAATCTAAGCCAAAAGAAATGGAAGTCGTGCAATAATTATCACAAGAATGAAATAACCTGTTTTTGAGAATCTGCGAAGTAGAATATATAGCTTAATCAAGATTTTGAAACTAATGTCTTAAACTATCTTAAACTTCTCCAACAGTAAAAAAAGCAGATCAAAACATAAAGTACGCAACACATCATGGGTAACAATGTCTCTGAGTTTGGCAATACTATATGAAAAAGAGAGATTTGTACTTCCTTTGAACTTCCTCCTATATACCATAATACAAAATTAGGAATCGTGAATAACGTCTTTCCTTACGCGGTGTAGCAGAAGGATTCGGTGGAAGTGTACGATGACTCCTGAGAGGGAAGACGGGGCTAGCTATTTTCCGCGGCGCAAGGCTTACGCGACCTAAATACATGAAGTGTACAAATGGTGTGCATTGAAAATAGCCCTCAAGTTTTTTCCTCTCCTAAAATTCATCTGCTCAAGGAATGTTCATTGTAAAAGCGCGCGAAAAACCTTAGTCTCTACTGTTTTTATTTCCGATAAAATGCATTCTTTGCACGAATTTTTCTGTGCTGATTTTGAGAGTACACTTTCGTGTGCATAGAACCGCAACAAGCATTTTTTTTTATTGTTATGAAATTTTCCTTTTCACTATATGAAAGAAATGCAATTTTTTGACAGCCTAATTTGCCTTCATTTTTGCTTTCCATTTCCGCTGGCCGGCTGGGCTACTTCGACGGAAGTGTCACATTTCAAGTGCTTCTTAAATCCCAATTGAAATTGCATTGTTGACATTCAAAACTCTTTCTGCTATCGCCTTCGCTCTTCCGAACTTTGCACCGATGTAATGCACTTAGACTAGTCTTTAGTACACAGGCAAACAAGTTTTGCCTTCAACAGACTATGTCGAAAGACGCGAAGCCCAAACTTAGCGACGATAGTGACAGCGAAGAAGACGAGACCAGCACACCAGAATATTATTACAATCGTGGTAAATTGCCGACCTACAAAGTAATACTTTTGGGCGAAGCTGGATCGGGGAAAACCAGCTTGTTTTCCCGGTACAAATACGGCGCTTTTCGAAAGGCAACAACTCTTCAAGGCACAGACAGATTCAAGAAAGAATTTGTAAATGATAAAGGCGAACGAGTACAGGTCAGTAGCGATTCATATGTGCCGGTAATGCTTAAGTAATGTCGAAATTACAGAATATACAAATTATAAGTTATGGTTCCGTCGCGTGCTAAGATCACATAGTATCGATGTTGATAGAGAAATTAATAGCGAATTACTATATATTTTCGCTTTAATTTGCTACTGCATTATCGAGGTTTACAAAGTACGAAGTGTAATGATTTTACTCGTTGTAGGAAGTATTATTATACGAGTGTGTTATCGACTGTCCTTCTAATTTGTCGCAAATATCAATTCGAACTTTATGTAAACATAGCTATTTCCAACATGTTCGTCGAGAAGGCTTTGAATGTTTCAATTATACACTAGTCCTATTTCTTTGTATATGTTTTGGATAAGCATCGGTTTCTTGACTTTCCTCGAATTGGGGAAGTATCAATTTACATGTAAACTCTCTTCTCACGATATTCGCTACATGGAATTCGCGTTGAAACCTGACGAAACAGCCCATGCATGCCATATCGAATAGGACATATCAGTATCAGTTGACGCATAAATATGCTTCTGCCAAGTTCTGGCAAGTTCCGCTCACTTACATTATTAATACTTAGCATTTTTTATCGCCGGCAATTTGCATCAAAGCACCTTTAGGTTACACCCTGCAATTATCAGCTATTTTTACCACTGAAAGTTGAATTGTATTTTTTGCTATGGTAGAAACACCTTTTAAAGGAAAGGTAGTTATAACCAAAAGAAAAGTTGTGTACTAAGCTTAAAGTTTGTAAAACAAAAAGAACCTTTAATTTATCAAAAGTCCTGCTATATTGGCTATTCTGTCTTACAATTTACCACGCACTACGCGCAATGCTGAATTTGCCACTTGCAAATTACATATTTGTTGAATAACCAGCCTAGCGCCCACGGCACCTTTTTAATCGTCAATTCTTAAAGTGAAACTTACCGTCTGAGGAAAGTCTATTTCCAGCAGTCGGAAATTAGCGGCAGGGAGCAGGGTTTCTCTTTCATCTTTTTTAAAAGTAGTTTTTCACGTGGGCGCACAAACAATAAAATATTCGACTCCGCGCGCAATATTCCGTCTAGTGAAAAAACAGCCTTAAAATTTCGCGCGGGTTGTATTTCTAGATGATACTATGGGACACGGCGGGAATGGAGAGGATGGGATCCCTAACTTTCCACTACTATCACGGAGCGCACGCGGTTATCCTAGTATTTGCTCTGAACGACAGTACTTCGTTTGATTCGCTTGTTATGTGGAATGAGGACGCTTCGCGGTACTCTCCTGGCGACGTGAAACGATTTCTGGTTGCGACCAAGTCCGACGTCGAAAAAGATCAAATAGACGTTTCGAAGGACAAAGTAAACTCTTTTTGCAGGAACAAAAATATCGCCGAAATTTATTACACTTCGGCGAAAACTGGCGATGGTATTGACGAAATGTTTCAAAGTGTAATGAAATATCTGTCGGGGTCTATCGAGCAACAATCTCCTGAGGACGATATATGGGCGCTAACCTTTCCAACCAAAACTAAAGCGAAAAAAGGCTGCTCGTGTTAATTTCACCATAACAAGGGGGGATTTCGTTTTAGGCCAATCACCAGTTTGTTCACATATTCATGCAATATCCCAATCAGAATGCGTGAATACTGCATGACTATTTCTAGTACATATTTACCATTTTATTTAAAATTAAAGTGTTGAAAATTTAAACATTCTGATTGGCTTTGCTTGAAAAATTGAAAAACGAAATTCCTCCTTGTTTTCCACCGTACGCTCAGGCATTCTTGTTAGTCAATCGGTTTTTATTTCTTAGTCGAGTCGTTTTTGTTAGTCAATCGGTTTTTCTTCCTTTTATTTCTTACCTGTGACCTCGTCGTCTCAAAGTACCTTTTTGGAGAAATTAAAGTGGGATTTTAGTTAGGTCCAGAGCATCGGTAGCCAGGCATGTTTACGAGTTGACAAGGAGCTCTGTTAAAAAGCTAGTCATGCCGGTTGTTCAACAAGAGCTAGGGCTGTTCATGCAGGGGGGGGGGCTCAACATTTGGCCGACTGATGCGATATTTTGAACCATACTATAAACACCTCTAGAGGGGTTACCAATGTCGAATATACTATTTTCCTGTACACATTCAGAATTTCATTAATACTATAGATCCCGGTACATTAGACCTTACCAATGTCAATGTCGAATATTCTATGCATGCATGATGTCAGGTGTGAAATTCGAAGGCAATGTAAAATTAGTAGGATCGCTTACAATGACAATGTTTAATGACAAAAAATAGCTTCAAAATAGCTTGGTGTAATAGGAGTGGAACATGCAGCATGTATCTAATATATATTATATATAGACCATAATATACACCTAAATAGCTATATTTAAATTCATATAAACCATTTTGAATATATTTATATTTGTTTTGCAGCCTATTATATATGCACTTTTATCATGCATATCAATCATATCACCTTCAAATTAAAAAAGCTAAAAAATTTTTACGGCAGTTTTTCACATTTGCAAAAAAGGCTTTTTACCTTTGTAACTATATAGCGTAGTGTATCACTAGTAAAGAATTGGTGTAGGAAATAACTATATTGTTTTAATTTTCTTTGTTCTACTGTATCTACTGATTACTAAACGACCGCCTTTCAGATATCATTGGAGTTATTGCCTGTCGCATATGGGCGAATTTTACCGATGTTAATTTCACAATGAAAATAATGATTCTGAAAGTGTAATCGCAGTTATTTGATGTAAATAAAAGCAGTCTGAGAATAACTTCCATGTCGTTTGTGCAAAAGCGTCCTATAATACAAGCTCTTCTTTGAGGCATCTTTCAAAGCACATCTCTTGTCTTTATGACTACGATGACACACAGCCACGCCGATACCTAGGGAAAGATTGTATCACAAATTAATTCAGCGTCTAAGATACTATTACTTCAGCTGTAAAACAACCGAATTTTATCTATTTCCTCATGATCATCGATTTTACTAATATTTACATGCAAATTATTCCATCTTACCCAAAGCGTAATCCTGCGGATGACAGGTACCATCGCTTGAGTCGCCGATGCAACCAATTCTACACACGTGGGTACCATGGTACTTGCTTGGTGGGTGGGCCAAACTGCACAGGTCGCCCAAGTTTAGACCACACCATTCCTGAAATTGACATGTACACTTGGCTTTACAAATTTTCAAGTTTCATTCTGAATTATTTTAAGTTAAAATTTTGAATAGACACATATAATTATATGTTCTTGCGTGAGCAATAAGATTTCGATAGTTAAATTCAATGAAATTTTCTTCCCACCCCTTTTAAAAGAAAAATGCTCTTTCATTCCGAGAGATAACACTAATTAGGCTAACTTTAAGGAAGAAAGAGGCAAAAGAATGTACATTAAAGTATCTGCTCCGCTCAATACGCTGCTCAGTAACAGCGGACAGATCTATTGCAAAAATTCATAACACGAGAATGATCACATGCATCTCGATCAATGTCGTACTAAAAAGGCCATTTTACGTTTTATCCCTCATAAAAAGCTGGATTTAAACTTCTAAAATGATCTCAATAGTTCAACAGGTATATACATAAAACAACAACTTCGCATTTTTACCGTTTTCAGTTCAGATATATCCAGTTCTTTACCGAACCTCCCCATCAAAGTTTTAAACGTATAATGTTCAGAGGTTTCCACAGCAAACTGCGTCTTGAAAAGGTTGGCAAGTGTCAACTGTTTGTTGTGTGTGAACGTGGCGCAGTGTTGTCGAGGACCGCTGAAACACGCCATCAACTGGTTGCTTATGATGTGTCCCCAGCCATAATTCTTCATGGAGCTTGTCTTTGTCAGATCAGTTCCTTCCTCTTCGTTTATCAAGTCTGAGTTCGTCCAGGTTGGACTAATTCCGGCGAAATCGTTAGTATGGCCATCCACTCGGGCAACCAAGGTCCAGCCACCACGATTAGCCCCATGGTCTTGTATCATTTCACAGTGTGCCTGAAGGTTAACGAGTATTTTGGCATTCCATTTGCGTTGCAAAAATGCCGCGCCGTATATATAGCTCTATGGTATGGTACCTAGTTTTACGATAAAGTGCATGTAGTGGCAATTTATTAGAGCGAGCAGGTCAGTCCACTCGACAAGTCATTTTTGTGTGAATCTACCCTATAATTCTATTGTCAAATCTATAGTTTGCCGTTAAGAGGATGCCTAAAAGAGACTCTATACCTTTCTAGTTGTTGGTGAGATTAAAATATTTCCTTCTAAATTTGTGGCGTGTAAATGGGACCATTCAACATTTCCGCCATTAGCTCCATTATGTTAGCCGCGTATTAAAGAACATATCTGCTTTAAGTAACGTTCAGTTACTCTAATTTAACATGAAAAGGTTTCGAGTAAAGATGGATATACATCAAGTATCGCGTGATGTATACACGCTGTCTTACTTGATAAGGCTCACGATGAGTAGTCTTCAGCCACTGCGGACCGCTGTTCGTGCGCTGGTTCACAGCATATATCTCCTGACACGACCAGCTTGGATTTTGATGGGAGCCCAGTGGAATAGGTGGTGGAGTTGGACTAGGCCGGAAAAAACGATTCAATTATCGAGCTTCATGACATTCGAGTATAGTGTATTGTAACAAACGAGTTAAGGTTCTGAATCTGAATATTGAAGCTCCACGTATCAACTATGGAACCAAGATGAGAATCACATACATCTACAATCAGCTAGAATGCTGTGCTGTTGTGGATCCAAGATAGAAAGTAACTCAATATAATATGTTTTACCTGGGAAAAACTGGGGGGCAAGGTGTCGGTTGGGGACAGGGCGGATGTGGTGGGCATGGCGGAGGTTTTGAACAGAAACGTCCATGCTTATCCACTTCGATCAAAGTCGCCCCATCCTTCCCATCGCGTCCAGGAATTCCTGGTACACCTGGTGGTCCAGGGGGACCTGGAGGACCAGCAGGACAGTAGATGATCTAAGAAAGAGAGATGCAAAATGGCGCTCTTCTTATATATTTTACTAATGTGTTAACATATAAAGAAATCCGGACTGCGAAGAGTTTTCATTTTAGCGTATTTAAAACGTAATAATTTAAAACGTAAACCTTTGTAGACTTCGTTCGAAATTTGCAGTTGCTGACTAACATGCATAGGTACTGTTAGAACACGAACGTAAATATGATTATGAAACGGTGTGTAACCTTGACTTGTGAATGAAAGAGCGCTAGAATTAAGTTCTCAATGGCTGTAGATTTAGGCCGGCTAAAGTGTTCAAGTCAGGGTTGAAATCAACTGTTCTTCACCTTTATTGCTGGTCTTTCAATAGCTATAATGCAACTTAATCGTTTTAAATTCATAAGTACATTATCTTGTTGTCCTACCCAAATACTGATAACATTTAAAAGCAATATATGTCAGAGTATACCACTTGACTTATTATGAACTCGAGACTTCTCGCCGACCGCAATCAAATTGTTTTGTCTCAACATCATTTTACCTCTGTTCTATATATTATAAGCATTAATTAACTGGTGTAAATGCGCGCGATTGCAAACTCGATCCCATTCTAATATGGTTACTAGTATACTAGTTCTTGCGCTGACAGAAATATTTTCCACCATGCATGTCTTGTTGTATTGTATCATGACTGTATTTGATCCTCAATCGCGAATACTTAACCTCCAGTAAATATTAATCCAGCAGCGGTTAAGATAAACACTACTTCACTAAACCTATAGTATCGACTGCCATACACGTACCTTTGACCCGTCTTTAACAACAGTTCCACCGTGGGCCGAAAAGTCTTTAAAAATCGACTCAGTCTCAGACTTACAATTCACTGGTAATATCGCATGATATGATAAAATTATAAAAACAAAACTCTCCATAAACCTTGTTAACATCTTTCTTTGCCTCCACCGTAAAAGTTCAAGTAACACCGATACAGTTTAGTCACTAATGTTTTAGGATAATGAAGAATTTTACGCAGAAAATTATTTTCTTTTGTCCTCTTACAACAGGCAAGCTAATATATGCAAAATCATCATTTATACACACGTGCTTCTAACAGGTGACGTTCGTAGATTTCACGCGTGAAGCGCAAGCCGAAGTAACCGACCGGTGCGAATACAGATTCCGCCTATAAACGCGGCGTTCCCTTCTATACACCGGTAATGTTGCTTGCACGCCGAAAATTTTCACCAGAAACCGGATTGTGAAACCTTAATTTGTCAGGCACTAAGAGTAGACTGGAATACAAATAAAAATCGAAAACGGCCCCGGCAATTTAAAAAAGCTTTTTAAAGTTTTTTTTTTGCATTCGAGAAAAGCCTTATAAAGTAAACCTTAGAACAATTACAATAGCGTAGTAGCCGGCGAACGTTTATCATTTTTGTATAAGGTAAACTCGGTACGGGATTATATTTATTTTCAATGATAACCGTCTTAAATGGCTTATCTGAAGCCCCTGAAAACTACCTCAAATTGAACCATATACTGCGAATTGTTCCCATATGTAAATCTAATTTTTATTGACGTCTTACATCCCGCTATTTTCATTACGATTAATTTCATACGATTTCAACTACAGCAACTCTTTAGCATAACATTCATTTCATAAAAGAGCTTGTTCCGCAGTCGTCGCCGTCGCCTTGCCGTCCTACATGCTTAAGGTCGCTCAGTTATTGTCATTTTAGAATTTTTCGAGCAACTTCGAACAAAACTACATTGGATTCGTCTCTATAAGCAAGTACGTTTTCTGTAGTGAGCCCTGTTTCGAACTGTTTTTGTTGCTCGCTAAATCAAATCAGTTCGAGTTTACGAGATTCCCGGAGCAAAAACTCATCGCTCATAAGTCATAACGTGCCTGAAACCTACAGTTTGGAAAATTAATTTCGATTATTTTATATTTTTTGGAAAATTGATTTCGTTGTTTTTATATTGCCCTTTTTTCAAGGGCACAAAAATTGAGAAGAAATAAAATAAAATGATCATGATATAAACACCAGACGAACATGGATACAGTTCAAGACCAGCCGTAATCAAATTTGCCCGGAAGATGGCTTATATTTGCAATATTATTGTCAATTATTACGGGTCGCGATTGAGGCGCATGCGCGCGCGTGATTATCTCAGTTTATTTTCACACTGCCTTGTTTGGACATCAATGAGCAAACTACGATAAAGCAATTTTCGCCAGGTATATATCGCTGAAAAAAATTGAGGCTGAAAATAATTGGGACAAAGTTGAGGGCTAGAAAATTTTTTTGTGCATATTTTGGCTCCCAATTTCCACTTTTCTAATTAGACCAATTCGTATCATAATTCAAACAGATCACAAACACAACACTGTGTTTTACTACGCCCTGAAACAGATATATAATATATGCGTTTTAAATTTCAACACACAGGAAAACTGATCACCCAGGCTCCCCTTAACGTCCACTCGTTGCTAATTAATCTATTAAACGCGGTAATAGAAATTGTTATCTTCGATGTTTTCACCGAACCGAAGATAATCAAGAAGATAATGAGATACAGCATCAATCAGGGGCTTTTTACATAAGCCCGGTTACCCGAGATTCAACGAAGCAAAAGAGGACTCTGAGGTATTGAAATAAGTCTTTATGACACCAAACAAGCACATGCTATTGTTGTGGTGATTATACGACTACCATGCAGGATCGCGTTATCTGCTCATTCCAATACCTCAAAGTCATCTCACGCTTCGTTGAATCTCGGGTAACCGGAAAAGCGGCGCGCTACAGTTCGATTGAACAGTGTCGAGGGGGCAATGCCGAGAATAGGTGAGGGTAAATCAATACCCTCACTTTTAAATAACGGGCTATGATTCCTATGAATGAAGTAAAGCCTCTTACAGATGAGCAAGTTTTCTATGACAAGTTTTTATGTGAGAAGTTTTAATTGTTCGTCTGTACGCCCAACTTTGACAATTTTTCAGTCTATGACAGGTGTTCAAAATCAAATATACTTGATTTTGAACAAGTGTACTTGTCGTAGAAAAAATTGCCAAAGTGCAAATTTTGCTCGTCTGTTAGTATTAGTCAACAAAGAAAACTTGTCGCATAATGTGAGCACTTGTATGCAGTAGGCCAGCGGACTATAGTATTTTGCAATAGCGCGCTCACGTCCGCTGTACAATTACATCGCTGGCTGCAGACTAAATTGTTAAGACAGACTTGGTGAGAGTTGTGCATTTCTGAGCTTAACTAGGATTTAACGCGAATTGTAGTTAAAGAGTTTTATGCAACCGGCCACAGAACGAAGGCCCGCACGAAGTAATAGTTTCTGGCTTTAAACCTTTAAAATTTTACTTCAGGAAGAACGTAGACTTGCTACAGGTCGCGATCGACTCTTTTAAAAGCTTAAAAGCCCGTCGCACATGAGAGCTATTAGCTGTGATAAAAATTTTTTTTATGAAACAACATTTGACCGGGAAGTTAAAAATGGCCGGAAAGTTAGACGGGAAAATTCGGACGAGAAACCCGTCTGTGACCGGATTCACATCAGAGGAGTTTCCCGTCTTCGACGAGTTTTCCGTCTTCGATGAGTTCCCGTCTCTAATACGAATTCGGCTAATAACAGACAGGCTTTAGTTGATTTTCTGCCGATTTGAGTTGTTGACACTACATTCCATGCGAATTAGATCCGATTAGGTCCGAGAATTGGTTCGTTCGATTATTACAAAACTGTTGTCCTCAAATAAACGAGTTGGCTCACTTGGCTGACAGAGCAATATAACTCATCATCCTTTGCACGCTCAGTGTTTTTAGTTTTTAGGACAATCTTTATTTATTAGCTGTATAACGATCGAAGCATAGAATAAAAGGCGAACTAGAAATATAGGCCACACAGCGTTGCGATAAGTAATCGTTTTATGCAAAAATATATTCGATTAATGGCAAGATAGCGAAGCAACCAACCATTACACCGTGCTTTATTGCTTTATTACTGAAGTGTTAGTATACATATAGAATGTATATAAAAATGATATGATTTTCGCCATTACTCATGTGCTATTTACCGAATACATGTATATAAAAGAGTTATAGACAAACGATATAAAATTCGCTACAATATCACAAGGATGCTACTTTGAGGATGCCTTTCGTCTGTTACAAAATAAAGTTGGAGGAATTTGAGCGCGGTTTGTTTTCCTTATCGTCTCGTCTTTCATTGCTGGTTGACTAAAATAATCATCCCCGGGTTCGATGATCTTCGACGACAGCGTCTGATCAGGAAGAATACGGCCACAACAAAGACAGCGATGATAGCCAAAGAGACACAAACAGCAACAATCGTTGTGATCGTATCCTCACATGTCGAGCCATCGGGAGCGGTGCATTTGCCGTTTTTACAACAGCTTCTTCCGCAGTCGTCGCTGACAGAACATGTCACGTTTTCACAACTTGGCAAACAACGCATGTCGCTTTCGACGCCACAGCATTGCTCGCCACATTCTACGCCGCTTATCAAGTAACGGCATCTTCTTCCCTCGGCGATAACAGCAACGAGGAAGAGAATTGTTATCACAACAGCAAATTTCATGCTTCAAGAGGAGACAGGTCGAATCTTTGTAACTTTCAAAAAATTTCTTGGTGAAGAAACGTTATTTTGTATATAATCCCAGTCGGCAAAATGTTTCGGATCTGGAAAATATATGAATGCCAACAACGCGAGTGTTCCCGAATAGCTCCCCAATTTTGTAGTTGACCAATACCACAACTCAGTGGGACGTATCCCAGAAAAAATGCATTCCTCAATATTCGGCAATGTCCTCAACTTTCCTCAAATTTCCCGCAATTCGTTCAATCGTTTTCAAAGGAAAAACTAAATGAATTGAGCTGGTATTTACCATACTTCTAAATGCACTAGAATTGTAAACTCGCCATATAGTAAAAGTATTTGAAACTGCTGAATAACAAAATGGTTTGCAACTTTACAGTATTTTTTTATGATAAACCGATACAGAATTCCTGTCGTGAAGGATATATTTACGTAATTGCCACGTGAAGGGATGAACGTATCCAAGGTGATATCGCGCATATTGCGAGTTCTCCTTCCGTTTTGATAAACAGGCGTAAAAAATCGTTAAAATCTGGCTTCTTTCAGAGACCGGTCCAATTTTGTAATCATCGAATGGTTATATGTGAGTGATATTGATGTCAGAGGCGACAAGCCATGATCGGCCCGTCTGTTACAGTGGAGGCAAAGACCCGATTCATACTTATTCTAAACCCGTTTTTCTGCTGGGCGGAATTTTTCGCAAAGGTCATCAGTTTTTTGGCGAATATTTTTTTTCACTGACCAATTACGACGCTGTAGTTTCGTTCCTCGCGTTCTCTGAACAAATTAAAGCGTGGTGAAAACTGGCCTCAAAAGCTGATCGAGCTAAAAGAATATGTTGTTATTACCGTCCAGTTCGGATGCCACCAATTTCTAAAGATAATTTTGTTCCTAATACTTTTAGTTATTTCAATCATCGGATGTATTGTGTTGACAGCCCTCCCAACACAAAGAGATGAAAACAAGCCGGACATGCGATGGAACATGTCTGAGTGAGATTTCTGATTCAAGTTCCATTCTAATTTGATATAATATATAAAATAATGTATACATATTTAGTTTCTTATTATCTTAACTTTTTACAGAACGAGTGTCTGTTTTCGAATGTTTAAATTATACAAAACAATATAAAGTCATTACAACATCAGTAAAAATGTCAACAAACTAAAATACAAAAACTCTCCGCGTTTGTGATCGTCTATTATTTGCTGTCCATTTACCAAAACCACCGTTCTCGGATTAGTAGACTGATCCAAGTCAAGACAGTATAAGGCGAAAATGTCTGACCATAAAGGCTAATTTCCACTAAGGAAAACGAGCAGCGGATCGGATCAGATCGGATTTTTTTCCGAGCTGGTCCGATCCATAAAGTGATTTGGGATCGGATAAAAAAAAGTTAAAACTATTTCAACTTTTTTTTATCCGGTCTCGGACGCTTTCGGATCAATATAAGCCAAAAATTTCAACAGACGCGCACGCGCGGATTATCTTTCGTTCCGATCCGATCCGATCGCTGCTCGTTTTCCGGACTGGAAATTAGCCTTAAAAAAAAATTCTCACAATTTTGGAAGCAATGATGATCACAGAGACAATCAATCAATGATAATCACAATCCCCATGCACACAAGAAGCACCACAGAACGATAAATTAAACAGTCTTTATAATGCCACAATATGATGTCAGCAAATTCAAATGCGCGCGGAGGGAAAATTTCAGCGTTGATTTTCAGTTATTGGCGGCTTTGTTGTTGATTGACTAAAATGATCGTTCCTGGATTGGATGTTCTGCGTCGACAGCGTCTGACCTGAAAGAATACTCCTAGAATAATAAGAGCAAGAATACCCAGTGCGACAAAAATGCCGATTATGAGACCAGCTGTATCTTCACATGACGTTGAATGACCAGTACATTTGCCGCTTTCGCAACAGCTTTTCCCGCAGTCGTCGTTGACTGAACAAGTGACGTTCTCACAACTCGGTAAACAGCGCATGTCGCTCTCAACACCACAACACTGAAGTTCGCACTCGCTGTAAGTTAGCAAATAACGACATCGCCTCCCTTCAGCGACAGCAACGATTGCGAAGAGAATCGTTATCACAGCGGCAAATTTTATGCTCATTTTTCAAACGAAAGCCGTGGAAAATGTTCGGATGTTTCTTGCCGAAAATCACGTTCCTTTCAAAGGTTTCTGTGTAATCTCATAAGACGAAGTCTTGCCTATATCGTGATCATGGATAAAATGCGGTCTCAGAACAACGCGAGGTTTCTAAATAGCCTTACTAATTGAGGCCGCCCAGTGGGCGTATTCTGACAATAGCACGTTTGAAGATTCCTTAATGTTCCTTCAAGCCTCCTTACAATTGGTTCCAATGTCAACAAAAAACGTCTACACTTTTTCCAGTGCATTGGCTCTGTACCTTTGTCAATTGTCATTCTGTAAAAAACGTAGGAATCTACGAGTAGGATAAGTTATACGAAAGTTAATCGGTCAGTTTCAAATGTTTTTACTGTGTATATACAAATAATACCATAAAAAACGGTGCAGAATTCCTTTTATGGTGGATACATTAATTCAATTGCCACATGAGTACCCACTTGGCTTTTTAACGTTTTCAACGCCATATGACGTGTACAGAAGGTGGTATTAAGAGCCGTTTATACCGTCATCAAGCTGAAGCTCTCGAACGACAAAAGAAATCTTTAACACGGCACAACTGAAGCCAAACAAGAAAGCTTCCTGAGAACCAGTTTTCTTTTTAAAAAACATTGCCGGCCATGCAATATTCAAAATAAAGGATGCGAAGTCTATACGGTAGCCTATAGGTGATACAAGTTTAATCTACAGATTGCGCTGCGAAACTGAGCGCCTGAAAGTTGCTTTAAAAATTATTAAAAGTTGCCCAAGAAAGACTATCAATGTTATCAAACTGATTAAACAATTTGGCAAATCAACTTAAACAAAGACTTTTAGGGTCTACTTCAACAAAGGCTAGCTTTCAGCTCGGCGAATGAAAAGTTCCACGTGTGAAACAAGTCTGACTGTTGTTATACTTAACGTTACACAAGATTGTATATACGCTATATGCATAATGCCTTAAGTCCAGTCAACACAGAACAAAATCAAAGGCTAGGTAATTCAGCAACTCTTATACTCAGCTCGACGAAGTGTGTTATTTTTAGGATTTGGCGTGCAATTCATGGATGATCATCATTTAGGTTTGGCATTTTTGATTGATCATGAAGAGAGTACAAGAAAAAATACTCTGAAAAATGACATATTGACCTATAGACAAAAAAACAGGAATTTTAATGTCATTTTCGGGAATATGTTTTTTCTTGTATTTTATCAAATTGTCTGCTGGTCAAATGGGTTTTTTTATGAAGAGGGATTACTTGAAATGCAGAAAAATGATTGGATGGTACAAACGAAAACAGTCAGGAATCTCAATCACTGGAGTAAGAATAATAGAATTGCTCGTTCAGTATTTATTACCAATTGTCAATTGTGAACTTTGGGAAGAAACTTACAAAGTGCGCTTAAAAAACTGAAGAAAGTCGCAAAGAACGCAGCGCTGGGTATCACTCCGAGTGGCGAAAGCTGTTAAGGTCTGTTCACACGATCCAATTCACTTCTGATGGATGTTTTATAGTCTGTTGACGTCCAAAGTACATAAGTGATGTGATATAGCAAAATGAGCAAATCGACAAAAATCAATGCAGTGCTGCTTTATCAGTAACAAACTATATTCCATTATTTCCATATGTCAGAAGTGGATTGGATACGACAAAGTTGGATCGTGTGAACTTTACACAATGCTACTTTACACAATACAACTTTCCTTGCAACTTGCAATGCAATTCTACCCATATAATTTATATATATATATATATATATATATATATATATATATATATATATATATATATATATATATATATATATATATATATATATATATATACTCATAGAGATTATAAATAAAACGTGTTATTTATCATATACTATACTTATGTTACTAGTCCCAGGTTTCTACGGGTTGGAAATCAATATGGCGGCCAATGTTGAACTTCTGATTTCAGTCGCGGGTTATGGAATTTATTATATGTTTTAATAATGTTATTGTTACCCACAATTTAGTGAAAATCGTAAGAGAATGAACTATTTTTCGATCTTTGGAGGTCACCACCCCTTGTATTCAAGCACTATATGACAGGAGTCCAAAGGATTTGTATTATAAATAAGGTAATATAAATTTTAAAATCATATTGTTAATATGATATTGATGATGCCAATAGCCATTGGCTGATCGTTGCATTAAACATGAATTTCGTCCACAATGACTTGTTTTAACTTGTGCAACTAGGATGCGAAGTGTCTGTTAGATTTGCCGTACTATATGCAATCATTTAACAGTTTAGAATATTTAATCTGGTAGACAAGTACCACTGCAGAAGTTTGTGCATTTCGTTTAGCCCAGGTAACCTCGACTGTCAGTCCTTTTCAGCGCAGAAGAATGATGTAGAAGAACAGTTTTGAAATAATAGAGAAGAACGTACAGCTTTGAGAAATTCACAATAGATTAGTTTTAGTTTTATTAGTTATAGTCTTACTCAGTTACTCTGAGATAAACTTTAAATTAATAAGAGGGTAGCACTCCATTTATATTTATTTCATTAGAGTCCAATTCACACAGGATAATAAATTGAACAGAGAAATTTCATAACCATAGCTTTACGCAAAACCAACCATGACAAAACGTCTCTTTGATTTTTCTCACACACTGGAATCAGGCAGTTATGTGTGCTATTTTATGGTGGATAGGGATTAGCACCTTGGACACAAAAATTGCATGAATATTACAAGAATTATACCCTACAATATATTAGCTGCCAAAAAAGAGATTGTTCAAATAAATAATTCGACTTTTTAAATTTACCTTTATATAGTAATACCATATGTCTGAAAATGTTGATAATCAGTATAGTTAATTATTCTCATGTTATTTTTAGTTAGGAACAGTATACACATAGCAATGTATGTTTAAAATGTCTTAAACTTTGGTCATCTTTATAAAATCTAATTTTCATAATCAAACTTTCATAAAATCTAATTTTCATAATCAAACTTTCATAAAATCTAATTTGTCAAGAAAATACATCATCTAATATATCACAAAATAATCTTCATCTCTATTTATTTTCATCATTATCATCTAAATTGTTCATCATTGTATTTCCCGAGAACAAGCCAGTTCAACATTCTTGTGCATTGTTCAGACAACAACAGCGGTGTGCCAGAATCTTGCTTTAGACATTTCTGGAAGCTCCTCCCAAGTATACCTTTCAAAGTTGAAACATTCAACTGACTTGAGTCGTCCTTGATCACCACTTCCTCCAAGGACAACAATGTTGTTTGCGACAACAACTGCAGTGCATCCTCTCCTCTTACAGCTCATTGGTGGCAGCATGTGACTCTGCTCTGTCAGGACATTGTAAATGATAACCTTATCCAATGTCCTGTCATGTGTGTCATCACCACCAATAACAACAATGTTATCGCCCCATCTTACAGTTGCCATGTTGCTCACTTCATAAGGCAGTGGTGACAACTGTTTCAACTCATTCTTCTTCAAATCATACATTAAAACGCTGCCGAGGTTGTCTCGAAAAGCTCCACTTGTTCGTCCACCAACTATCAACACATTATCATCAAATATTTCCATAGAATGATTTTGCCTTTTCTCTGGCATTTTTGATAAGGTTTTCACAGCATAGGGAGGAACAAGCTGAACTTCACTGATCAAGTCTGATGTGACATTCCTATTACCACAACCGTAACCTCCAGTTACGATGAGCTGATCATTGTACAGGACACTACTATGAAATCTCAATTTAGCTGGTAGCTTACCAGCACAGGCATTCCAGTGTGTTAATGGATCAGGGTTTGGACCAACATTCATTCTTATCATATCATCATCGGACCCACCACAGGTGCCCCCAGCTATGGTCATATGATCGTTATAAATGAACGAAGTCGCTCCGTAACGATACTTTTTCAGGGATTGTAATGGCGACCATGTTCTTTGGCGCCAGTTAAACATCTCCACAGAATTAGTTCCTCCGGCAACAATTATATTATAATTATTTTCTCTATCACCACTTGGTCTATTGACTACACCTCTTGTTCTTCCTGTCTCCATCGTGATAAGAACTCCCTTCATCTCATCAAAAGCCTTAACCAAAGCAGTTTTCAATCCAGCGACTTCAACGTTAACTGCTTCGAGTTTTCCTTCCATGTCTGTTTTGAAATCTGCAGCATGCTTTTCGATAGTTGTATTCCTTGCCATGTTCTTTTCTATGTCCTGAATTCTTTCCTCCATATCTGCCAAAGTTTTCGTCATTTCTCCGCACGAGTGGCACTTCAATTTTCGGAATTCACAGACTTCACTCTCGTGGTGGATAAGATCACGCTTGTTCACAATCAAACTACAGCCTTGGTTTGAGCACGCGGCTGGCTTATATCCGCACGTATCCTCGTGGCTGTCGAGATGCTGCAATTCCACGACCTCTTCGCAACCTCTTTCCACGAAAACGCAACGGATTTGCGATTCATTCAAGAAATCTTTTACCATTCGTGGAGGTACGCACAAAGTATCCACGGTCAGCTTGTCCGCACAAGTGGGGCATGTCTGGGAATTTTCAAGGTGTTTCGTAATGCAGGAACGACAAAAGCAATGTTGGTTTCTCGGACACAAAACCGGGTCTTTCAAAACGTTGAAACAAATTTGGCAGAAGAAATTTCGATCGATTTTATTCCTGAATCGTTCCTCGTCGTAGCCTTGTATATACGACGCCATATTTCATGTTGTTCTTGTGCTGTGTTACAAAATATAGAAGTGCTGTGTTGACAACCGTCTATATGAATCGACCTAGCTACAGTCGTAGCCTCGCTTCACGAACTAAATATCGATGTAGCGAACATTCTTCGAAAGCCTGCGTAGATATTTGATATTTTTAGTAACAAAATATTCTGTTTGGGTTTGAAGGTCTAACTATATACTCCCTGCGCACAACACGTATGCCGGCGCCTCGAAACAGCAGGCTAAATATTTAAACAATACATTCACCTGTCATTGGTGATGCAATAATGATAGCAATACCTTATATGGAAACATAGTAATCACTTCTAAGAAAATATTTGTTTTATAATACCAAGGAATGTCACAGTGGCAATGATATGTGTAGAACAGACGATCAGCGAGGCTAAAGTTAAGGCGGAAACAAGTCTTATTTTCAAAAAATAGACAATATCCGAACTCTGCTTGTGTCTAACTTATGCATATTAATAAGCTTTTAGTTTATCGCTTTCCCATTTGTGTGCAACCTTTCGACAGTTCCCTGTCATGCAAAGCTCCTGATTGCTATCCGTCAGATTAATCGCTTCTGCTGATGCACTTACAGCGCTAAGCAGATTATAAAATTACCATGCGTATAGATATATAAACCACGCTATCACGTGCATAACATGAAACCCGCTAATGTGTAAAAACAACATATTTTCAAATTAATTTCACCCACGTGTTTACCCATGCCTTCAATATCACTCTTAAAAGGTAACAGAACACTTTCACAATACCAAATTTAGTAGTTGCGTATCCTTTTTTGTATGGCTAGCCGACATACCTAATTTTAGTGTGCAGTGATAACCAATTTGTGCAGTGATAAAAATAGAATGTGCAGTGATAAAACGAGAAATGTGCAGTGATAAATGGCATGCATTTTCTTAACAGAACTCACTCTGTTGAGACGGATTCGTCAGTAGTTGTCCCCCAAAATGCTGGAAATCAAGTCATAGGGACTTGAAAATACAGAAAATTTTCTGTGGCAGGTACTGCAGACCCCCTACATCTCATCCAATTAAATTACCAATTTCTAATTAGTACCAATTGTATAATCTACTATACCCGGTACTATACTATTGGAATCATATGTGCAGTGATAAAAAATTCTTAAAATTAGGTATGCTAGCCGATCCAAAATGTGATTCTGCAAATCACACAATTAAATATGGAATATTTTGATTGTCTTCAGAGCAGTCGGTAACCTGCACTGTACCACCTAATTTTTGGCGGGAAAATTTGAGATTTTTCCCAAAGGTGTTTAAAAATTCTGTTTTGTAAAACTGACTTATACCAAGTTTAAAATGTGTAAGAATGAAGTGGAAAAAGGTGCTTTTCATAGCAGTTAATAGGCAGGTGTGGGAAACTCAGGAGCCAAGAACTCTACGTACTGTTTAGGTAGTGTACGTGCAGAATCCTGGGGCTGGTTGTATCAAGCCCGTTTAGCTTAAACGGTGGATAAGTTCAAAATAGAAAGTAAAGTCTATCGTTTTATTCAACAAGCAAACTAAATGTTTTTAACCTCAATACAACGATACTGTTTACAACTACATATTCAGTGCATAATATTCGAGTTGACTGATTCAAGAGAGATGTAAGAGTGTTATTTAATTTTGACTTATCCACCTTTTAAGGTAAAAGGGCTTGATACAACCGGTCCCTGAACTACAGGCGAGAAAGTTTTTAAATACGAAAGTTCAATAGCTCTATCCACCGGGTAGTGATTTTTTCAACTACATGCATATTTGGAGCTAACAATTGATCCACAATTTTGGGATATTAAGTTGAAGCCAGTTTATACCGAACTATACCGGCAATTTTGAACTGAGCGATTGAAAAAACACTATCCGGTGGATTAAGTGCTATTCACCTTATTTCACCATAAAATGATAATCTCCATGAATTTTTGAGAAGTATACATTGGTTTTATCGAACTATTCGAAACAAAAAACTGTAAGAATATCTTCAGACTCATAACCAATACCAAGAATATGAGTTATATTTTTAACGCTATTTCAATTCGTTTAGAATGGAGGCAGATGGCATGCTTGCAAAGAAGGAACTTTTCATCAGATTCATCAAATTCATCCGTCCCATCGACCTGGTGGTTGTTATCACTTCTGTTGTTGCAATGTATTTATTTCGTCTGCGAGATGGCTTCCAGTTGAATCCAATATGGCAGCTTCAGAGAGATTCTGGTGGTCTGATGGGAACACAGTACGATTGCACAAATAATGACCTAATTCAAGCACTTACAAATTGATCTCTGCCGTGATTAAAAAAATCAACTAAATTACACCTCTAAATTGCTTTACATGCATTATATTTTCATTTGCAGGATCTTTCCATTGATCACAGATTTAGATGGTAACGGTTTGAAAGGTATGAATTTACTGTAAGTGCATGGAAGTTTTCACAATTACGGTCGATGGCTAAGCTAACAGACAGTTATTTTTAGATTCTGGACTTTTTTATCTATTTATTTTATGTAGAGTTGATAATCGCATCGGGAGATAAGATTGAAATATTTTCCTTTCATTCTGACGAATTTGACGATGAACATGATGTTGAACGGGGAGAGAAAGATGGCGATACAACAAGTTCTGTTTTGTTCCATTTACATCAAAAGGTTTGTCATATTGTAGCTGCTTCGTCATATTATAGCTGCTTCACAATATAATCTTTATTTGTTAAACTTAAAGTAGTGGAAATATCTTTTAATGTGGCTTTCTCGTATAGAGGTTTAGGATTCTTTCTGCCATAGCTATATGAAAAGATTTGTCGATCACGAGAAGCTCAACGAAGGTCATTGACGTGTTTCACTTATTGTTTTAATTTGTAGGCTACCCTCAGTTATGGCGAAATACTTGAAAGACAAAAGGATACAACGCCGTCATATCCCATTGCAATGAACGCCGGATGCATTACCAGGTTGCAGAAAGGCATCTGTTCACAGGTAATGTAATGTCTGAGCTGAGCGTGTTCAAGGCTACAATACACTTTTCTCATAAGACGTCAAAGCCTGATGTTACACGAAGTTTGATTGGCTTGTTAGTTTTGCGGAGCCAATCAAACGTCGTGTATAATAACATCATGCTTTCCGCGTTCGACGTCATTATGGAAAGGTCTATTATTCCTGTGCTGCTTTAACATTTCGATTTCCACCTTGCCATAGATTGCCGTAAACTTGTTCTAAATTTTGTCTGGGGCTTCTATATGTCGTCTAGGGGTCTGAATCGTCTAGTCGGGTGCTTACTACCCCCCCCCCCGTACCCCAAGAAACCCGCCCATGCAATGAATGCACTCTACTATACTCCTCCTAGGTGCTCGCAATTGCTTGGAGCGACTGGACGGTCACATTGTTATCGCATCAGTTGAAAGTTCTCTGGAGGTCAAAACCAATGGACATAAAATTTGAACCGAAATTGCAAATCACGTAAGCTCTTACTGCACATTGTTAGGTATAATGTATATGTACCATGAAAAAATGTATTTCCCTGGCCAAATGTTCTTATCTCTAAGCATATGGCCTGTGTAAAATGTGATTTAAGATTACAAGCCATTGGGGTAGCACTCTCAACTTTGCGAACATTGTCAATTCACAATTTGGGCCAAACAACAGGGTCAACTTAATGCATCAAAGAAAACAGTGAATTCGTTTCTGCACATCAGTTGTTAGAAACGGGGTTAATGGTCAGTATATTTGTATTACAGTGAAATGAGTATCTTTGTTGCCGCTGGCAATAAAAGTGTTTTTGGAGAAGATGGTTTGATCATTGTTGGTGGTGTTCTTAATCTCAAGGATCATAAAACCAGTCATGGTTCAGAGTAAGTAAAGTACAATCAAGAAAATTTCTGTGGACTTTTAATAAACATTCCCTGTACATTGCCACCAGTGTAACGATGGGCAGTACTGCAATGACCAGACACAGGCATTGAGAAAAGGTGAAAATAGTCAAAATGATGAAACTAAAACACACTATGCTAGTGCGATTTACCAGCAACAGTCAGCATTCGATAGCCTAGCAGTACTGCCCGTCATACACTAGTTGGGTAAACCTAAGATCCTATAGCTGCTTTAGAAAATATGACTTCCTATGGGAACACATAATTTCAGATATTTAGATAAATTTTTCATCCCAATTAAAGGCATGATCATTCCCAACGAGTTCAAATGAATCAAACCGCGGAGGAAATCAGCCGCGAACGAGCTGGTGTTGAACCTCGAAAGGACGACACTCACACTTTCCCTCATCTTCTTAATCCTGTAAGTCAATGAAATATTCAAAATAACTGGTGAAGTTTGAGGTGGAGTAGCTCAGTGAACTCAAATACTGTAAGACTGGAACGCTAGCTCTCTGACTTTCCCTTAGTGATGGCGGCCAAGATGGCGGATCATGAAGCCTTTCTCGTAGGTATGATCCAGGCCTCTGGCGCGGAAGGTAAAATCATAATTGCCGCCATTTTACCTACGGAATTTCCGCGTGGAGGCCTGGATCATACCTACAAGAAAGGCTTCATGATCCGTCATCTTGGCTTCGAATTTTTCACGTTCCAGTCTTATTTGAGTTCACTGGAGTAGCTTAATGAATTTACAACTGGAAATAAACATGACTAAATTTGTCTGAAGCCGGAATTTTTTTCCGAGTTTTGTCTCCGGAATTTTTCTCCGAAATGGTATTTAATGGTACAATTTCCTTTCCATTTATTTCCAGGCATTGGCGAAGTTCGTCGGTCATTTCACCAGTTATGCATTAGATGCTGGAACGGGAAAGATTAAGTGGAAACACGAACCTGGAGATTTCGAAATAAAGTCAGAAGAAAAAAAAGAAGTAAGAATCGTCTGCAAATTTGCCTAATTCAAATGTTATTGTTTACACTGGAATGTATAAATGTTAAAATTTCCACATATTTATCGTCTTTTGCAATGCATGTTATAGTCTATATTTTCCTTTTCTGCTTTTGTTAAAGGAAGAAAATTCGCTCCATTTTAAACTTCGTTTGAAGAAGAAAGCCTTGCATCGCGGTGAAGTTCATTGGAGAAAATACAGCCAATCTTTCCTTAAACATCTCCCATTTTCTTGGGCTCACCGGACAGACACAATAATAAGTCTGGGTGAATTCAGAAGATCCGTTTTGAAACCTTCTAAAAGACCTGAAAGTCACATACTTGAACAACTAATGGTTCTAGCCAAGACGGGACTTCCTAAATCGCATCCAGAAACAAAGACCCAAGACCTCAATGCGGTTATAATTCGACACAATCGCGGAATCGAGGTTCTTGATTTGGGCAAAGGGAGCCCAATATGCTCGCTTCCTTTAGACGCGAGGCATTCGACACTTGCAGATGTTAACGGTGACGAAAATATCGATTTGGCAAGGTTTCGGGTCTACGAAGTGGATTCCAACACGTTCTGTTATCTCGTTGTGTCAGACGCTTTTGTGACATCGTCAGTGCTGTTCAATTCGTCTGTGTGCAGTCCATCTCAAGTCGTTGATCTTTTTGGTAAGTTTTCAACGAGTACATACAGAAATCGTGGTCATTATATTCGTACATCATCTCGCAAGTCAATGAATAAATTAAGAGGAGATATTTTTCTTCATGCTACAGTACTAATTTTTTTTAACGTTAAAAACGTTTTGCAATTTTCTAGAGCATCAAAAAAGCACGTTTACTACATAATCAAAAAATCTGTTAAAATGAAGAGATTTCTCGGGGTACGCCGAGATGAAAATAGTTCTGTATTCATTTCAGTGATAAAACATTGAACATTGATAGCCGCATTATATTTTGAAAAACTTTTGTCACTTGGTCACTTGGTGTTTCACAAGCGCCAAATAATGTTCAAAAGTTAGTTCACAACATCGTTGAAAGAATAAAGCTAAAATACATCAATTTTGAGTGGTACGCCGAAAAGATTATTTTTATATTTTGAACGTTTTTCCGCCAAAATGTACGTTACATATAAAAATCTCCTTTCAATGAATATATTTGTTATTATTATCATCATTTTATATAAAAAAGTATAGAATTGTAGCTGTGTTTCCACGTGAATCGATGTTTTTAAATTTGTTTTGATTTCGCTCAAAGGTGATGTAATTTCGTCGTCAAACGAAAAAATCAGAAGTCTTCCACCGTTACTCACGAAAACTGTTCAACGCTCATTCGGCATCTTACGCCACGTGCTCGGACATGGTTTGTCGCGACACCATGTTGGCATGGATACCATTGTGCTGACGTCATCAGGAAAACTTACTGCGTTCGAACCATCCGGGAGATTTCTTTGGCAGGTGATGATTTTATTTCATAGTGATGTTATGTGAGAGAGTGGTGAACTAGCAGCGTCTAAACATTAACCAGCATCGAATTTTCCATAATTTGAATTTATGTTTATTGTAATCGAATTTTATGCTATACAAAAAGACGGCGTAAAAAACTTGATGCAAAACATATTCAGTTCACTAGTCTAACAATTACATTATCTACAAGCTTTAGTACAAGGTTTAATGATACGGTAATACTGTTGAAAGTCTGTGTCATTCTATTTTTCCGATGGGTTTACTTCAGGTGGAAATCTCTAGATAAATAGCATAAATTTCCATGCAAAAATCTTGCTTGGGTGTAAAAGCTAGTGAAAACATTTTCTTTGCTTGGGACCGGGTACTCTTTTCCGGGGTAAACGTATGGCATTATTTTTAATTCATCGACAATTCACTCTTTAGGTTGACACCGGTATTACGTGGTCCTTAACTGAGAGCTTCACTCCAAATATGAAAGCAGTCTCGTTGTCATTGGATGGAACACAGGTTGGTCTATTGAAATTTGAAGTAAAACGTTCATTCGCCAATCAAAATACGTTCCACTTCACAAACAAGACGTTTGGAGGTGTCATTTGACAGGCCTGCCTGTGGGAACGAGATTCATATTGGGAGGGGACATGTCGCAGTGCTCGGAAGCTTTCGTCCAATTGGATAATGCTTTTCTATGCTTTCTAAAGAACGAAGCTATGCTATTGGTTGAAACAGAAATGTATTGTAAAGTTCAGCCAATCAAAATCTTTCTTGCGAGGAGCTGCGACCCTACCCATTGGGAGAACTGCAATCTGGGACCACGCCTATTTGGAGCAAAGCGTGTTCACAGCTTTCAGCACATTCCTTCCCTGCTCCTCCCCAGGACCTTTATGCCTTACATTGAAAATTTCATCAATCCCATGCAGGATAAGCTCAAAGTACCAAGCTTAATTTATTCCTTATTTGTTATTTTGACAGGACGGTGTCGTGATCCTTGGATCACATGAGTTGGTGGTCGTATCACTGGTTGATGGTAGCATATTAACATCCCATTCCCTCCCCTGTGTTCCAACCCAACCGTTAGTGCTCGGTGACATCAATAATGATATAAGTGATGAATTTCTCGTTCGTTGCAATGACAGGTGAGTTCGACCCACATTATATGAATTAACCTTAGGAGAAAGGGGGAGAATTTAACACTGAATGTCATCAATGTTTTGACTAGGTAGGATTCTAGCTTGCGCATGCGTTGAGGCTACAAATGCTGAATACCGACATGGCGGCTTTTTTCTTTTCATTTTTGTCTTTTCCTTTCACATAAATTATGTTGCCCTTGAGTCCAATCGTCGGGGGAAGGAAAACACCTTCCGAGTGACGTCTGGTTTCCTTGGGAAAATTTTGTGATCACGAAATGATTTTGCGTGACTTGCATGGTCCAGAGTTCTCGTGCGAGGAAGCATGTTTGTCGTTGGTGTTTCTTGTTGACGTTCACGATTTGAGAGTTTTCCGTTGGGAGGATATGGTTGAATATGAAATATCAACGGAAAAGCAACTATATCTAATGATAGAAAGCTGTGAATGATGTGTTTATAGTTGAAATTAGTGATTCATTTAGAAAATCCGTGCACTGTCATGCATATGAAGTATAAGAGATGAATTACCATCCTCTTTCGGCTTCTTTTAGCGTTTGCTCTCTTTCGGCTTATTAGTGCTTATTAGTACTTATGATTTACGTATTTAGTATAATTGCTGTATATGACTAATTCGTATTTAGTATAATTGCTGTATATAATTAATTCACAGCTCACGGTTGATCGGAACTTTCGTCCCACACAACAAATCTAGAAAATTTTCGAAACCATAACACTAAACAGGCTGTGCAAAACAAAATTTAAAATGACAGTAATTAGGTGTCTTTTTATGTTGTTCAAATCCTAGTACATCAATAGTTTGTAGTATTAGAATAATGTAGTTTGAATCAATTTGTAGTTTCGCTTTTACTTGAGTTCTTTTAGTTCAGTTTGTTTTATAGCTCAGTAATGGTTTAGATAATTCAGTTTAGCTTTACGACCAGATCACGGTTCAGTTAAAGATTACGTTTATTTTATTCAGCTGAATTAGTCTAGTTTGCTAATATTTCTGTTCAGGTTGACACGATAAACACCTTAATCTATAGCTTTGTTTAGTTAACTAATGTCTTAAACGAGCATTAATTTTGTTTGTGATTTCTGCCTTGGTTACAACATTTGCTAGATTGATATGCTTGTTCATTCGTACAACTGCGAATTCGTCTCGTTTGACATATAATGACGCGGCAAGATTCAAATTCATTGCAATATATTTAATTGCTACACGTGGGTGTTTATGCAATGGATCGCGTGCACTTTCAAAATCTTCCGCCAACACCAACAAACAAACAACTTAGAATGGTATTGAGGAGGCGTTGATAATTTTACAGTTATTAATACTAAACCACTCTTCAACCAATTCATGTGAAAAATCATTAATAAAAAAAATTCTTTAAACGAAATCCACCGATCTGAAAGTCGCTGGAATGCGGCAAGATTAAAAATTACGCTGATCTAACGTATGGTAACTGGAACGCGAAACCCAAAAATCAAGACTTGTAGTCGCATAATATATAAATATTCCTTGGAAGCTTGTTTATTAAAATCAGTTTTGGCCACTGGAAGTTGCCAATTCTGGAACACCATGATTGTGCGGAAACTAGATCCCAGGAGCGAATGACACAGTAACTAAGATATAAAATTCTGGCTGGAATTCAAATCCGAACTTTGAAACTAGATTTCGCCGCCCTCTATGGTATTTGAGATTCCTCGTTTCCAAGCGCTTCAAATGATTTCATTGACTGAATGCATTTTCAGGGCTCGTTCATATCCAACCTCGTACCCAGGGTCTTTCATATCTACACTTACAAAGAATCTGCTGATCTCTAAAACGCATTCTGATGCTTTATTATTATAGGACTTTACTAAAACGAGTTCACCGTCGAATTCTTACAATAAAAATGCAATTCTTGAATATGCTTGAGTGCACACAAAACAGTAGCTGGAATGGTAGGCGAAATGTAATCTATTGTCCACAGGGAGTCTTCGTTGCAAAAGACCAATTCGGAAGCGAAGCTACTGGTCGCAAAAACACTGGAATGCAGCGAAATTTCCACATATCCGATTTATTTTCGAGTTCTTTCATAGAGAGTTCCTTCTTTCATTATGGCGTAATTGGTCACATGTCCACTGTCCCAGCATTCCATTTGAAGTACTTTGTTTGTTTGGTTTTGGGGGTCTAGTTTTCAAGCGCGCTAAAACACCTACATATGACAATTAAATATATTGAGTTTAAAACTCGGGTTTGCGGTATTATATGCATTGTTGAATGTAAATTGAATGCCTGTCTCGTATTATCTCAAAGGTAACAATAGACAAATATGGCGAAGCTTAGAAAAGATCTCCAACAGAGAGAATTCTGTTTACTTGATATTGATTGTCTACTCTTCGTAACACTAATTAAACTAGGAAGGTCAATTGTGCAGGGTTTGTCACAACCAACGCTATAACTAATTTAAGCCTGGTTTTTATTAGGTCGTGCTTGTCGTGAACAAGTCATTTCCACCGATGTGAAATAGTTCTGATGTAAATTTCTCTTCATTTTCTGTATTCAAATTGGTCAATGTCAACGCAGCATTATTCTAATACATCAACCACGATGACATGCTCACGCGAATTACGATGAAATGGAAACCAGGCTTTAGGGATTGTAATGTCTATTCTGCTCAAGTATATATGCATTGGCTGCCATTCTGACTGCGTGGACGTCCAAGAGACGCTATTCCTTCCGGCGCGTCATTGTTAAATCCTCATGCGTCAAAAGTTATACCAGAGGAAACTGGAGTATTATGTATAGCACAGATCAGTGTAACCTGCACGTGATGCTTGTTAGAGTCAGAATAAAAGCACCTTTGCATCTCATAACTGAAATACTGCAAATTTCGCCAACTATGTCTATGGCTGTGTAACGTGACAGAACTTTCCATTAACACGATATTTTGCGCGTATTTTGAGCAAGCTTTTTAAAATTTCGTTTCATTTCATGTAAAACATCAGCAGTCAACGACGTATATTCGTTGGCGAAGAGACATACAAGTGCTTCCTTAAAGCCTACAAGTATGAAGTGTTGTTCATGCAAATTGCTTTCTTGCGATTCACTATTATCGATAAAAGCGACTATAGGGAAAAACGTGAACCTCTTACATGCGTCTGTCTTCAACAACGTTTTCCAAACAATACATTATATAGGTTCCTGCTAACATGCAAGCACGTTACTTTTCTTACTACCCAATTCGTGATAGGCTAATATAATGCTTGATTGATTTACAAAAGGCGACCAAAGTCATATAACCTCCTTGACATTTTGTCTCTATGCAGTATACGCGAAATGTGAAGTGCTTGTTCCGCCTTAGACAAAGCACACCTCTCTGGCAAGCTCTTTATATTAAAACAAGGATTGTTTGGCGTTTGAAAGGTTTATTGTCTTCCAAATATGGCGCCCTGCGTACTTGTTGTTGGGATTTTTGCAAGCTTTGTGACTGATATAGTCATATAGACTGCCTTTGTTCGTGAAAAGCATGCAAAACATAATACGATTTAATTCACACCTATATCTAAACAAAAACAAACTTATATAAGGGTTGCGAAAAAGTATGTCCTATAACCAGCTAAAATACAAAACTTTTTTGTCAAAAAAGTCTGTATTTATCAACCGCAGTTTCATGCATATATATATTTCAAATCCTGATTTTTAAAATTTTGGATCAAGCACGTATTCCATGTTACAAAAGATCTAATTTACAATAAAAAAAGATGGCGGTAGTTCAATTTTGACTTATAACATTTCTTTGCCGATTAAAATAGTCCACGGTTAAAGATGTTTGATATGCCACGTCAATTTATTTATAAATGTCTTCCTTTTGGCAAGTTTTGCAATACGGTTTTATTTTTAGCAACAAAGGTATTATTCACTGCAAACGGAAAACTAGCAGCATGTGAATATCTGCATGCTCTTGCATTAAAACGAAAATTACGTGATTTTTGACACAGGACTTTGCTTCTAGGCACTAAAGTTGTTCTAAAACTCGCAATCCTCGCCTAATCAATGTGACCTATGCAAAGTTTTAAAATCATCATGTTGTCATGCATAACCAGTTTGAATTCGGCAAATAATTTTTCGATCGACAAAGAAAATTTGCATGCATGTGTATGTAACTATGTATATATATGCCGCCATTTTCAGTCGAATTTTCTGGTAAGAGATACCTAGAAATTTCAAAATGAATGCCTCGCTAAAGTTCTAGAAAGAATCTTTACGCTTTGTATAAATATAAACCGCACTTAAACTTGTATAATGAGCAACTTAACATGCTAAATAACCTAAGACACATGTGACCTTTCAGGAAACGCGTTGCTAGGTTGTACTCTCTGCATTTCGTCGCTTAAGATAACTGGAAACCTTATTAGGAGCAAGGTAAAAAAAATGTTTGCATTGTGTTGCTGTTGGCGTTGCTTGCCGATCGATATCTGTCGGTGAATTTTTCATGTTGTCTATTTTAAGATCGACCCATGCACTGCTATAATTGTTTAAGCCCTAACAGTAAGAGCCAATATCAGTTTAAATTTAACAGCAATTTTTCCATACAATAGTAAAGTGACCGTTAAATGAGATTTTAAATTTACCAAGTATCAAAGATGTTTATTACATGAAGCTATAATGATTTATTTTGAATGTTTATAATTGGTTTCGCGATACATGAGACCACTTATGAACTTGAAAAAGCAACGGTTTTTTCCCCTTAAATCTTACTTGCAATTTGCAAACTGTTGCAGACTTGCATTAAAATGTCGATGATTTACAGTGTCGTAGTATAATAGCTTTTGAGAGGTATGCATGTAGGCTAAGTATATATAAAAGTTCACGAGCCAATATCGTTACAAAATAAAGAATGAATGGAACCTTTTCTTCAAGAGATAAATCGACCATGGTTGTGAAGTCACTATAAACATTGGTATCAAATGAGTAGAAGATCCGAAGTGGGGGAATCCTATATTGATTTAATTCTCAAATCTAATTGATACCGATATAGCTAAGGGGTTAGCTATGAATGAAGATTACAATTCATGATGCATAACCAAATGCTATAGCTATTATATGCATGCTGTTCCTCATAGGAGATGATATACTCTGCAGGGATTGTTCTCTTGCATAGTAACCGCTAGCTATATCCTTGCATGCTGAGTGAATATAGTCACCGCATTGTGTGTAGCTATCCACTGATTTGAATACAAAAACTGGATGTGTACAGTACATTTTGTATTTTATCTTCTCGATGGTCGCCATTTTGTATGACCATGTCACCATAGAGGCCATTCATCAAAGATCTATACGCTTTACTTCATATTCAACGGGGTTCATTGCATTCTTCTGGAAAAGGGAGATATTGTTCAAATGCGAATCTATTTTTTAAAGTTTGTTTCCCCCGAATTTGCCAGCGAATTAGCGAATCATAAATGGTTATTATTGAACGGCTATTATGCATGTGTTTTCTAAAATTCCTCAGATTTGTTGAAAACCTTTGAATTGAGTGATTTTGGGAATGGAGAGGTTAAATATACTTTATTGTATGAACTCGTGCGGGCTAAAAATAGATACGATTTTGATCAAAAAAATTTACAAAAATTAGCCCAGCCAGTCCCATATTTGGGACTTACAAAAATGGAGTGGTGCACTGATGTCTGTATTAACACCTCCGTAATAAATTCATATTTTTGTTATATAGATATCTTGCATTCAATTTGGAGCGCTACAACCGGATAGGCCTGACGTTACTTGTGTACAGCGGTGTGACATGCGTGGTTTGTCTCGTCTTATTCACAATAAAGTTCATAGAACGGGAAGAATTTCCATTCGAGGCATTGGATTACGCTTTGAAGGCGCTGAGATATTTCCCTTTACAAGGTACCGGGTTGTAAATCTGTGAGGTAAGTTTGAATGCTATATATTGAGACTTTATATGCTTAGTATAGAAAGATATTTGGGATAGAAGGCTGCCGCGAGTGGAAATTATTCAGCAAGAACGTACACATAACTGATATTTTACCTCTAGGAATGCCCTCATGTACGCGTTTACTGTTTATATCAAGCGTTAGGTCTTGAATGGCGGGTGTATAGATTCGCTCTTCAGAAACCCTGTTCTCCACGGCCCGGTGACTGAGTATGTTTATAGCATTGACATGGTATTGAATGAACTGTAGTAATACTTATCTTGAGAAAACGTGGTGTTTCACTCCGAATTCACTACAGCCGCTACTCATAGGGTAGAAATATGCCCTAAGAAACACTCAATAACCAGAGGCTGACCGTTCTCTCTTATAAACTTACGCGCCAGAAAACTTGACACTGACTATATATATTTATATTTCTTTGATTCATGGAGTTAAGATTCTGATTTTAAAGATCAATTTTTTTATCTTGATTGTGATCTAAGGCCATGATGCATGCATGTCCTCGATTGGCATGCCATTCAGGAAACGGACTAGCTGTAGAGTATATGAATTGAGTACATGCATATTGCAATAATTTAAGTATTTTTCGCTCGATTTTGTTGCTTTAAATCCGTTCATAGGTATGAAAAATAAAGATGAGGCATGAATTGTTAATTTAAAACTCCCTTTCGGTATAAATGTTCGAAGAAAGTTGTTGGTTTTATGTATTACGAAACATAACGGTTCTTAATTTCGAGTTTGATTTGCGCGCCATTTTTTAGCATGTATTTTATAAACAAACAGCCGACAATCATATATTCGCTTTTGCATTAGAAGTTGTGACTCCTCGTCTTTGTTTTACCGAGCCACGGAATATCCACCGGAAAATTTGAATAATTTTTGAGTCTGTTTATTTAGGCAAACAAACTTTTCGTGTTTGTTCCGGTCAGGTTTCTTATTATTTAATCCTCCTCTTTTGTTTCGATATAGTAATTGAAATCGTTAAACTTTCCTTCTGCGCTATATTTAAGTCTGACTTATATATATGTGTGTACATAGCTGTAGTGAAAATTTGCATATCAGTGAGTCACTGTATATAGTCACTGTTATGAGTCATACACTGTTGATAAGAAGCTTTAGGCCAAAAGGCGCCAAGCAAGTGTTAGCAAGGCAAACAAACGTGTTCAAACAAGCTATTTCTGCACTTGATGATGAATATTACTTTTGCTACGATCGAATTGAGTGTATTTTGAAATGCTTGTCTTTCGAAAATGTTTCTTCGCGATTCTGGTTGGAAAATTGTGTAATGCGCGTGCAAGTTGTTGTGTTGTCTTTTGTTGATTGTTAATATTTTCCAAAGCTATAGAATGATGACGTCCGAACACTGATAAGATATTTAATCATTAATTTCTTTGTGTGGTTATATCATGGTTTCATTGTGTCGACAGCCGGTGTTTTGTATTCGTTTGCATGTCGTAAACATCCCGAGGCTGCCGAGATCTGCACGAGAAGATCTTCAATGAACGGTTTAGCTGTACTTTTTATATATGATGCCATGCACATCTGCATTAGCGCATTGAATATAGCTAGCACTATACATCCCATTTACACTATACCGGATTCACATTGTCACGACATCAGTTTAAGTTGTTTTACGGTACCTCTTCCACAATATTTTTTTCATTTGGCTGATCATGTCAAAGCAATCATGCTATCGTATATACATTTGAGAGTAAAACTCGCTTTGACATGGCCAGTTTTGATGTCGTGACCATGCGAATCCTGTGTCGACGGAGTGTAAACGGAATAGGTATAGTGTAAACAGACCCACTAATGATATGGCTCAATCCAAGCCGACTACTGATACGTTAACAAAACTATCTACATTGTATCTATACATTGTATCTATCTAAATTGTATCTTTTCGCTTAGTATGTCACTTTCGCACATGCACTCACAAATAATCTACTCGTATATGATTCAAGCGTATACTTCTTCGGCTAACGAAAATCTCTGCTCTGCCATTAAGATAATGATTTGAACCGTTGTACTATATAAGGGTTCATTGAGCAATTATAGATGCTCTTTGCCTGGATATTTTAATATTTTTTGTCTTACTGAACATGAAAAAAAACCATGGTCAGCCGACAATTTAAAAAAGTGAAGTAGAAAACAAATTCGAATAAACATGTCATCTTGAGAGTCAAAATATGAATCAAGCAAGACACAGGTTGAGACAGGTCTCAACGTGTGTTTCCGCTTTGTGTGTATTTGGTTTTCCTTTGGCATCAAGCACTAATTCCCAGGCCTTCTTCACGGAGCGCATCCTTTTTTGTACAACTTTTCACGCGAGCACGCTTACTGCTGTTAAAACATGCAATAATTATGGTGATACAGTTATCTCTGCGAATTTCTTCCCAGCACGACTCCCACAATTGCGGATATGAAAACATTTTCCCATCTTTCTAAGGTCTCTGCCCACACTTCATATTAAAATTTACCTAATTGGGTTTTACAATCGCGTCGTTTGTGGCGAAGAAATCCCAGCATGTCATGTGGTTTTGTTTGCTCCCGTAACCAGTGGACACCAAGAATTATACAATTATATCGTTATTCAAAAGCGTGAGAATTTCATTTCTATGAAGGTCATAGAAATTGTTAAATAATTGTACCGAGGTTTTGCCAAAAACGAATTCAGTTTTTTTGGCAAACTTATGAGAACGAAAGGATCTTTTGAACACGACAGTCTCACCTATCAGAAAATATACCATTCTTAAAAATTAACTGGTAATTAATTGATGGGCAGAAAGTAAAATGGTAAAGTATTAAAACTTATATACTGTGATAGTGCTGTTTAAACTGCATAAATACGCTTTAATTCTCTTCAATTCTTATTTGCACGATCCCTGCATTGGTGAAATTATGGTTTTAATGGTAGTTGTGTATATAAAAGTGTGGCTTTGACTTCTGTATGAATTATTAATTTAGCAATGAGTGTATGTGTATGTTTGATTGATTAGAAGTCAACGGGACTGTTGACTACGCTCCCGTGGCCTGCACACTTTATCAGCGACAGTGTTTACAACAAAAGAATACCTCCACATATACTTTTGAAAAACTTCCTGAACCTGAAGTGATATGCATTGATGTAGCTATTATTTCTTCGTTTTATGTAAGCTATATAAGAACAGCTATAGAAAACTTACATACTTTCTATATGAGATAAGGTTGAAATCAAAATAGACTGATAGATAGAGTTCGTTAATTTATATACTGTGTGTTAATATATATAAGTTAAATGACCGTTTGAGTTAGTTTAATCTGGCTGTATTTAAGGATAACTGTCGATAAGAACTTCGACGATAAGGAAGGTCTATTATGTCATATATATAATTATCATTTAATCAACCGGGCAATTTGCATATTTTGAAACATTCATATTCTTAATAAAGTGGTCAGCTTTTGCAGCTGTAAATGAGAAATAATTGACCACCAACCATTGTTATGCAATTGATAGCACAGGCGTGTGAAAATTGCGATAAATTATATAATGTCAACATTTGATTTGTTTTGATTCGATCGGTTGGCGTTTGATAGGTGACGAATTAACAAGACAAAAAATATTTTGATTGTGCTTTCGTTCAACAATAATCGAAGAATTTTAAGAATCCTAAAACATTTGAATTTGAGGTGTGAGCCACGTTGAGATTTTAATTGGCTGTGAAATATATAGATTGCATTTTATTTTGTCTATCATTCGGGATATGAGTTTGGAGTTGGTTGCATTGAGGTCTATCCCTTGTGCCATACGATACCATATCAGTAAGTGAAATGTTTGCTGTTTAACGCATATGAATATATAAATATACTCATAATATATAAGGAACTTCATATAGACAAAGGTTTATGTTGGAACGACTGAGATTAGTCGATTCTTAAAACTGGACAGCTAAAATCGTGACATATTCTATAGATCAAACGGTTTCCCCATTCTATTCATGTGGCAAAACCTATATTTGCATGCATGAGATGGATAGATATATTTTATTTACGGGCGAAGAAGTCAATTTTCACGTCTACCCGATAGTTATCAACAATTAATGGTTTAATCGACAAGAAAATTGCAATATTTCGAAAGGTGTCTTGATGATTGGGTATATGAATATTATCATTTCCAGGAGCTGGACGGAAGAGTTCCTAGAATCAAATATTTTGATAATTTATTGAAGGTAAAATGTTGTTGTTTTATGAACGAAGCTCCTCTTCCGTTTGTCTCGTGTCAGAAATTTTTGGCTCCTCAAATCTCCTGCATGTAACGTCCTCTTTGGGTGATTAGCCATGTTTTTTATACACTAATTATATATACTTTTAAAAATATAGGATCATTATCGTTAATGGGTTCTCGTTATTATTATGTTTTATGTTCACAGCTGTAAGAACCATGTTAACCACCGAAAGCGTTAAACTTGCATGACGAAATGCAAACAAATTTCTAAAATAGGCATCAGTTGTGTTTTGATATTCAGCTAAGATAAAGCGAGTGTATATATATAAACAAAGTCGTTTTCATAGACATAGTCAAACCATGCATTTGTGAAGAAACCTTAAATCGGCATTAATTAGGCCAATATCTTTGTTATGGGCATTATTTGTATATATATTCATTTATCTGTTCATGCATCTTAACTATCAATTAATATATTATATAATGGCGGGAAATTGGGTATTCAGATAGATATTGCATCATTTTTTTCAAATCTTTTTTTTCACCAAAATGTTTATACCAAATTTTCCAGAAAGTCTCCGTAAAATATTTTATTAGATATATATTAATCAAATCACATCACATTTATTTTCGTCGGGTGACCTCGTCAGTGAAATATCACTGGTATCAATGATGACCCTACGTTTTTATTATATATGCTAGATATGCATGGATCGGAACTATCTTTTGATTCATGGTTTTGATATATTATGGTTTCTGCGTGGATTATATT